GTGCTGAGGGTACTGACACCGGAGGTTCTGGAGCCGTTGGGGGTGCGGGCGCTGAGGGTTCTGAGTCTGCTGTTGCGCGGTCTCCTTGGAGTGGCCGCCTTCGTCCCCGTGTGCCTCTCACCCCACAGCAGCTGCAGGACTGGTACGGTCGCCGTCAGCGTCGCGCTGCTGGAGCTCGGAGTCGTGCTGGTCCTTTGTCTACTGGAGGTGCTGGAGTTGCTGGTTCTGGAGGGGCTCGTGCTGGAGACACTGAGGCTGGAGACCCTGGGACTGGAGGTGCTGGCTCTGGGGGTGCTGCTGCTGGAGACACTGAGGTTGGAGACCCTGGAGCTGGAGGTGCTGGTTCTGGGGGTGCTACTGCTGGAGACCCTGCGGTTGGAGACCCTGGGACTGGAGGTGCTGGTTCTGGGGGTGCTGCTGCTGGAGACACAGAGGTTGGAGACCCTGGGACTCGAGGTGTCGGCTCTGGGCCTGGAGCTTCTGGAGCTGCTGGAGGTACTGGAGCTGCTGGAGGTACTGGAGCTGCTGGAGGCACTGGAGCTGCTGGAGCTGCTGGTTCTGGTGCAGCTGCGCCGACACGACTGTTCTTCGCTCCGCCGTCTCCGTCGTCTCTGCCGCCGTCTGCCTCTGTTCTTCGTCAGGTTCTTACTCTTCCGTCGTCTACTGGTCTTCCGTTACAGACTGGCTCGCCGCTGCCTGCTCCTTCTCCTTACGCTGAGCTGACTGGTAGTCCTGCTGTGCGTCGTGAGCCTGCGTCGCGTCCTGTCTCGCCTGCTCGTCCTGGTCGTACCGGTCCTCGTGTTCCTCGTTCGCGTCCGCCGGCTGTCCCCAGCGCACACCTCGTAGTCCGTCGTCCTTCCTCTGTTCCGCAGCCTGTTCCTCTGCCGTCTCCTCCTGCGTCCTCTTTGCCTGACGTTCCGGACCCTGAGTCTGACTGGTTTCGTGCTGAGCACCCTACTGTCACGCGTCTACTAGCCACTGTTGTCACTGACCCATCGTTTGAGTCTGCTGCTGCGTCTGCTCTTGTCGCTGAGCTTGTTGACTTTGCTGCTGCCTGTCGTCTAGACTTCACTGCCAGTCTTGTTACTGAGTCTGAGTCTGTCTGTCCTCCGTCCGTCGGGGGTGAGTGTGCTCTTAGCACGGACGTCCTTGAGGACAGGCAGGAGGAGTTCCAGTGCCTTGCTGCTGCTTTACCTCATCTTGTGTCCTCGCTACTTGCCCCTGAGGGAGACCCGGATGCACCAGACATCCCGACTCCGCGCTCTTACGCAGAGGCGATAGAGGGTCCCTACTCCTCTCAGTGGCAGGCAGCCATGGACGCAGAGATGGCTTCCTGGAAGTCCACAGGCACCTACGTCGACGAGGTTCCCCCACCTGGGGCGAACATCGTCAGTGGCATGTGGATTTTCAGGGTGAAGCGGCCACCGGGTTCTCCGCCTGTCTTCAAGGCGCGTTACGTGGCTCGAGGCTTCAGTCAGCGAGAGGGAGTTGACTTCTTCCAGACCTTCTCCCCCACCCCGAAGATGACCACTCTTCGGGTGCTGCTGCACGTTGCTGCTCACCGTGACTACGAGCTTCACTCTCTTGACTTCAGCACAGCTTTCCTGTAGGGCAGCCTGCACGAGGAGATCTGGCTGCGCCGCCCCCCGGGCTTCACTGGGTCGTTCCCTCCTGGTACCCAGTGGAGCCTCCGGCGGCCGGTCTACGGTCTCCGCCAGGCGCCACGTGAGTGGCACGACACACTGAGGACTACGCTTGCGGCTCTTGGGTTTGCGCCTTCTACTGCTGACCCGTCGCTGTTTCTGCGCACCGACACTTCCCTGCCGCCGTTCTACATCCTCGTGTACGTCGACGACTTGGTTTTTGCCACTGCTGACACTGAGGCTCTCACCCACGTGAAGTCGGAGCTGCAGAAGAGACACACGTGCACAGACTTGGGTGAGCTGCGCAGCTACCTTGGCTTGCAGATCACCCGAGACAGAGCACGTCGCACCATCACCTTGACTCAGTCACACATGGTGCAGCAGGTCCTTCAGCGCTTCGGCTTCACCTGGTCTTCAGCACAGGCCACTCCTCTGGCTACAGGTCACACGCTCTCAGCTCCACCTTCGGACGAGTCCGTAGAGCCGAGTGGTCCTTACCCAGAGCTAGTCGGCTGCCTCATGTACCTGATGACTTGCACTCGACCTGACCTCGCGTACCCTCTTGGTCTCCTGGCTCGCTATGTGGCTCCTGGTCGGCACCGACCTGAGCACATGGCTGCTGCTAAGAGGGTACTGCGTTACTTGTGCAGCACATCAGGCATGGGGCTAGTGCTTGGAGGGACGAGCCCAGTTGTCCTCACTGGGCACTCAGACGCTTCTTGGGTTGACGACCTGGCTACTCAGCGGTCGTCACAGGGTTACACCTTCAGCCTTGGCTTTGGTTCAGTTTCGTGGCGTTCTACACGCTCGACTTCAGTTCTCGGCTCCAGTTGTGAGGCTGAGATCTACGCCACCGCCATGGCTGCACAGGAGTTACGCTGGCTCACCTACCTGCTGACTGACTTGGGAGAGCAGCCTCGTTCTCCTCCAGTGCTGTACGTTGACAACAAGGCCGCCATTGCCTTGTGTCGGGAGCACAGACTGGAGCACAGAACGAAGCACATTGCTCTGCGGTACTTCCTGGCTCGAGAGTTGCAGCAGCGAGGCCAGCTTCGTCTTTGCCACGTGGCCACTCGGGCCAACACTGCTGACATATTCACCAAGGCACTTCCGTCTGGTGATCATCAGCGCTTTTGTACTCTGTTAGGCCTTGTGCCTACGTTTCCACACTTGCTGTAGTCTCTGCTTGTACTGTGATCTGTACATATATATATATATATATGCATGCTGGCTCTTGCTAGGTAGCCATCACTGTACTGTTATTGCTGCATATATATCTCTGCATGTGAACTGGCCCAGTGGCCCTTTGCTTGTGCTCAGAATGCGTGGTGACGTTGTGATCCACCCTGAGCTTGTTTTGCTTCTCTTGACTGGTCGTGTGACCCCTTGTTCTCCCCCACTTTGCCTATGGGGGTGTGTCAAACATATATGCTACATATTGTCTAGGCTGTAGTGGGGTAGCCCACATGGGGTACAACCTAGTAGGGTTTACTACTTGTACTCCTGCATCCTGTTAGTTCATCCATTCATGCTGCTAGATTCTAACAGTAGCGACCATGGAAGGATGGCTGGAAGTCCAAGCAAGGGTATACACCATAGTAGTGCTTCAGAACCACATGCTGTAGTAGTCTGACAAAATTAGCCCTCGCCAGCTCATTTAAAATGTTTTTATTTTCTTTATACCGGTAGTTGCTTGCTTTTCTGTCGCAGTAAACTCTCATGCCATGTCAAGGTCACCAGAAACAAGTGCAAAGCAGCAGATTGAGAGCATTTACCATAGACATCTCATATATTCAATCACAATTGTAGCCTTATTATCAGTCTTCCTGCCACAATCCCGTCACTCTCAATCACCTCACCTCCCATCACCACCCAGCACTTCCAAAGCCTGTTTAGAAAGTATGTGTCCATGCCTGCCTCAAGCCCATTCACTGCCTTCCCAACAGCTGCCCTCACATCCATTCACCGCCCTCACAATCATGAACCCCAACTGTCTCTGTTAAGGCTCCTCACAGGTCGACTCAGCTGATAAGTCACCTCCCCCGCCTCCCCCTCGGCGACTCATCTTCACTTACACTCTCATCCCTTCCCCTCCGCCTCCTCCCTCCCTCTCTGTCCCCCCGACCGCGCCTGCCCTCAGGAGAACTATGCCTTCCCCCTCCCCTTGCCCTCGCCCATGATCCCTCGAAAACCCCCCTTGCCGCCCCTCGCAGCAGGAGACACATCCCTGCCCTTTCCCCCAGCCCTGCGCACTGGAGATCCATCCTCCCTCCCCCTCACCTCAGGAGACCCACCCCTGCCCCTACCGCCCCCAACCCCACCGCTACCCCCGCCTCCCCCTCTGCCCCCGCCCCTGCCCCCCGTGGGAGCGGGAGACGCGCTCCTGCTGCTGCTGTCGTGGTGGGGCCTGGGAGCAGCAGCGACCTGCCTGCGGGGGGGAGGAGAGGGCGAGCGAGCGGGCGACCTGGAGGGCGAGCGAGAGAGGGATGACGAGGGCGACGAGGGACCGGAGGAGCTCGCGGGGGAAGCAGCAGCAGCAGCAGCAGCAGCGGCAGCGCCCTTCCTGGCCGCTGCTGAGGGCTGGGGGAACGGGCGCGCTTGGGGCTGGGGGAGCGGGCGCGCTTGGGGCTGGGGGAACGGGCGCGCTTGGGGCTGGGGGAGCGGGCGCGCTTGGGGCTGGGGGAGCGGGCGCGCTTGGGGCTGGGGGAACGGGCGCGCTTGAACGTAGGCGGAGCGGCGCGTTTAGGGCTGGGGGAACGAGAGCGCTGGGGACTGGGGGACGGGGCGGCTCTGGGGCTGGGGGCACGATATCGCTTGGGGCTGGGAGAGCGGGCGCGCTTGTTGGGACTGGGGGAGCGGCCTCGCTTGGGAGAGGCAGAGCGGCGATTGGGCGAGAGGTCCTTGGGCTCGGCGCGGAACGACCTCTGCTGCCTGCTGCCGCGCGCCTCGGAGTCCCTCCCATGGTGACACGCCTTCCTCCCCCGCTCACGCTCACGCCCCCTCTCCCTCTCCTCCTCCTCGCTCTCCGATTCCCCTCTTTCCGCCCTCACTCCCCCGCGCTTCTTAAACGAGATGCTCTTGCCTGCCATCCACATGTCCTCGCCCTCATCAGTATCAGCAGCATCAGTAGCGCGCGCGTCCCTCCGCTGCTTCTTCCGCTCACCCCCCTGCTCCTCCTCTCTTCCCCTCCCCCTCCTCTCGTCCCCCCTCCGCGTCTCGCCCTCATCCTTCCGCCACCCTTCCTCTCGCTTCCGCTCCGCTCTCAACCTCTCCGCCTCCCTGCGCTCCGCCTCCTCCTCCCTCCGCCTAACCTCTCAACCTCTCCGCCTCGTCATATCCCCCCCACTACATCCTCCGCTAAATCTTCTCCAACCCCAACAACTCTGCAACCACATCCTTCCAAGTTTCATCTTCCTTTTTCTTGCCCTTATTGACGGCATCCATGAACTGTTCGCGCGTGAAAAACTTATGCGCCAATGGGAAGTCGCGCTCCATTAGGACATGGCCGATCTCGGATGCGTGCCCTGCAAACTTCTCGGGGTAGTATCCCATCTCCTCCCTGAACTTATAACCACTGACTCGAACTCTAACTGCTTCTTTTACTTTTGTGCCTCCATACACACCACAAGTCATCTTTCCCCCGTACAGCGTCGCACCTGGCACCAGCTCATTCTTGTCATGAATTTGTTTCCCCATCTGCCTTGGAAACCATCCCTTCCTCCCCTTGTAATCAACCAACTCCATCGTGTCGTTCCATTCTGCCTCCATTCCCCTTTCCCCTCCCACTCCTCCTCCCCCTTCACCTTCCTCCTCCTCCTCCTCCTCCCGCTCGGCCCCCTCCACCCCTCCCTCGCTCCCTCCACCCCCACCCACCCTTGCACCTGCTCCTCGCCCCTCCTCACCACCCGCTCCTCCTGCCCCACCCACCCGTCCTAGTATTCCCCCTCCGCCATCACTCCCCTCGCCACCGTCTCCCCTTCCTCCGCCCTCTCCCCCATCCCCCCAAGCCCCTCCCCCCTGCAGCAGCGGCCCCTGCATCAGCCGGCCCTCTCTTGTGGCCCGCTCCTCCTGCAAACCGCGGGTGCCACAAAATGTGTGGGAGTGGGGTGATTGAGATGTGTGACAGGGAGAGGGAGAGGGAGAGGAAGAGGGAGAGGGACAGGGAGAGGGAGAGGGACAGGGAGAGGGAGAGGGACAAGGAGAGGGAGAGGGACAAGGAGAGGGACAAGGAGAGGGACAAGGAGAGGGACATCAATCTCTATTACTCTCTTTCTCTCAGAGGGACCTCCAGCAATGAACCCTGGACCATCCCCCTGGACCTCCCTGCTGTCCTCCAGCCTCCACCTATCTCTCTCACTCACCAGCTGTGCTTCCAATGTCTTCACTTTGCTCTCCCAACCCTGCACCGTCAGCCGCACCGCGTCCCACTCCTGCGGACGTGGTTTGTGAAACAATGAGGACAGGTGAGAGCGGAGCAGGTGAGAGGGAGCAGGGGAGAGAGGGGCCGATAGGGGGTAATGATGTTGTGTGCTTTCCATCAACACACACACACACACGCACGCACGCACGCACGCACGCACGCACGCACAGACACGCACACAGACACAGACACACACACACACACACACACACACACACACACACACACACACACACACACACACACAATCAAGCATCTCATGTAATGAGTACAAAAAACAATAACGTTCATCAAAGACTGTTTCGTAGGCGTACTTGAAGGATGATTTAAAGTTGCCCTTACGTGAAAACTGAAATTGTATCCTGCCCGCTACCCTTTTTTCCCCCTCCTGAGCCTACCTCTCGAAAGTGATCTCGCTCCTCGGTCACTTTCTTCAATCGGCCGTCCCTGTCCTCCAGCTCAGCTCTCATCTGAGCCAGCTGAGCGCGCACATGTTCTACCTCAGTTTGCTGACCACTCAGCTCGGCCAGCCGAACTTTCAACTGCTCCACCTCCGAATCCCTCTTATGCAGATGAGCGGCCCTCTTCAGCAGTGCATCTCTCTCTGCCTGCCCATAACACTGCAGAAACAGAGCAGAATATGTGTGAATTTGAAAATCACCAACATTCTGATTCCCCCTCCCCCCTTCATCCCTCCCCCACCTCCTGGCACGCACAGCATAGCGGAGCAAGCAGGCGCGTGCATGAAATGTGTGCGATGGTGGGCGCATTAGAAACTGCAATCAAGCATCTCACGTAACAAAGAACACTTACATACACCCGTAGGCGTACTTGAACGATGATTTAGAGTTGCCCTTTCGTGAAGACAGAAAAAATTTTCCCGCCCGCTACCTTTTTTTCCCCCTCCTAAGCCTACCTCTCGAAAGTAATCTCGCTCCTCGGTCACTTTCTTCAATCGGCCGTCCCTGTCCTCCAGCTCAGCTCTCATCTGAGCCAGCTGAGCGCACACCTGCTCCACCTCTGTTTGCTGACCAGGCAGATGCGCGGCCCTCTTCAGCAGTTCTGCATCTCTCTTTGCCTGCTCATAACACTGCAGAAACAGAGCAGAAAATTATGTGTGAATTTGAAAATCACAATCATACTCATTCCCCCTCCCCCGTTCATCCCTCCCCCACCTCCTTGCACGCACAGCATAGCGGAGCAAGCAGGCGCGTGCATGAAATGTGTGCGATGGTGGGCGCACTGGAAACTGCAATCAAGCATCTCATGTAATGAGTACAAAAAACAATAACGTACATCAAAGAATTTTCTGTAGGCGTACTTGAACGCCCCGTCACCAAGCTCGATCCTTTGTTCGAGTTCAGCTACCCCCTCATTGAAGACGTTTAGCAGCGCATCAAACTCCTTGCTCCTACCGCCAACCTTGTTCACATAATCTGTGAGGTGCGAAAAAAACATATTGGAGAAGATACAAAAGGACTCGTTTTTCCATGCACTCCTCTCCCTTCCCCAGCTACTCCCCTCCTCCCTCTGCCATTCCCACCCCCTACGACTCCCATCCCCATACCACCCCCTATACCTGCCACCCCTTTCCTCTTGCCATGTCAATCCCCTCCTCTGCCACCCTCCTACCTATGCGTCTCCCCTGCCCTGCGTTCCCCCTATGACTCTCCTTTTCCTGCCACTTCCCTTCAAACATACCTATCACGGCTTGATCCATCTTCTTTTGGCACTCAGCCACGCTGTCATCATCCTCCACCAGGGCCAACTGCTCGTTGAGGCGTTTGCCTATTTTCACCCAGTCGAGCTCTAGGAACACAGCACACACGGGGGAGGTAAGGACAGATGCAGGTGCCATGTAAATGCAGAGAGGGGGGGAGGAGGGTTGGGGGAGTGGGGCGGAGTATTGGGGGAAGAAGGGGACGGAGCGCCATGCCAAAGAGCAGCGGGGCTTGAGTGCATGGCATGGGCCACCTGTGCGCGACCGCAAAAGCAGCAATGACAGCAATGAAAGAAATAACGACATGCCTCAAGTATGCCATCGTTTTGTATGAACGAATATAAATTACTTACTACCTGGGGGTGGGCGTGGGCGTGAGTCACGTCTTCTACTGCTGCTGCTGGTGCTGCTGCTGCTGGTGCTGCTGCTGCTGCTGGTGCTGCTGCTGCTGGTGGTGCTGCTGCTGCTGCTGGTGGTGGTGCTGCTGCTGGTGCTGCTGGTGTTGCCGATGGCAGACATGGCTGAGAGAAAACGAGATTTTCGCACACAACAAAAGGTACGAACACAAATCGACTTTAATAGGAAAAACCTCACAAACACCGTCACTTGCTGGGCTGGTGGTGTGAACACATAGATCCGATGCAGCAGACATCAGACAGCACAAACACAGGCCGTACCCGCGTAGAAGGAAAATGGCGTCCTGCTGGTTTTGGCGAATTCAGATGAACCGCGGCGAGATCAGACGAACAGCACATGTAACAAGGAGAAACGCGGGATCTTGTGTGTCTACTATGCTAACTTGTTTCCATGCTAGACTAACTCAAAGGCGGGTCCACTCTGGATCTGCGGTGTGGTCAAATCGATGTGGATGTCGATCTGGTGGTGTTCGTTTTCTCCGTTTTGAAAAATAAATCACATGGTTCTGTGCAATCGGAAGCAGTTCCTTTCCTCTACACCCGCCCTTTCTAATTTAATTCAAATCATAGATTAGGGTGTGGGTGTTGTTCTGTAGGCCTCGGAAATCGTTCGGATTCGGAGTTTAGGGTGGCGACGGGCCAGACCTATTCCCGGCCGAACCTAAAGGTTGGGATGTGACGGAAATTGGAAAAGGAAGGTGGGTGCTATCTTCCACCACAGACAACGGCTTCCATCTCCAAATCATCTGGTAACCACCATTTTCGCTAACATGGAAAAAACAAAAAGTTTCATTGGCCCATCGTGCTCTCGTCCAAACCTGCGTGCGGAAAATGAAGCAGCTTCATGAGGCTCGGCTCTGTTCGGTGGGGTCAAAGGCTGGTTGACCGACCGCCCAACCAAATCGGAAGCCCCGTGCCTAGGGACTGGAAGGTGCGGGGCCCTGAGGGCGATACTGCTCGCCCCCTTCCACCACGGTCATCTCGGTCTGGGTTTAAAAAATTGCATCGCAGCTTCGAGTCGTGTGTAAGAGGATTCGTTCGTAGCTTCCACAATCTTCGTTTCCGTTCCGTTTGCACTCATTTCACGTATCCTGGCCAGCCGCATTTTATCTAACTTTTTTCGCGTTGTACAAGTCGCGCGACGTCACCTCACTTTTGAGGCGGGGTGAACGAGAGGGCGACTTGATTATAATTATTTTGTGCCTGAAAAACAACCCTTTCCTCGACTGTAATTTGCTGTGCGTGCGGAAGTGCGCGCGACGGAGCGCGCGGCGCTGCCCTCCGCCGCGACGAACGATGCGCCGTTGCCAGGTGAGGCGGACGACGCGGGAGGGAAGGGCACGGTGGGGAGGGGGGAGGTGGCGCGGGGAGGGCGCAGTGGGGAGAAGGGAAGGTGGGGAGGGGAGGGCGCAGTGGGGAGAAGGGAAGGTGGGGAGGGGAGGGCGCAGTGGGGAGGGGGGAAGGTCGCGACGCTCCCCTTTGCTGCGTCGGACGTGGGTGCATGTTTTGCCCTCGCTCCCACACCTCTCCGCTTTTCGTGTTCGCTCACTCCCTCTTCTCCTCCCCACCGACTCCCTCTTTCCGTCCTTTCCCCCATTCCTGCCCACCACACCCTCTTCGCCCGCCTTTCTCCTGCCCATTTCCCCCCACCCGCCTTCCCTTCTCTATGCGCCCTGCCCGCCAGCCTTCACCTCCCCCCTCCCCCCATTGGCTGACCCCTTCTGGCCCTCACCAAAGTGGCAGCAGCTGCAGCGCGCACAAGATGTGGCGCGCCATGGCGTGTGTGCAACCAGGCAGGTCCAACCCCCCCCCTCACCCCACTCCGTTCCATGTCCCCCCCTCCCCCTCCCTAGCCACCCTATCCGCCCCTAACCCTCTGCGTGCCAAGGCGTGTGTGCAACAGGAGCTGACCCCCCTCTCACATCTCCCCTCTCCCCCTGCCCCTCCACCTCCCACGCTGGCAGCAGCAAGCAGGAGATGCAGCGTTCAGGATTGACCCCCCCCACTGGTGGGTTCTGAGAATTCTCAAAAACATTCTCACATCTCCCCTCTCCCCCCGCCCCTCCACCTCCCACGCTGGCAGCAACAAGCAGAATCACCGTGAGGAGCAGCAATGCCGCCCCTCGCCCCTCGCAAATCATTCCTTTTCCTTTGTGTGTGTTCACACAAGTGGGAATATTCGCGTGTGATGACACAAGTAAGGGAATATTCGTCCATATCACCCTTCCGCTCCCTCCCCATCCACTTCCCCTCACCATCCCAGTCTGCCCCATTTCCCCTCCCCCTCCCTTCCCCCTTTTCCCCACCCGAGGGTACGGCTCGTCCGTCCCAGGGGGCATGCCGGCATGATCGCCGGGACTCAGAACAGGAGAGGACATTGGCGGTGCTGCTGGCGGCAGTCAAGAGTGAGTTCTGATACGCCGCAAAAAACTCTCTACCTTCTATTTCCGCTTCCCCCTTCCTTCCACTCTTCCCCTCCCCCTCCCTTCCCCCGCCCCCCCGCTCCCCCTCCCCTCCCTCTTCTTCCCCTCCCCCCTCCCCTCCCCTTCCCCCTGCGGCTGTCGAGGCGCCTCAGAAGGCGGCGACGGTGGTGGGCTGCCCTGCACTGCCACGGGCGAGGCGCGGGCGGCATGCTGGCGTGCAGAGGTGTGCGCAGAGGTGCCTTTTGAGGCGCACAGGGAGGTGCGTGCGGCGCTGGCCTCTGCCGCCATGGACGAGGTGCCTTCGCCATGTTAGGTGCACTAAGGGGGGGACGGGGAGGAAAGGTCGTGCTGGGGAGGGGGGAAGGCGGAGAGGGGCGGGCGCAGTGGGGAGTGGGGCAGGTGGGGAGGGGAGGGCGCAGTGGGGAGGGGAGCACTTTAGAGGTGCCTCAGAAGGCACGACGGGCGGGAAGGATGCGAGGGGAAGATCGGGTGGGCATTGCTGTGCCGGTCGTCTCCCGCCATGTCGTCAGCAGCATCGACTTGGTGGCTTATTACATAGGGAGCCGTTCTGTGGTTTATTGACCCTTGATAATGCATTCTACCTCAACATAGGTACCCGGAGTCACCTGAGGGCACGATCCCCCTCCCTTCCCCCTCTGCCTCTTCTCCCTCTCCCCTTCCACGTCCCCACCTTTCCCACCCCCTTTTCCCTTCCCCAGCTGCAGGTGCCAGCAGTGCTGCCATCACCGCACGCCTTCCCTGCACACGGTTTGCTCTGCAGCATTTGCTGAGGTGACCAGCAGGCTCGATAGGCAGGTGGGGTAGGGGTGGGATGGGGGTGAGTGTGGGAGGGCGGTTGGGGCAGGTTATTGATATTTGTGAAAGGGGTACTGCATCGGTGCCACCACTGCTCCTCGCTCCCACTGTGCCACACCTTGCATGTTTCCTGCAGCCCTTCCCTACCTCCGCCCGCCCACACTCTCTGTCCCACCTCCATTGCTCCCACCCCCACCGCCCCCGTCGTCGCACGTGCTGCTGCCGCTGCTGCACCACCTGCTCAACTGTCCGCACTACTGCCACTCTCAACCCCTCTGCTGAGGGCACCGGTCCTTCCTCCCCATGCTTCCCATCTCAGATCGCGTTCCTCGGGAGCGGGACACCATCTTGACAACAAGCCTGGAAGGTCTTTTACCAAGCGACTGAGTCGCCTGCAGTCAGTCCCATCCCATCGCATTTGCATGGCTCTCGTGGCACAAAGCGGAGTTGACGGAATTGACGGACTCCTACGTATACTACGTACTTCGCGTTCTCAACGAGAAATAGTCCGTTCCTGAAAATCCATCTCGCGTAAGAGCCTCAGCCATATTCGTTCCACTCTGTGCTCAAGTTCAGCGGATAACTTTCCGCAGCAAGCATCTGAATCAGAGTCATTGGTGTTTCGGCCGGCAAATGGTGTTCCCGGTGACTTGGTCGTGGAGCAGGAGTCTAGTAGCCTGGGCGGCTTTCGTTGTCCTCATCGGCACGGTCGAATGCGCCGGCAGTCACGCCACGCGGTTGCTCCTGACGGAGCCGCTAGCCGGTGGAGTCGCTCCGATGAATCTCACTGCGCCTGGCCTTCAGACCACTAGCGTCCATGCGGTGAATCCAGCGGCAAACGCGGCGGTAGATCCGGAGGCGTCAGTTGCGGCAGAAGCTGCGGCAGAAATGTTTGGTTTTCGCCTGAGAGATGAGGAGGAGTGTTCGCCGAGTCTCGCCGGTTCTCGTGAGCGGGTCGCAAACGAATCGTCATGGATTGATGCAGCCGTCAGCGAAGGCGGGCTTGCAGATGACGCTAACGGCTCCACCGGCAGCAGCGGAAGCAGTGACGGCAGCGGCGGCGGCGGCGGCGGAAGCAGCGAGGCGGAGGTGGCGCGGTGCGTGAGCGAGCGAATGATGGCTTTAATCGCTGAGGGACGCGGTCAGCTGGAAGGCGAGCGGCTTGAAGAGGCCGTTGCGACGTACGACGAGGTGCGGCGCGGCGAGTTGTAGCGAGGTGTGAGACGAGATGTAACGAAGTGCATTGCGAGATGTACCAAGGTGCAGTGAGTGAGCACGTCCAGGGGCCCCCTGCCCTAAATACAAAACTATCCCTTTTTCTCCCGCTCTTTAACACTCGATCCCAAAGCCTTCCCCCCCTGGGGCCCCCCCCCGCTGCTCCCAACCACCCTCCGCTGGCCCCACAGGCGGAGCGGCTTTTGCGGCGGCTGCACCAGCGGCTGTTTCACGGGCGCGGTGTGGCCAAGTCGCTGCTACGGCTGCACGAGCCGGCTGTAGCGGACTTCGAGCAGGTGAGCGCTCCCCTGGCGTTGCATGTGCGTCGCGTGAAGTGTGTCGTGTAAGGCGACTCGGGTAAAGACGTTCGTGCGATGTGCGCTCCCGTTGAGCCATGCGTGCGTGCTCTCTCGCCCCTCTCCCCACAGGCAGTGAGCCAACCCCGGGGTTTGAGACGTCTCAAAACTTGAGCCGTGCATGTGTGCTCTCTTGCCCCTCCTCCCCCACAGGCAGTGAGCACCAACCCTGGCAGCGTGAAGTGCTCTTTCGTCCCTCCTAGGCTGTTGTAGAATGGTGGTAATTCTCCAGGCGACCCAAAGCATCTTATCAGGTGGCTCTGTGGCCTCTCCTCCCCCACAGTTGGTGAGCGCCAATCCCAACAATGCAGAGCTGTGGATGGAGGTGGGGGCGGAGCGTGACGCACCGGGGCAGCACAAGAGGCCGTTCCGCTTCAAAGGTGCCTCAGATTGTGTGCTTTCTCCTCTCCTCCCCCGCAGGCAGTGAGCGCCAATCCCAACAATGCAGAGCTGTGGATGGAGGTGGGGGCGGAGCGTGACGCACCGGGGCAGCACAAGAGGCCGTTCCGCTTCAAAGGTGCCTCAGATTGTGTGCTTTCTCCTCTCCTCCCCCGCAGGCAGTGAGCGCCAATCCCAACAATGCAGAGCTGTGGATGGAGGTGGGGGCGGAGCGTGACGCACCGGGGCAGCACAAGAGGCCGTTCCGCTTCAAAGGTGCCTCAGATTGTGTGCTTTCTCCTCTCCTCCCCTGCAGGCAGTGAGCGCCAATCCCAACAATGCAGAGCTGTGGATGGAGGTGGGGGCGGAGCGTGACGCACCGGGGCAGCACAAGAGGCCGTTCCGCTTCAAAGGTGCCTCAGATTGTGTGCTTTCTCCTCTCCTCCCCCGCAGGCAGTGAGCGCCAATCCCAACAATGCAGAGCTGTGGATGGAGGTGGGGGCGGAGCGTGACGCACCGGGGCAGCACAAGAGGCCGTTCCGCTTCAAAGGTGCCTCAGATTGTGTGCTTTCTCCTCTCCTCCCCCGCAGGCAGTGAGCGCCAATCCCAACAATGCAGAGCTGTGGATGGAGGTGGGGGCGGAGCGCGAGACGCTGGGGCATCACGAGAGGGCGTGCGAGGCGTTCAGTCGCGCCCTGGAGCTGCTGCCGGGTGATGTGGAGGCGCTCAAACGCCGAGGTGCGTGGCGAGGCGAGCGGGGAGAGGGGAGAGTGGAGGGACGGAGCATGGGGTGAGCTGTGAGTCGACTCACAGAGCAGCACGAGAGGCCACGCACGAGGAGTTCAGCCGCGCACTGGAGCTGCTGCCGGGCGATGCAGGCGCTCAAGCGACGAGGTGCGTGGGATGGGGCGAGGGGGGGGACAGTGCATCGGCAAGCAGTGCATGCGCTCTGGGCTGGTGCGTTGTGGTGGGGTGTGGTGTGGTGCGCCCTCTACTTCATCTCCCTTTCGAAATTTCTCAAAAGCACCCTCCCCCCACTCCCCTCACCCGCGTATCGCAGGGCTGAGCGAATTCAAATGCTATTGCCTCGAAGACTCCCTCAAAGACCTTCTGCCCCCATTTCCCCCTTCCCTTCCCCCCCCCAACTTCCCCCTTCCCCTTTCACCCCCTCTCCTCCCCTCCCCTCTCTCCCTTTTCCCCCCTTGTGCAGGGCTGAGCGCGGTCAACCTGTATCGCTTCAAGGACGCCCTGAAAGACCTGCTGCTTGTGTTGCACATGCTGCCGAACGACGCCGACCTCAGCCGAGCCGTGGTGACACCATTGTTCTGCTACCCCCAACTGCTTCTCCCAGCCGCCCTCCCTATTGCCTCTCCACTACACCCATGCCTCTTTCCCCTCCTCCCCTCCCCCCATACCCCACTTCTTCCTCCTCCGCACTCCCCCACTCTTCCCCCTGTTTCCCCACTTTTCCCCCCTTTCGCCCCTTTCCCGTTTCCACACCAGGGAATTGCATTTGTGCGCTCGAACCAGTTCCGCCCAGCACAGCCGTACCTGGCGAGGGCGACTTATCCAGACGTCTCAACCCCCCCCCTCCCGGCCCCCTGTCCACCCCCCCAGGGCATTGCATGCATACGGTCGAACCAGTTCCAACCCGCACAGCCGTACCTGGCTCGAGCGGTGGAGCTGCTGCCAGGGGATGCGGACCTGTGCAAGGAGAAGGGGCGCCTGCACCGCCTGCTGCGCCTGTTGGGGGAGACGGACCAGGCTGAGGTGTACAAGAATATTAAGTATTCGAATAATATTCGATATTCGCTCGAATATCAGAATTCGTACGAATACAAAACGTCCATATATTCGAAAGTATTCGTGTTTAGAGTATTCGTCGATGAGAATATTTGGCTCAAAATATTCGAGGTATTCGTTCCTTTTCGTTATTCTACCATTGAAACCTACCACATCACTGAATTCCCCATTTTACCCAACGTGGACTGTTGGTTTTAACATTACAGTTTTTGTAAAATGCCCTTTTTAGATATGCTTGGGATATGGTAAGAAAAACAAGTGAGAGATAAGTTCAGTGGGCGTGTTTCCGCGTGCAAATCTTACTACCCTAAACCTTAACCCCTGTAATTACTTACTCGCCAAAGTATTCGTATTCGCCTTGGATTCGGCAATATTCGAATCGTTTTCGTATTCGGTGTTGAGTCACTATTCGTACAAATAAGAAACGATACAATATTCGGAGAATAGTCCTCAAAAGTATTCGTATTCGTTTGTACACCCTTTCCTGAGAGGGACCTGCTGTTCTCACTCCAGCTCGGACAGTATGTGCTCTGCTTGCTTTCTCTGCACTTCTTTGCCCTTTGCTTCTCTGCCCTGATCTGATCTTCACGCCCCCCCTCGCTGCCTCTCTGCCTCCCCGCCTTCCCGCCGCTCTGCCTCTCTGCCTTCCTTCCCGGACCCTCTCTGTCAGGGTCCGTTTGCCTCCAGTGCTACGTCAGTCCATGTGCTTCACTTCCTTCCCTCCCTCTACTTTCACTCGCTCATTCTGGCTTACTCACTCCACGTCCCTGGCAGGATACTAGAGACGCATCATAACCTGGTTCTGCAGAAGCGGCTGCTGGGAGACCATTGGTGAGCACCCACCACTCACCACCACTCACCGCCCACCACCACTCACTACTCACCACCACCACCCCAATACCACCCACCACCCGCCACTGGCGCCCCCCCCCCCTCCCCCCACTTTCCAACCCCCTCATCCCCCAACCCCCTTCACCCCCTCCACCCCCTCCATCGCCTCTCCTGCACCGTCTCATCTTGCCATCTACCCTCCATCTACCCTGTCTCGTCTCCTCTCAGGGGGGTGACTCCCATGGCACATGCGGGGCTCAAGGCGTTCCCAGGCGATCTGGAGATCATGCACGCCAAGGCGTCCAGCCTGCACGTGCTCGGGGAACATGCTGCTGCCGTGAGTTACACGTGACGCCCTTCCTCTCCCGCACATGCACCACGCCGTGCCATGCTCTCACCTGCATGCACGTGCCCGGGTGGCCTGGAGATCATGCATGCTAAGGCGTCCAGCCTGCACATGCTAAGCGACCATGCTGCTGCTGTGAGTCTTGTGTGTCCATGAGCCATGTTATGCTTTCATCTCACCTGAGTCCTCACGGGGCGGGCTTGTGATCATGCACGTTAAGGCCTCCAGCCTCCATTATGCTTTCTCGACTCCCCTCCCTGACCCCACCCCACCCCACCAGATGCGCCTACACGACGAGATGCTCTCCTCCTCCGTCCACCCCAACGAGCAGACATCATACCGAGACAGGACCTTCTTCCAGCGCCACCTGCTCGCCGCACCATTCCATGTACCCACCTTCTGCTACATGCTCCTCTCCCCTCCCTCCCTGACCCCACCCCACCCCACCAGGTGCGCCTACACGACGAGATGCTCTCCTCTCCTGTCCACCCCAACGAGTAGACGTCCTACCGCCACAGGACCTTCTTCCAGCGCCACCTGCTCGCCGCACCATGTCAGCCATGCACTCACCGTCTGCTACATGCTCTTCTCCCCTCCCTCTCTCCCTGACACCCATCCCACCAGATGCGTCTGTACGACGAGATGCTCTCCTAGCCCATCCACCCCAACGAGCAGGCAACATACCGCGAGAGAACTGTCTTCCAGCTCCACCTGCTCGCCTCTTGAGACGACTCGAAAGTCACATGCACGCCTCCCGTCCCTCCGTGACCCCACCCCACCAGATGCGGCTCTACGACAAGATGCTCTCGTCGCCCGGCCACCCCAACAAGCAGACGTCCTACCGCCACAGGACCTTCTTCCAGCGGCACCTGCTGGCCTACACGGTGGCGCGCCTTGACCAGCCCTTCTCTGCCTTCTGCATTGATGATGACCTTGATGAGGAGTGGTGGGTGAGTTGAAGTGTGGGGGAGGGGAGGGAGAGGGGGGGAACAGGGTGGGAGAGGAAGAGGGCAAGAGGGGGAGGGGAGGAAGAGGGTGGGAGAGGGGAGCTGAATGTCAATGTTATCAACGGCGACCTTGACGAGGAGTGGCGGGTGAGAGGGGAGGGCGAAAGAACAGTGCGAGAGGGATAGGGAGAGAAGAGTGAGAGAGGGACAAGGGTGGAGAAGGTGTCAGGGACACGGGATGGTGGTATCGGAGTGGAAGGCACAGTCTTCACCTCTGCTCGTCACACTTGACGGTTTCCCACCGACTTCATTGCATTAGCCCAGTCCCCCTACTCATCCCCACTCCTCCCTGCTCTTCCCCTCTCTTCCCCACCTCTCCCCGTCCCTCTCTCCCCTTCTCCCCTCATCCCTTCTCCGCCTCCCTCTCCCCTTTCTTCTCCCCCCATGGGCGCCAGAGCAAGGGGGCCACGGGGGGACGGCCAGAGGATGTGCCGGGCTTCGTCCTGCTGGCGATCCCCGAGGACCAGTTGCAAGCTGCCACGTGGCAGCACCTGCCACGCCTGTCACGGACGGCAGTACAGCTGGTGGAAGCGGCGGACGTTATTGGTGCTCGCACGCACTATGATACTGATGGCATGCTGCATAACACCCAGCAGGTGAGTATGGAAGAATGGCATGATGTGATGGCATGATGCCATGGCATGGCATGATAATGCTTGTCTAACGGACGTGATTGGTGCTCGAACTCACTACGACATCGATGGCGTGCTGCATAACACCCAGCAGGTGCGCTTGAAATGGCGGCTTGGTGTGGCATTGCGTGGTATGGCATGGCATGGCATGGCATGGCGTGGCGTGGCGTGGCGTGGCATGGCATGTCACAGGCAGTGTGATACTGGTTGTGACGTGTGTCTTGAGTCGACTCTAGCACATCACACCTATGTGACAAGCTTTGGGCATGCAAGGCCTGCTTGCAGCAGCGCTGCATGCCCACCTTGATTCCCCTGTGCCCACTCACCTCCAACTCCCTTCTCTCCTTCCCCCATCCCCTGCTTTCTTCCTCCTCCCTCCCGCCCTACAGTTGCGCATGGCAGGGCTAGCAGCTTCAGACGTGATGCAGCAGGTGCGCCGCACGCTGCTGCTGATAGCGGATCAGATGCGCATTGCCCCTCTGCTCTTCGGCACCCACAGGCAAGATGGGGCCGATGAGCATTGGCAGCAGCAGCTGGAGCAGGCGCTTCAGCAGAGGCAAGGTGGGCAGCTGGAGCAAGCGCTTCAGGACAGGCAAGGCGGGAAGCACACGGGCCACAGCCGACAAAGCAGCAGCAGCAGAAGCAGCAGCGGGGGTGACAGCAGCGGGGGTGACAGCAGCGGGGGTAACAGCAGCGGTGGCAGCAGCGGGGGTGGGCGGAGTCTGTTGGGCCGGTCTGACCTGGTGACGAGCTGGCGGCATGTGTTCCGGGTGCTGGTGGCGTGGAGGCAAGTGCCAGATGCCATGGAACCCATCGCCCGGAACGAGTTCCCTATCAGAATCAGTAGAAGTACCTACTAATATCCGCTACTGGTACAACGATCAGGTTCGCGCCGATAATGACTGGCGTGAAACCTCGAACTGAATACGGCATGTTTGGGCATCGCGTCTTGTGGAAAGGGCAGTGCTATATAAAAACAGACCATATTTACCATGCTATGGAATTTGAGGGCCTGTGGTGATCATAGAAATCTTAAGAGTTAATGCTCCAACTTGGATTGCATTCAAATCAATGTTTGGAGTACCTAACTATTTACCCTAGTTTCACCTCAGGCCCTCAGAAGTCAGACTTTTTTCTCTGATTTGGGCTTTTTTCTCTGATATTTCAGATTTTTTTTCCTGTGTACTCTGATAAAATCAGACTTTTTTGGGCCTCAACTCTGTAATTTTCAGACTTTTTTTAAGGCTAACTCTGAGAGTTCAGAGTTTTCTGAGAGTGTACTCTGATCATTCAGAGTACAAACGCGTCCTTGACTGGTGATTCGGACTTACGGGTCACAGCAGATTCGCACTGCCAAAGCGAAATCTCCTTGACATAGCAAATCTGAGCCTTTACATCACAAGATTTTCGCCCAATCATAGCAAAATCGCCCTGACACAACAGTTTTGAGTTGTCAGAGCACCACAATTTTCGCCCAATCACAGCAAAATCGCCCTGACATTGCACATTCACCTTTTTCGCACCACAAGATTCGCCCTGACACATATATTCGCCCTGTCAGAGCATGTTTTATCGAAAATCCCCTTAGTGTAGCATGTTTCGGTAGCAGTTGGGTGAAACATTGAATACACTTCCGATGAAACATTGAACAGATTGATTTTGAATGATCAGACTTTTGTTTTATGACACTCTGACATTTCAGCCTTTTTTTTATACCAAGTCTGAGATTTTCAGACTAAAATTGTGTACTAGTCTGATGAATCAGACAGGCCTAAAACGAATCTGAGGGCCTGTTTCACCTATATGATGGCTCAGTATCAAACATCAACAGTTACAGTCAGACACAGTAAAAAAAGTTCCATACAATGCGAGCGATGATCAACCACAACCCGATACTGCTGCACTTCATAGGAATCAGAGTGACAATGGCACCCCATGGCTATAGCTTTTTTTTGTTGGAACCATGGTGGATGTTGCTGCTGTTGGTATGCGTTGGTTGATCCACCACATCTTCAGAATCCTCAATCGAAATGTTTCGACTGGCAGGTCCAATGTCACAAGAATTTACCATGGCACCAAACTTGACTGACCCCAATGTCTCTTCAATTGACGACCTGTCCGGTGAAATGTTGAGGAACATGAGGTTCCTTGTCTCCTTCTCAATTGATTTCTGCAGAGCCAATCGCATCAGGAGAAAATTCTTGAACATCAAATGCTTTGGAGTACAAAAATTCAAGTTCATACCTGCAGTAGGTAGGTCAACTTCCCGTCAAGGACGTGGGATAAGGACGTGGGATAAGGAGCTCAAGCTCTTGTTGATTGCCTGAAGATGGGTGTGGCACATGGCATGAGTCATTATGTGACCATCGTATGAATAAATCAGATTAATAAAGCTGCTTACTATGGACTCCGTCAATGTCTCTCCAGTTGCATTCGACTTCTTGGTTCTTTCACTTCCTGCCAAATCAATCAAGTTGAGGATGCCATGTGTTGTCTCACCAGTGCCCTGACAGGGAAGAGAAGGATCAATAGTGAGATCTGTCACAAGTTTCGCCCAAAACTGCTGCAAGAATTGAGTTACATTTAATCACTCACCCGATGTCGGCCATTCAGCCGGAGGGTGAAAACCGCATGAGAGCGTGATGACTCCTCGTTCATGTCTGTCCTTGCAACGGACCTGCAATTAAACATGATCAAACATTATCAATATGATGCAAAATCCATAAGCAAGCTCTGATCATCCGTACCTCTTCTTGTGTGCATAAGCGAAAACCTCAGCTGCGTCCTCCACAGATTGCACAGTGACAACTTTGAGGCCAACCACTGTAGTAGTTCCATCCTTCTCGTGAACGATGGTGTAAAGAGAAAGCCCCCCCCCCCCTTTTTTGCTGCCACACTTCCCTTCTCAGGCTTCGAGCTTGTAACACTTCCCTTCTCAGGCTTCGAGCGTGCAACACTTCCCTTCTCAGGCTTCGAGCTCGTAGCCTCGTCATCGTTGTGGTATCCTTTCAGCAGGTCGCGGATGGACTCATTGTGGATCTCGAGAAAGGAAGCCTGCAGGGTACGAAAAAGCAATGTTCAGTTGCTGCAGGTTGCACAGAACCACCAAGAACAATAGATGCACGAACGCACCTCAACGGTGTAATTCCATCCCGTGTTGGACTTTTGACGGATGACTTGAAAAATCTGCTGCATGGAACGTGGAATAGCTCCACGGAGAGTCTCGTCGGTGGTGTCCCCGAACATGGTAAAAGTTTTTCCAGAACCGGTCTGGCCATATGCAAAGATACACACCTGAAAAGAGAACCGTGAAAAACTGGGTCAGAAGGTTGTTGAATAACAATGGACAGGTTAATTGAATCCTTTCTACTTACCTTATAGCCATACAATGCACTGGTAACCAGGTCTGCAATCTCTTCAAACACAACCGGCTGAGTCGTAGCAGGCGGAAACACCTTGTCAAACTTGAAATCTCCTTCATGCCCTGATCAGCCATGAAATTTTTATGTCAGAAAAGGGGACTTTTGGGACGCGAGTTGTGCCAAATAAAAAAAATGGTTTACCTTGAACCGCGAACTTGTTATCAATGTTGTTCTCAGGAATCCGTACAGCCATAGCACCAAGGTTTTCTTTTTCTTCCTTCGCACTAAGAGGGCGAACCCGGCAAAACACCCTAATGTTCCCTTTCATCAACTGCAGAGAAATTTAAGTGAGCCTCTGATGGATCGGAAAAATAGCAAAAACTTGTGAGAACAGCAAGAGCCATACCATTAGCCGGTTGTGGAGAGCCTTCATACTCTTTTCCGTCTCTTGCAGCAGGAGATCCTTCTTACGCAGAAGCTGCTGACTTTCAGCCAACGCGTTCTTCAACCTTGTATTCTCTGCCTTCAGATCGCACTCGGTTTGTGATGGTCCCTGAAGAAGACGCGAGCAGGAACATAATCAGATCGCGACTAACTTCTCATTCTATGCATCAGCTGAGAATCTTACCTCCACATTCTTTAACTCGACTTCCTTCTGACCAGCTTCATTCCTATCACTAATATCCTTAGCCAGTTGACCGATCACAACCTGGAATGTGACACACACGTAATAAAGACTCTGAACCATGCAAAAACGTAGCGAATGTACTGCACGTGACGTATACCTGTTGAGAGTCGATAAACTCTTGCCTCTTCTCAAGTTCCTTCGTCAGGTGGTCAATCTGCAAAGGGTCGTGGTACTTAGTGCCGTAGAATCGAATGCCGTAGAATCGAATGCTGCATCAGATACCTTATCCTTGGATGCCGAACTTTCGGTAACTGCGGAGCTCAGTGCCCGATTCAGCTCCTCCGTTCTGGCATGGAGAAGCTTCTCAGAAACCAGAAGCTTTGATTCTACCTGTAGAGCAACCAAAGCACGAGTTAGCGGGAGTTCGAAGAGCATAGACCAACCAAACGTCTCACACGCACCTCTTCCGTCTTCTTGTTGGCATCCTGCAGAGAAGCCTCCAAGGTACCCACGGATTGCTCGAGCTCCTTAATGCGAGCTAGAAGCCAGTCGCGTTCCTTAGCCTTTTCATCAAAGTCAAGCTTTCGCTTCTTCACGTCCCTGTTCTCCTCATCCTGCGGGTCAGCATTCTTAACACTGTCAGCGGTAGATCCGTCAATGGTGTTGGATGAAGCCTGCATTATCCCACTAATCTGCCGTTTCACTTTTTTTTTAAAAGGCCTACGGGCTGATCCTGGTGGCAGAGAGTCAATCATCGTTGCACGGGATTTTCGTGCACAGTTTACCAAGGGCGATGGCAAGAGAATTCGCGAGGGTGATTGTTGAGCTTGAACAGTTGTGGGTGGAATGTGAAGAGTATCTGTGGATAGGGAGTACTTCTACTCTCGCGGGTGTGTCAGGCCAGTGATCTCTGACGAACCGCACTTCAAAAATTGAGATCCTGCCTTTGACATGGATCTCGATTTTGACATAAAGTACACCCCAGGTTACATCGGTTGTACTATAACATCATTTATTATATTTTCTTACATTCCACCCTAAGTTCCACCTCCAGAAAATAAATCCACTATTTGTACAATACGACAAAGTCGGGTCATCAAAATGATACGGTACAAAAGAAATGTTAGCCTAGTTTTAAGCGTAAAGTATGCCTGGAAAATTACTATGGTTACATTCCTTGCGTCACAAAAGCCTCATGTCTTGTGTCCCAAAAGACGGGATACAGTGCGGTGGAAAAGATTGCTACTTGGGTGTGAAACCGTGCAGAGTGGTACTGGTACATTGCCTTTGTGATGCCTAAATCGTATACATGTCTTGGGAGGAAAAAACCCTAATAACATTAGACGATACACGCCATCCGGAAGACTAGACGCCATCCGATCCGAATGGTCGAGGACCTGTGTAGCTGCATGTGTGATGTGCCCGAGTGCCTCTGCATAGCAGAATGGTGATGGAGTTGGTCAGTGCTCTGCGAGACTGTCAAATGTTGTAGCCTATAGTGAGGTTTGTCTTAGGGGGTACAAAACTTAGGGTTAGCTATATGTACCCCAACCAACATCAATGCATCATCCATTCCTCATTCTGACATGGTATCAGAGCGGTTAGGATCCTGTGGGATCCCGTTCCTCCGTTCTCCGTTCGTATCTCCCGAGCCTGATCCTACCTCTCGTTCGTACCGGTTCCGTTGTTACCGCGCCTAGTGCCGAGCCTAGCGCCCTTCCCCCCGTCGCCTAGCGCCCTTTCCCCCCCCCGTCACGTCGCGCCCTTTCCCCCCGTTGCGTCGCGCCCGTTCCCCCCCGTCGAGTCGCGCCCTTTCCCCCCGTCGCGTCGCGCTCTTTCCCCCCGTCGCGTCGCGCCCTTTCCCACCGTCGCGTCGCGCCCTTTCCCCCCGTCACGTCGCCCTGCCCCGTCCCGTCGCCCTGCCCCGTCCCGTCGCCCTGCCCCGTCCCGTCCCGTCGCCCCGTCCCGTCCCGTCGCCCCTGCCCCGTCCCGTCCCCGTCCCGTCCCGTCGCCCCTGCCCCGTCCCGTCCCCGTCCCGTCCCGTCGCCCTGCCCCGTCCCGTCCCGTCGCCCCGTCCCGTCCCGTCGCCCCTGCCCCGTCCCGTCCCCGTCCCGTCCCGTCGCCCCTGCCCCGTCCCGTCCCCGTCCCGTCCCGTCGCCCTGCCCCTGCCCCGTCCCGTCGCCCCGTCCCGTCGCCCTGCTCCGTCACGTCGCCCTTCCCCGTCCCGTCGCCCTGCCCCGTCGCGTCGCCCTTCCCCGTCCCGTCGCCCTCCCCCGTCGCGTCGCCCTCCCCCGTCGCGTCGCCCTGCCCCGTCGCATCGTGCCCGCCCTTTCCCCCGTCCCGTCGACCCTACGCCCTGGCCCGTCGCTCTAGCCCGCTCTTCCGCTGCGACTAAGTCCCACCTGCACCCTAATTTGCCTCTTACCTCCTGCTGTTACTCGCCTGCTCGTTCGCGTTAGTTTTCGCTATGGCGACTCCGCGAGTTCTTCGTTTCGACGCTGACGGTAGACCTCTTGACTTTTCCGTCTGGCTTCTTCGTGCTCGCCGTCTGTTAGAGAGTCAAGTCCAGGGGGGCGAGACCCTCTGGTCGCACGCTACTGGTGACCTCCCCGAGCCCCCCGAGCCTGCCGCTTTAGGTCCTGCCCCTGACGATGCTGCTACGGCTCGCTTTGCCCGTCAGCGCGCTGACAGGACGGCTTGGACGTCACGTGACGCTGCGGCCTGCATCGCACTCAGCAGCCTCCTCCCTGAGTCAGAGGAGGTCCACTTCACTCAGGTTCGCACCGCTGCTGCGTACCTCACTGCGATTAAGGCCCGCTACTCTACTCCCGCTACTGTCTCTCTTGGCCGTCTTTTCCTCCCGTTCCTGTTTCCTGATCTCGCCTCGTTTGAGCGCTCTGCTGACTTGATCGCTCACCTCCGCTCGCTCGACGCTAGTTACCGCGCTGCTTGCACTGAGGCACAGCTTGCACTGCTTCCTCCCCCCATGGCGATTACTATCTATTTCATCGCCACTAGCCTCCCTGACCGCCTTGCCTCCGTACGTGACGCGCTCCTGCTGAAGCACCCTAGTGAGCTGACAGTTGAGGTCCTTGAGTCTGCGCTCAAGGACGTCGAGAGCAACCTTCGCTCGGTAGCTGCCGCCTCTGGTGCTGTGCCCCCCCCACTCTTCCACGGGTGCACAGTCCCGCAGTTACCCACCTTCACTGCCTCTCTTGCCACTGCCGCTACTGACGCGACTGCAGCTGCTGCTACGACTGCGTCGCGGTCCCGCGGCAAGGGGGGCAAGAAAGGTGGTTCTGGTGGAGGTGGAGGCGGAGGTAGCGGAGGTAGTGGTGGGAGTGCAGCGTCTGGAGAGACCTCTCGTGCAGCGGCTGGTGACTCCACTGCGCCTGCTGGTGGTGGCGACGCCCGAGCTCGTCAGTCGTCTCCTGTACTGCCGGCCCCGCTAGGTGGAGCAGCGGCGTGGTACCAGGCTCAGCGTCAGCAGCGGCTTCAGCAGCAGCAGCAGCCCCTCTCCTCCCAGCAGCCTCAGCAGCAGCAGCGTCAGCAGCTGGCTCCGGGGTCGGGGCTGCGTCAGCCCCAGCGTGGTGCTGCTTACCCTCCCTGCACCTATCAGGTTCTGACAGGTCCTCGTCGGGGCCACCCTTGTGGCCGCTTTCACCCCCCTGGTCAGTGCTTTGCTCAGCTCACTGACACGGTCCGGTTGGCCTACGGGGTTGGCGGTCCTGCCCTTGACTGGCTTCCTCTGGTTCAGCGCTACGGCTCCGCTCTGTGGGGCATGTCTGCTGAGCAGTTAGTTGATCTGATTGGTGCTCCTCATGCTATGTATGCTGTTGTTGACTCTAGTGTTTCTGACTCTGCTTACTCTGGTGTTGTTAGCTTAGGTGCTAGCCTTGCTCAGTTGCCTGTTGCTAGTGTAGGTTCTTGTGTAGACTCTAGTCCAGCGGCTACCTCAGAGGACGGTTCGCTGTCGTTCACGCTGGACTCTGGAGCCTCTCACTGCTTCTTTCGTGACAGCACGACACTTACGCCTCTTCCTGCGCCTGTTTCTGTGGCGCTGGCTGATCCCACTTCGGGACCAGTCACCGCGCGTCACACTACCACCTTGCCGTGTCCGGCTGCTCCTTCTGGGTCTCTCACTGGGTTTCACGTCCCCTCGTTCTCCCGGAACTTGGTGGGCGTGCGACCCCTTGTGAGTCAGCACGTGGGTGTGTGGTTTGAGCCTTCTGGAGAGACTGCGGTGTGTGTTGACGGGGACTCTTACCAGCCCCTCGCCACTTTTGCTGCTGAGCCGGGCTCCGGTCTCTACACTCTTCACACTGGCCCGCGCGCTCAGCAGCGACTGCAGCAGCAGCAGCAGCCGCAGCAGCCGCAGCAGCAGCAGCGGCAGCAGCAGCAGCCGCAGCCACAGCGGCCGCCGTCACAGCAGCCCCTCCTCCCAGTTCCTGTCCCTCCCCCTAGTCTCCTCCCTGCGTCTCACCAGGTGGTTCCGTCCTCTCAGGTTGTCGCGTCCAGTCCAGTCGCTGCGTCTTGCTCCTGTCGGTCGCTTGCCCACCCCACCGTTCTGTGGCACCACCGGCTGGGACACCCTTCTCTTCCACGTCTGCGTGCTATGTCTAGTCAGCGTCTGGTCTTAGGTCTCCCGCGTGTCTTGCCGTCGCTGCCGCCGTCCCTTGCACCACCGTGCGGTCCTTGCGTCGAGGGTAGGCTGCGTGCCACCCCTCACTCCTCCTCCCTTCGTCCGGCCACCGAGCCTTTTGAGACACTGCACTTGGACGTCTGGGGCCCCTCTCCTCGCCCTGGCCCTGAGCGTGAGCGTTTCTTTTTGGTGGTCGTTGACGACTACTCCCGCTATACCACAGTGTTCCCCCTGGCGAGGAAGTCTGAGGTGACTTCTACGCTGATCAGGTGGTTGCTTACCACCCAGGACACTCGTGGTCGTCGTGTCAGCTGTCTCCACTCCGACCGCGGGGGCGAGTTTCGCTCCGGCATTCTCGCTGGATTCTGTCGCGAACAGGGCATTCGTCAGTCCTGGACGCTTCCGGAGTCCCCACAGCAGAATGGGGTTGCTGAGCGTCGCATAGGCCTGGTCATGGAGATTGCCCGCACCTCCTTGACTCACGCCCGTGCCCCCCATTTCCTGTGGCCATACGCAGTCAGGTACGCCGCGCACCAGCTGAACCTCTGGCCACGCGTCTCTCGGCCGGAGGCTTCACCGACCAGTCTTTGGACAGGGTCCCCTGGTATCGCGTCGAGGTTTCGTGTCTGGGGGTGCTTGGCTCTTGTCCGCGACACCTCCGCGGACAAGCTCTCGCCTCGCGCCGTTTCTTGTGTCTTCCTTGGTTTCCCTGAGGACTCCTCTGACTTCACCTTTTACCACCCTCCCTCTCACCGGTTCTTTGACTCCCGTGACGTCCGTTTCGAGGAGTCCACCCCCTACTACGTCAGGTACCCCAGTCGAGGTCTCCCGGTTCCTCCTCCCCCCCTCTTCCTGACAGCCGCTCCCCCGCCTGCTCCCCCGGTACAGCCTCCCCCCCCTGGTCCAGCCCCGTCTGGTGTGTCTCAGGCTAGCCCTCCCCCTTCGGTAGCCCCCCCTGTACAGCCTCCCTCCCCACAGTCTTCCTCGCCGCCTCCTGCAGGTGCTCCCTCTCGGGAGGTTGGTCCTGCGACTGTCCCTGTACAGGTCTCTGGTTCTGGGGGTGCTGGAGTTGGAGCTGAGCCGCGGGTTGCAGAGGACTCTTGTCTTCCGGGGGCTGGTACTGGTCGTGCGGAGTCTGGGGGTGCTGGTGCGGAGTCTGGGGGTGCTGCGTCTGGGGGTGAGGGTGTTCCTTCGGTTTCTGGAGAGCCTGGGTCTGGAGCTGGTGTTGGTGCTGCCTCTGGGGGTGGTGTGCTTGGTGCTTCGGAGGTCGACTCTGGGGCTGCCGCTGCCCCGGACACTACTCCTTCCCCCCACCCCTACCCGACCAGGTTCCAGGCTCGTGTTCGCCGTGCTCGTGAGGAGCAGCTGGAGTTGGAGAGAGAGGAGAGAGAGTTGCAGCGGCTCGAGGAGCAGGAGCGACAGCAGCAGGGGCAGCAGCCGCTGGAGCAGCAGCAGCCGCAGCAGCCGCAGCAGCAGCAGCTGCCGTCTCCTCCTCCTGTCTCGGGTCTTCGGACCCTTGGTCTCCCCTCTCCCTCTCCTTCCTCCTCCCCCTCTCCTCCCGTCTCTGGTCCTTCGCTTCCTCCTCCTGACCCCTCTCCCGCTGTTTTCCCTCGTTCTCAGTCTTCGTTGTCCCCTCCTTCTTCTCAGACTTGGGCCTCTCGTCGCTCCCCTCGTGCTCGTCCCTCGTCTCCTGTTCCCTTCACTGACCTTCGTACTGCCTTACTTCGTTCTAGTCCACCTCGTCCGTCTCCGTCTGTGCTTCCGTCTCCTCCTGAGTCGGCTCTCACTGCGTCGCTCCCTACTCCTGTCACAGACTACTACCGCACGTACCGTCCTCTTCTCTCTCGTGTTCTCGCCTCGCTTGTTACTCACCCTCGTGCCTCTGTGTCCTCTGTGTCCGCTCTTACTGCCGCAGTCACTGACTTTGCCTCTACCCGCCGCCTTGACTTCGCCACCGCTCTTGTGGCTGCTCCTCCTTCCAGTCCTCTGGCCGTCGGGGGTGTGTCTGCCCTTGGCTGTGACGCCCTAGAGGACAGGCAGTTTGAGCTAGAGTTCCTGGCCGCCGCTTCCCCTCATCTCTGTGCCATGCTCCTCGCCCCTGAGGGTGACCCCGACGCCCTTGACATTCCGACTCCTCGCACTTACGCTGAGGCAGTGTCAGGGCCTTGGGCCTCTCAGTGGAGAGCTGCCATGGACGCAGAGATGGCCTCCTACAGATCCACAGGCACCTACGTCGATGAGGTTCCCCCTCCGGGGGCGAACGTAGTCGACGGCATGTGGATCTACAAGGTGAAGCGGCCACCGGGATCTCCTCCGGTCTTCAAGGCGCGCTACGTGGCTAGAGGTTTCAGTCAGCGCGAGGGAGTTGACTTCTTTCAGACCTTCGCGCCCACCCCGAAGATGACCACTCTTCGGGTGTTACTACACGTAGCAGCACAGAGAGACTACGAGTTACACTCTCTTGACTTCTCTACTGCTTTCCTTCAGGGCAGTCTTCACGAGGAGGTCTGGTTGCGTCGTCCCTCTGCCTTCACTGGCTCTTTCCCTCCTGGGACCCAGTGGAGGCTGAGGCGACCGGTTTACGGTCTTCGTCAGGCTCCTCGTGAGTGGCACGACACCCTGCGTTCTACCCTGTCTGACCTTGGGTTCCAGCCGTCTTCTGCTGACCCGTCGCTGTTCGTTCGTCGTGGCCCCACACCTTTCTTTGTTCTGGTCTACGTTGACGACCTTGTTTTCGCCACCCCTGACAGGGTTGCTTTGGCACACGTGAAGTCCGAACTGCAGAAGAGACACACCTGCACTGATCTTGGTGAGCTGCGCCACTACCTTGGCCTGCAGATCACCAGGGACAGAGCTGCTCGCACCATTACACTTTCACAGTCGCACATGGTGCAGCAGGTCCTTCAGCGGTTCGGGCTTCAGCACTCCACAGTACAGCGCACACCTCTTGCTGTTGACCACAGACTCACTGGACCCTTTCCTGACGAGCCGTTCGAGCCTAGTGGTCCCTACGCAGAGCTTGTGGGTTGCCTCATGTACCTGATGACTTGTACTCGCCCGGACCTCGCCTTCCCTCTCAGCGTTCTTGCGCGCTTTGTTGCGCCAGGGAGACACCGTCCTGTTCACTGGACAGCAGCTGTGAGGGTGGCGAAGTACCTAGCGACGACGTCAGGCGTGGGGCTAGTTCTTGGAGGGCAGCAGTCTGTCGTACTTACTGGTCACTGTGACTCCTCTTACGCTGACGACGCTGAGACTCACAGGTCTACTCAGGGGTACTGTTTCAGCCTGGGTTCTGGAGCTGTTTCCTGGCGGTCCACGCGCTCCTCTTCGGTCTCGACCTCTACAGCTGAGGCTGAGATCTACGCTGGTGCCATGGCGGCACAGGAGCTGCGTTGGTTGACGTTCTTGCTCACCGACCTTGGTGAGCGGCCGAGCTCTGCACCGACCTTGTTCACTGACAACAAGGCGTCTATTCTCCTTTGTCGAGAGCCACGACTGGAGAGCAGAGTGAAGCACATTCACGTCAGGTACTTTCTTCTGCGAGAGTTGCAGAGGCGTGGACAGGCTCGCTTTGAGTTTGTGGAGTCCGAGGCAAACACTGCAGACATCTTCACCAAGGCGCTTCCGCCTTGTGACCACCAGAGGTGCTGTGTGCAGTTAGGCCTTGTTGACACTGGTTCTCGTGTTGCTTAGGCTTGAGTGTACTGTTTACTTTGCTTTCTATATACCTCTGTTACTTCTTGGACTGGCCTTGTGGCCACTGTTGTTTGTGCTCAGACTGTGTGGTGACGTTGTGATCCACCCTGAGCTTCGTTTCTTGGACTGGTCTTGTGACCGTACTCGTTTGGTTCTGCTAGACACCCCTCACTTAGGCTATGGGGGTGTGTCAAATGTTGTAGCCTATAGTGAGGTTTGTCTTAGGGGGTACAAAACTTAGGGTTAGCTATATGTACCCCAACCAACATCAATGCATCATCCATTCCTCATTCTGACAGAGACATGTTAGACATGTGCATAGTTTTCCAGGTGCATTCCACTTAAACAATGGGTCCTATGAAACGACATAGAGGGACATGTTTTCTTTTATACGGAATGATAAAAGACTCCATGAAGCATTACCAACTAGAGCACCACATGTGACGAAGAGGCTTTCACAAGCGCCCTTCATGTATCATACGTACAAACCCATGCCAATTTGCTTGGGTTCCCTCTCAATCATCCAACCGGGCCTGCACAGAACAACACACGCTCGGTCAGTCAGTGAGCAGGTGCAAGCAGCACTTAACCAGCGCACGCACCACTCAAGAGTGTGAGAGTTGAGAGCTTGAGGGCATGGGGCAGTCACAGGCCAGAGCTCACTCACTTGTTGATGGCGAAAAACCGTGCGCCCAGAGCGGCGCGTTGCAATAGCAACTCTCGCTGTGCCACTGGAATGGCCTCAGCCTGTTTGCTCCTCCGGGCAGCACGCACAGACGCACACGAGGGACCCAGGAGAACACGGGTACCAAGAGCCTTGGAGAATACCCAGGTGATTTAAATGAGGCTAGTGCATTGGCGGAAGGTAGTGAATGGGAGGAGGGTTGTGCATGAGAGGAGGAATTGAGAAGGGTGAGAGCAAAAGTTGAGACATGCGACTCGTATGTGCTTACACTGCTCTCTTTACACCCCACTTGTGCTGTGGCAGGGAGGAGGCAGCTGCAGCCACAGCCCTTCCCCAACACCTTTCCAGCCCTACATACCTGTTCGGGGTAGTGCACGCCTGGCAGGGACGTGCCTTCCAGCAGAGCGACAGCAAATGCTGCTGTAGCCACGCCCACACTCCTGGGGGGCACTCAGGGAGTGGGGGGAGGGACGGTTGAGGCGCAGGGGGAGTTAGTGTGAGGAGCAGCAGAAAGGTGCATGACATGTTGTTTAGTTTCCTTGACATGATGTTGATGTTGATGTGATGCCGTTGGATGAACCCCATGCCCTCACACCAGTAAGTACTTACAATGTCACGAACTCACACTGAGTAGCACTCATACGGATAAGCGCTCACTTTGATAAGATTTCACACTGATAAAAAAATCACATGGATAAACACTCCCAGTGCTGAGAACTCACACTGATAAGCGGCGGTGGGAGAACAGAGCCGTTGTGGAGCGACCATTCTCTGTCTCCAAATCGACCTTGAAACATGTGAAACACAGGAGAGAGGAACGGGGGGAGTAGTGGCGCGAGTAGGAAGGAGGGAGGGGGATCGAGTGAGGGAAGGTAGGGGGGTGTCGAGGGGAGACCTAGAGAGTAGACAGACCGAGAGAAGGGAGGGAAAGGAGGAAAAACAATGGATTCTGGAGAAACCCACGGCATGCAACGCCGCTTACTCACATTCCCCCCAACCGCCCTCCCCTCTCACCCGCATGGCGACCCTCTCCCCCGCGCTGCCATCAGCGGCGCGCACCAGCGGCTCCAACACTCCCGCCATGCGCTGCACTGCGCTGCAGTCCTGCAGCACGGCCTGGCAGATGTGGGCCCCAGGGAGTGGGTGGAGGGGAAGATGTGGAGGGGGTGGTGTGAGCACCAGAGGCTCCAACGCCCCCACCATGCGCTGCACTGCCCTGCGGTCCTGCAGCACTGACTGGCGGGGATGTGCGCACAAGGGACGAGGTGGGGGAGGGGGGGGAGGAGGGGAAGAGGGTGAGTGATGGGTGGGGGTGGTGTGAGCATGCAGTGCAGCGTCCAGTCCCCCACCTTCCCAACAGGGAGGGGAAGCAGGCAGCAGGGCGCACCTGAGGCAGCAGGGCGCACCTGAGGCAGCAGGGAGCGCAGCAGGTGCATGGCCCAGTTCCACATGTGAGGCGCCGTGCCAAAGCGGGCCGACACGGTGGGCACCCCCAGCACCTCGTGCGCTGACACCACCTCCGGTAGGTTGCTGGGGGGGGGGGAGGGGAGGCAGGAGGAGTGGGCAGGAACGGGCGAAGAGCGCGAGAGAAGTGGGAGCGGAGTGGGAAGGGAGTGGGAGAGGATTGGGACAGAGACGAGGGCAGAGCCCTAAGGAGCAGTGGCGACAGCTGCTGCAGACATATGTGCAGCACAGTCATGGCAAGGCAAGGTATGGCATGACATGGCATGGAAAGGCAAGGCAAGGCAAGGCGCGCCGTCGCTCACAGCAGGTACGTGCTTCTCTCCCCCACGCCCGGGCCAAAGTCCACCAGACGCTGCTGGCTGTACGCTGGCAGCTGCAGACGCTGCCCTGGCGGGGAGAAGAGGGCGAGGGCAGGGGAGGAGGGCACGGGGCGAGTGAGGCACCAAAGACACAAGCGCGAGCAGGGGGAAGCAGGGGTGGCGGGAAATGAAGAACAGGCAAGCATCTTTCCAGTGCTCTCGTTCCATCCCACCCCCTCCTCCTCCACGTTTCAGTCTCTCCACCCCACTCCACCCATTCCTCCACCGTCTTCTCCCACGCATTTCAGAACACCTTTCATCCCCCATTCACTTCACAACATCCCCATCTCTTCCCCCTTTCAACCCCATCATCTCCCCCCGCACCGTCTTTGAAGGCGGTGGCAGGCTCCCCCAGCAGCAGCAGGCTGGTGGTCAGGATGGTGGGACCCGCCCCTCCCGTGCCCGCCGTGAAATACGAGAAGCTAGTAGGCCGGGAAAGGGGGGGAGAGGGCAAGGTTTGTTGTGGGCGGAAGAGAAGCGAGCGGGAGTGCACGGAGGAGAGGAGTGGGTGGAGAGAATGGCGGAGCCGGAGAGGAGACAGGTGCTGGGAAACGACAGAACATGGAGAAGTTGGAACTTGGTGGGTGCAGGTAAGTGAGTGAGTGAGTGAATGAGCGTGTGAGTGAGTGAGTGAGTGGTGGCACCGCAGGCTCTTTGGTCGAAGGCCGAGAGCGGCTTGCTGCTGCCCTTGTTGCTCCTCCATGCGCGCCCCCTCCTCCCCTGCTAGCCGCACCAGCTCCGCTGCCATCACTGCGGACAGGACAGCACAGCATGTGACATAAGAGAGCAGAGAATTGCACGTCGCTCATGCTGTCATGCACCACATGCCCTGGCTGGAACAAATTGGGCGTGCAGCATGGCAGCATCAAGCAGACAACTGCTGGCACACATCTGGCACCCTGCTTCCCCTCCCCTCTGAGCGCACTGACAGTTGCTGACGCCCGGGTAGATGCCGGCGGTGGTGATGGCCGGCACACCCGCCGCCACAGCAGCGCCGTGCAGCGACCGCGCGTTGGCAGCGAATGCCACGTCATCACACACGTCCACGTAGGGCGTCTAAAAGAAGGGGGTGTTGGGAGGGGTGGGAGAGAAGGGAAGGCAGAGAAGATGGTATGGTGCTACGACAGCACAGGGCAGGTGATGGACAGCGCAAGCGAGCGGTGTGGAAAGGTGTGTGGAGGGGAGAGAGGAGGAAGACGCCTGAGAGGCAGGCACCCCACCTTGGTGCGGATGGCTGCTTCCAGAACGGTGCAGTGCGGTTCTCGCTGGAAGGGCCCCGCACAGTGCACCACCAGGTCGGCTCCTGCGAGCAGGCGGAGGGGCGGGGGAGCAGGGAAGGAGAGGTGATGCAGGGCGAGGCAGCAGCAGCGCCAGTGTCAGAAAATGGCAGAACATGGCACGGAATGGCATGGGATGCGAGACCCAGGCATGTGAGGGCGACCTGAGAGGAGGGCGGGATGTGAGGAGGCTGTGGAGTGCACGGCGCGGCGTGATCAATGGGAGACGTGCGACCGGGAGCACCTGAGAGGAGGCTGTCAAGTGCAGAGGCGTGGGTGATGTCGCACTCTATGAACACCGCACTCCCTGCCGCCCCCGCTGCCGCCCTCACCTCCTCACACACCGCCTCGCCCCTCCCCCTGCCTCGCCCCCGTTGCGACATAGATGCGCGCGCGCATGCACGCGCGTATGGAAGGGTGGTGGGCGGGTGGGCGGGGATTGGGGGGGGGGGGGGAACGACGAGAGCGGAGGGAAGAAGGAATGAGTGGAGAGCGGCCACACATTTTCGCAAGCACCGAGGCAAGGGGCACATGCAGCCATGCGCGCATGCACACACGCCGCGAGGAAGCAGCACCGACAGAGCTCCGCGTAGAGACGTCACGCGCAGAGAGCGCCACGCGCAGAGTGCGCCATTCCGGGCGGGCGCGCACCTGTTGCGCCCGCTGATGATGAGCTCCAGTTGGAAGTCCGCGCGCGTCGCTTCGTCGTCGGACGCCGCCAGCGCCGCCAGCGCCACGGCCGTCGACCGCCCCACGCGCCCGCTCCCGCCGAGAACCACCACGCGCTTCACCCCGCCGCTGCTTCGCTCGCCCGCAACCCCGCCCCTCGGCTCCTTCCCCTCATCCGCGGCTGCCGCCGCCTGCGCCCTCAGCGCGATCGCGCGCCGCCTGGCCGCCCCGCGGAGTGGGGCGAGCGGAGTGCGGCGACGACAGAGCGGACTCGCGGGGATGGCGGAGAGAGGCGGTAGCGGGGCGGAGCGGAGATATGGGGAAGGCGAAAATGGCGGAATGAGAGGCGCGCAAAGCTGATGCGCGCGGGCGAGAGGAAGCGCGGCCATGGCGGCCGGACTGCGAGCGACAAACGCGGGAGTGGGAGTTTGAGTGATGGTGGAGTTGACTAGCAAGTATTGAATGCTCTCATGGTGCCGTGAACCCGTTAGTGATAGCTTCGCTATCCGCTTCCACGCTGTTGTGGGGTGCTAAGATACACACTTGATGCTTGTAGCTTGAGAAATTGGTGTAAGGCAGGGAGAAATTGGTGTAGCTCATACCGCACTTGAACGTACTGTAGTTTTATTTGACCCTACCAAACCACCACCGAAAAGGTGCGACCATGAAAATAGCATTTCGCGAGCTCGCACAACACCGTAGGCCGGTTACCAGTGGCGAAACGAGCATGTCAAAAGCTTTGCTCACCAAACACGCCTGACTGCCTGGCACTCGTGCTCTTGCGTTCCTTCTACACACCGCGACACGCCACTCGCGTCTGGCCTTACTATGCGTGCGCGACCACGACGCTCGTTGACGTGACCGCGGTGCTGCCAGGCACATAACCGCCTCGCATCGCATCGCATCGCAACCCTGACTCGAATCCACGCTCACGATTTAATCGCCCAATTCCGCTCGCCCCCGCTGTTCCCGCTGTGGCTCCGCACACGCGTCCGACGCACGTGCTCTCAGCCATCCACCCGCGCGTCCGTCTCTCCGTCAGCCGCCTGAGTCCGAGCGCGTACTTTCCGTCAGATTCGCCGTCACCCTCGTAATTTCGTCAGACTCCGTCTCTCGTCGGTCGTCAACGCGCGCCCATGCTTAGAGTGGTCAGCACCCTGCCGCTCTCTCTTTTCCCCTCTTCCCCGCATCTCTCCGCTATATCGGCACCTCTCACTTCCTGTCGCTGCTCCTCTTTTATCTCCCCACGCTGCCCCTTCGTTTGCGCATGACCGTTTTCTCCTCCGCCCCCCCCTCTGACTCGCGCTTCACACAAATTCTCTCGCTTTTCCTTGTCCTACACCATCCCGTTGCCTCCCCCCCCGAAGGGCGCACGAGCTGCGCAAGAGCGCGCCAAGCAGGTCGGGCGGGGGGCGGCCTCTGCGTTGGGGGGAAGAGCACCTGCGCGGAGTGCGCGCGGGGCTGGGGGATGCGCGGGAGGCGAGGGCGTGCGGGCGGGGGTCGGCTGGCAGCCATGCAGCAGCGCGCGCGGTGAAGCGGACCCGCCGCTTCTCCGCGTCGCGCTGCGCCACTTCACCTCCGCGCGCCCCACAGCTGCCTACCCCAGCGCCTTCGGCGCAGGCAGCGCCAGCACGGGCGGCTGGGGGCGGGCGGCAGCGGCGCGGAGGGCGGGGGCGGGGGAGCGGGAGCAGGTGGCGTGGCTGGCGGAGATGACGCGGCACAACCCCGAGGAGGCGATCCGCGCGTTTGAGGCGAGCGCACAGCTGCAGGCCGCGCCGGACGCGCTGGCGGAGTACGTGCGCGCGCTGGTGGCTGTCGACCGCCTTGATGGCAGCGCGCTCCTCGCCACACTGCAACGAGGTACTGCGCGCATCTCCTCCACTCCACGCGCCCCTTGGCTGTACGGCCCCCTTTCCACATGCTGCCCTACCACACGCACTCGCCCATGCCAGATACCCCATGCCTCCTTCCTCCTGCTCCTGATCTCAATCCCTTCTCTTCATGCCCTCACCCCTTTCCCCTCCCACAATACTTTCCCCCTGTCTCTCCCGGAACCCCTTCCATTACCCACCTGCAGGCGCTGCGCGTTCCCCCTCCCCGTTCCCCGCCTCCCCCGCGCCGCTGTCGTCCATGCGCGCGCCGCTGCCGGGGGCGGTGGGCGCGGTGGCGGTGGAGGGCGCGCTGGGGACGGCGAGCGCGCCGCTGCACATGGTGGCGAGCGAGGGCGCGCGCGGACACGCGTGGCGCGCGCTCAGGTCGCTGGGCACGGCCGCCCTCGTGCTCGGCGCGCTCTGGGCCATTGCTCGCGAGCGCGACGTGGGGCGCGGTGAGTGGGGGAATGGGGGAAGGGGGTGGGACGAGGGGGTGGTGGGGGGTGAGTCTGGCGGGGTGATGGGATGGGTGGATGTGAGTGTAACTGGCACGGTGCATGCCCTCTTGCAGTCAGCATGAGTGATTGGTTAGCACCTACCTCGCCATGCCTCTCCCTCATCCCACCTCACCGCCTTCATCCATCCCTCCATTCCCGCTCACTTCCGCACTGCTCTCCTCCTCCACAATCCAACCCAACCCCCCCCTCCCTCCCCCATCTCTATCCCCGTGAGCAGGGTTGGGGTTGAACGAGGAGGTGCAGCCGATGGCGGAGAGTGACACGCGGTTCAGCGATGTCAAGGGCGTCGATGAGGCCAAGGCGGAGCTCGAAGAGATCGTGCACTACCTGCGCGACCCCAAGGTGCGTCACCTCTCACTCTCCTCCGCTCCCCTCCTCTGTGCTCCATGCTAGTCGTTACTGCTCGCTCATCATGCCTCGCATACCCCACTATGAGGCCAAGGCGGAACTGGAAGAGATCGTGCACTACCTCAGAGATTTCAAGGTGCGCTCCCCCTCTCACTCTCCCCTCCCTTCTGTGCGCCATGCTGGTTGAGCTGTTACAACTCCTCATCATGCCTTGCATTCCCGCTGCTGGGTGGTTCCTGTACTTTTAGAAAGACCCTTAGGTCCCTATATTTCCCACTTCGCGGAGTTGATTCGTGCCACTCGTTCCTCCTCCTCCACTGTCCACATCTTTATCCTTTCCCACGTTCTCCAACGTTGTGTCTTACCTTCCCTGCCCCCTTCCCCCTATGCACCCTTCCCCCTATGCACCCTTCCCCCTATGCACCCTTCCCCCTATGCACCCTTCCCCCTATGCACCCTTCCCCCTATGCACCCTTCCCCCTATGCACCCTTCCCCCTATGCACCCTTCCCCCTATGCACCCTTCCCCCTATGCACCCTTCCCCCTATGCACCCTTCCCCCTATGCACCCTTCCCCCTATGCACCCTTCCCCCTATGCACCCTTCCCCCTATGCACCCTTCCCCCTATGCACCCTTCCCCTTATGCACCCTTCCCCCTATGCACCCTTCCCCCTATGCACCCTTCCCCCATGCACCCTTCCCCCTATGCACCCTTCCCCCTATGGACCCTTCCCCCTATGCACCCTTCCCCCTATGCACCCTTCCCCCTATGCACCCTTCCCCCTATGCACCCTTCCCCTTATGCACCCTTCCCCCTATGCACCCTTCCCCCTATGCACCCTTCCCCCTATGCACCCTTCCCCCTATGCACCCTTCCCCCTATGCACCCTTCCCCCTATGCACCCTTCCCCCTATGCACCCTTCCCCCTATGCACCCTTCCCCCTATGCACCCTTCCCCCTATGCACCCTTCCCCCTATGCACCCTTCCCCCTATGCACCCTTCCCCCTATGCACCCTTCCCCCTATGCACCCTTCCCCCTATGCACCCTTCCCCCTATGCACCCTTCCCCCTATGCACCCTTCCCCCTATGCACCCTTCCCCCTATGCACCCTTCCCCCTATGCACCCTTCCCCCTATGCACCCTTCCCCCTATGCACCCTTCCCCCTATGCACCCTTCCCCCTATGCACCCTTCCCCCTATGCACCCTTCCCCCTATGCACCCTTCCCCCTATGCACCCTTCCCCCTATGCACCCTTCCCCCTATGCACCCTTCCCCCTATGCACCCTTCCCCCTATGCACCCTTCCCCCTATGCACCCTTCCCCCTATGCACCCTTCCCCCTATGCACCCTTCCCCCTATGCACCCTTCCCCCTATGCACCCTTCCCCCTATGCACCCTTCCCCCTATGCACCCTTCCCCCTATGCACCCTTCCCCCTATGCACCCTTCCCCCTATGCACCCTTCCCCCTATGCACCCTTCCCCCTATGCACCCTTCCCCCTATGCACCCTTCCCCCTATGCACCCTTCCCCCTATGCACCCTTCCCCCTATGCACCCTTCCCCCTATGCACCCTTCCCCCTATGCACCCTTCCCCCTATGCACCCTTCCCCCTATGCACCCTTCCCCCTATGCACCCTTCCCCCTATGCACCCTTCCCCCTATGCACCCTTCCCCCTATGCACCCTTCCCCCTATGCACCCTTCCCCCTATGCACCCTTCCCCCTATGCACCCTTCCCCCTATGCACCCTTCCCCCTATGCACCCTTCCCCCTATGCACCCTTCCCCCTATGCACCCTTCCCCCTATGCACCCTTCCCCCTATGCACCCTTCCCCCTATGCACCCTTCCCCCTATGCACCCTTCCCCCTATGCACCCTTCCCCCTATGCACCCTTCCCCCTATGCACCCTTCCCCCTATGCACCCTTCCCCCTATGCACCCTTCCCCCTATGCACCCTTCCCCCTATGCACCCTTCCCCCTATGCACCCTTCCCCCTATGCACCCTTCCCCCTATGCACCCTTCCCCGCGTGCACCTTTCTCCGCGCCCCCACTTCCCGTGCCCCCCCATCCAGCGCTTCACGCGCCTGGGGGGCAAGCTACCCAAGGGAGTGCTGCTGGTGGGCCCGCCAGGACAGGCAAGACGATGCTAGCGCGCGCCATAGCGGGCGAGGCGGGAGTGCCCTTCTTCTACGCGTCGGGCTCCGAGTTCGAGGAGATGTTTGTCGGCGTCGGCGCGCGCCTTCTTGGCGCACCTATCCTTTCCCTCCTCCGCGCACCTTGAACTCACCTTCTCTGCCCCCTCTCCATTGTGGCCCTTTTCCTGCCTCCCTCCCTTCACAGCGCTTCACACGCCTGGGGGGAAAGCTGCCAAAGGGAGTGTTACTGGTGGGCCCACCAGGCACGGGCAAGACGATGCTAGCGCGCGCCATAGCAGGCGAGGCGGGAGTGCCCTTCTTCTACGCGTCGGGCTCCGAGTTCGAGGAGATGTTCGTCGGCGTCGGCGCGCGCCTTCTTGGCGCACTTATCCTTTCCCTCCTCCTCGCACCTTGAACTCACCTTCCTCTGCCCCCTCCCCCACATGCCCCATGCCCTGCCCCCCCCCCCCCCCAACAGCGCTTCACACGCCTGGGGGGAAAACTGCCAAAGGGAGTGCTGCTGGTGGGCCCACCAGGAACGGGCAAGACGATGCTAGCGCGCGCCATCGCGGGCGAGGCGGGCGTGCCCTTCTTCTACGCCTCAGGCTCTGAGTTCGAGGAGATGTTTGTCGGCGTCGGCGCGCGCCGCGTGCGCGAGCTCTTCGCCGCGGCCAAGAAAGCCGCGCCCTGCATCGTGTTTCTCGATGAGATCGACGCCATCGGGGGCAGCCGCAACCCCAAGGACCAGCAGTACATGAAGATGACTCTCAACCAGCTGCTCGTGGAGCTGGATGGCTTTAAGCAGAACCAGGGCGTCATTGTGGTGGCCGCTACCAACTTCCCGGAGAGCCTAGATAAGGCGCTCGTGCGCCCGGGGCGGTTTGACCGCCATGTGGTTGTGCCGAACCCTGATGTGGAGGGGCGGCGGCAGATTCTGGAGCATCATCTGCGCAAGGTGCAGTGCGGTGGGGGGGGGTGTTGCATGCATAGGTGCTCCATTCATGGGTGCAAGAAACTGTGTTTCCATATTTGGCTTCATTACTTTCCTCACCTTCCGCTGCCCCTTCCCCCCTCACTCCTTCCCCATCAAATTCCACGCTGTGCATAGAATGTTTGATGAGCATATTCAGCAGCCTATGCAAACTTCCATCTTTCCCTCCTCTCCTCCCCTTTAACTCCCAACCAACCCCATCACTCCTCTCCCCTCCCCCCACTTCTTCTCTCCCACCCCCTCAGATTCCCCGAGCAGACGACGTGGACGTGTCGGTGATAGCGCGCGGCACGCCAGGCTTCAGCGGGGCAGACCTGGCGAATCTCGTCAACGTCGCTGCTTTACGAGCGGCCATGGAGGGGCAGAGGGCGGTGGGCCTAGCGCACCTGGAGCACGCCAAGGACCGCATCCTCATGGGCGCCGAGCGCAAGTGTGCCGTGATTTTCCCGTCATGTGCACCCTCCTCTTCCCCTCCGCCCTCCAGATCCCCCGAGCAGATGACGTGGACGTGTCAGTCATAGCACGCGGCACGCCAGGCTTCAGCGGGGCGGACCTGGCGAACCTGGTGAACGTGGCGGCTCTGCGGGCAGCCATGGAGGGGCAGCGTGCGGTGGCGCTAGCGCACCTGGAGCACGCCAAGGACCGCATCCTCATGGGCGCCGAGCGCAAGTCCGCCGTCATCTCCCCTCAGACGCGGCGCCTGACGGCGTACCACGAGGGCGGGCACGCGCTGGTGGCCGTGCACACGGCGGGCGCACACCCCGTGCACAAGGCCACCATCGTCCCACGGGGCGTGGCGCTCGGCATGGTGGCGCAACTGCCGGAGACCGACGAGGTGAGCGTGTCGCGCACGCAGATGCTGGCCCGGCTGGACGTCTGCATGGGAGGGCGGGTTGCGGAGGAATTGGTGTTTGGTCCGGGGGAGGTGACTTCTGGTGCGTCGAGTGATATTGTCCAGGCGACGAGGCTTGCGAGGGAGATGGTGACAAAGTATGGGATGAGCGAGGCGGTGGGTGTGGTGGCACATGATTACGAGGACGACGGGCGGTCTATGAGCACGGAGACTCGGCTCACCATTGAGAGGGAGGTGCGGGCGCTGCTGCAGCGCGCGCATGACAACGCACGGGCCATCCTGGTGAAGCATGAAGCAGAGTTGCATGCACTTGCAGGGGCGCTGTTAGAGAGGGAGACGCTCACAGGCGCACAAGTGAAGGCTGTACTGGAGGCTGCCAGGAACAAGGCCGGTGCTGCTGCTGCTACGGCCGGCGCTGCTGCTGTTGCTGTGGCGGGTGATGGTGCTGGTGTTCCGTCTGTGCCGAAAACAGCCACTTCGGCTGCTGCAGCGGCAGCGGCGGCTGCAGCTGAGGCTGCTGCTAGTGCAGCAGGTGCGCCCACGCAACCGGCAGGGGCTTAGTGGTCCGGATGCGGTGCTCTGCTTCTCCTTGTTGCTGATTTTACATCTCCGCTGGCTGTGCGCTCAAGGCTGATTTAACGCTTTTATTTAGTTTTGACGAAGTGTCATGGGGATGTGCCTCAGCATGGGTGTTTGCTGAAGTTAATGCCTTATCCCCCTCCGCTTTGTGTTAACGTCCAAGCGACATACAGCTATATTGTATCATAATGTACAGCCGTCATACTGCACGAGCGCGAGGGTGGTGTATCGAGTCGGGAATCCAAGAGTCCAGACAAATCACACAACACACCCCCAACAGCGTCAATGCTGTCAACTCGGCAGCATTACCACAAACGTTCCTCGATCATCGTCTACTTACCTCCTCCATCACCGCCTCTCTCGGCCTCGCCTCCACTCGCGTCCAGCGCGGTGCAGCATTTTTTAAAAGCTGCACTCCCAACACAACAGGACCGACAGCCGGCCAACGGCATATTCGACACTCACACTCGCCGCAACACTTCTGTGCGGCTCTCGGCGATAGGCACCTCTAGCGTTGCGCACTCCCACTACTCCTCGCGTCGTTCTCGTCGTGATCCGCGTGCTGCGCTTGCCTCTTGCCGCTTGCCGCTTGCCGCGCGCGTCTATACTGCGAGCTCGCCGCGAAAGAGTCGAGTGCTGGCTGATCATTCCGCCGACGCGTGCCGCCAAGACTGTGCGCCCGCCATGCGCCCCGCGAATGGGAGTACTGTGCGGGGAGGCGCGATAGAGAGGGGGAAGGTGCGATAGAGTGGGGGAAGGCGCGATAGGGTGGAAGGAGTCTGATAGACGATAACCGGCGTGTCACAGGGCGGCGCGGCGCGGTGATCGGCAGGCGCTGCCTCGTACCGCATTGATCCATTAGCCACCTTCCATTCGCCCATTCGCCTCCGTTCCGGTGTGCCCACCGCCCATCCTTCTTTCCACGGACCATCCCACTCGGCGGCATCGCGCGCAGCCCCTTTCTCCCCGCATCCCCTTCCCCCCCCTCTCCGCCATGCGATGACCCGTCCCCACTCCGCCGACGCCTCCAAACACTCCGCTCCGCCGTCCGCCCGCCGCTCCGCCTACCGCCTCGCCTCGCGCATCTTCTCCCTCCCATCCCGACTCGCCCACGCCGTCACACGACCGGCTGATGGCGCCGGCAATCTAGCCGGCAGCCGCTCCAACCGGCACCGCAACCGGTCGTCCTCGTCGTTCCTCTCCTCCGCCTTCCCCATCTCCTTCCCCCGCGCCCGCCGCTCCCCCAGCGGCTATGCCTCCGCGGACTCGTCGTGGCGCGGGGACGGCTGGCCGGCGGCGGACGGCACGGCGCGCAGCGACCACGTGGGGACGATCACGGGGAAGCGGTACAGTGCGGTGAAGCTGGAACAGCTGTACGAGCTGGGCGGGTTCATTGGGCGCGGGCAGAGCGGCGTGATCAGCGCGTGCACGCACCGCCACACGGGCGAGCGGCTGGCCGTTAAGAGCATTCTCAAGAAAACCATCCACTCCGAAGGCACCGCACGCGACGTGCAGCGCGAGGTACGCGTGTTTTGAGTCGACTCAAAGCAGCGGCTGGCCGTTAAGAGCATCCTCAAAAAGACCATCCACTCCGAAGGCACCGCGAGAGACGTGCAGCGCGAGGTGCGCGCACGCAAAAGGGGGAGGGTGGTGGGGGAGAGGATAGACAAGGAAGATGGGGGGAGGGGGTTGGTTGTTTGGTGGAGGAGAATGAGGAATGGGGGGCGTTGGGGCATTGACACGTGCAGCGGACTCAGCTTCCCTGCCTCACACACGCCCTCCCTCCCCTCCCTCCTCTCCCTCCTCTTCCTCTTTGCTCCTCTATCCCTTCCCCCCTCATCCCCCCCTCTCCCCCACATCTCCCCACCTTCCCCCCCCACACCAGGTGCAGGTGCTGGGCATGTTGCGCGGGCATGCGCACGTGGTGCGAATGGAGGGCGTGTTTGAGGACCAGACGGCTGTGCACATCGTCATGGAGTTATGTGAAGGGGGCACGCTCACGCACCACATCGCACAACAGGTGAGGTGACTGTTGACTCCACTCAAAATGCACCGCTGCCTGTCTCCCACTCTCCCCTCACGCCTGCCCTCTCCTCTTTCCCCGTCCCTCTTTCCCCCTTCCGCCCTTCCCAACCCCAGGGCGAGTGCAGCGAGCATGCAGCGTTTGCGATAGTGAGGGTGGTGCTGGAGGGGGTGGGCGCGTGCCATGCCATGCCATGCCATGCGATCGGCATGTTTTGAGTCGACTCAAAAGTCACCTCATAGTGCACCGGGACGTCAACCTCCTCCGCAACTTCCTGCTCTCTCCCCCTCCTCCTTCCTCCCTTCCCCCTGCCCAGGCCGAGTACAGCGAGCGGGCGGCAGCGGGCATAATGAGGGTGCTGCTGCTGGAGGTGGTGAGGGCGTGCCATGCCCAGGGCATAGTGCACCGGGACGTCAAGCTCGACAACTTCCTGCTCTCCGCTCTCTGCCTTCCCCCGCCTCCCCTCACGCCTGCCCTCTCCACTTCCCCCCTCCCTCTTTCCCCATTCCTCCCCATCCCACCCACCAGGGCGAGTACAGCGAGCGCGCAGCAGCGGCGATAATGCGGGTGGTGTTGGAGGTGGTGAGGGCGTGTCACGCACAGGGCATCGTGCACCGGGATGTCAAGCTCGGCAACTTCCTGCTGAGCGACCAGTCAGACCACGCCACACTCAAAGCCATTGACTTTGGCTCCGCCGCATTCTGCCACCCAGGCGAGCCCGACACCCCTCCCCTCCCGTCCCCTTCTCTTCCCGCGAGACCTGCCCGCGGCCCGCCCCAAGTCCGGCCGTCTCTCCTCCACTTTCTATTCAAATGCCACTGCCCGCCTCTCTCCATTCCAAACTCCGCTTCTCCGCCTCTCATTGCCCAAGCCCCCTACTCCTCTCCTCCTTTTCTCCCGTGCCACCCCAACCCCATGGGCTGCGAGCAGGCGAGGAGCTAGAGGCGATGGCGGGCAGTCCCATGTACATGGCACCGGAGGTGCTGGGGGAGCGATACTCACATCCCTGTGACGTGTGGAGCGCTGGCATCATGCTGCACACACTGCTCGCCGGCACGCCGCCCTTCCAAGGAGGTGCTCCGCCATCCCTTGCTGCCCCGCCCTTCCCTTGTCTCCGCCCTTCCCCGTCCTCTCTGCCCCCACCCCATCCCCTGCTGTCCCCATCCATTGCTACTCCGCTATTCTCAGTCTTCCCCCTATTCCTCTTTTCCCTTCAACCCTTCATTTTTTTTCCCTCCTGTCACCCATTCATACCGAGTCTCATCGCACCACTTCTCCCACCACCTCCAAACCCAGTCTCCCACTCCCTCATGCGCGTGCCCCCCCACCACTTTCTCCGCCGTCCTCGCCGCCAGACTCAGTGCTGGCGATATTTGAGGCCATCCGCACGGCACCATTGGACCTGTCGTCACACCCCTGGCCGCTCATCTCCCCGGGCGCCAAGGCGCTGCTCTCGCGCATGCTCCACCGCGACCCCTCCGCCCGCCCCACTGCCGAGCAGCTGCTGGGTGAGCCTAGTACCGCCCGTGGCCACCATTGGGCAGGCCACGGCCACCCATGGGCACTAATGGCTCATGGGCCGTGGGTCATGGGTCATGGGCCGTGGGTCATGGGTCATGGGCCGTGGGTCATGGCATGTGGGTCATGGGATGTGGGTCATGGGATGTGGGTCATGGGATGTGGGTCATGGGATGTGGGTCATGGGCCGTGGGTCATGGGCCGTGGGTCATGGGATGTGGGTCATGGGATGTGGGTCATGGGATGTGGGTCATGGGATGTGGGTGGGTGGACGGGGGGTGGTGGGCGGAGGGCGGTGGCACAGCTTTCAGCTGTTCTGGCCTTGCATGTGTTCTGTTCTGTGTGACCCGCCATGGCGCAGAGCTCACTCACCCCACTCCCTCACTGCGCTCCCTGCCTTGTTGCATCTGTGTGCCACCCCAACCCATGCCATCCCAACCCATGCCATCCCATCCCACCCCACCCCACCCCATGCCGCGCCAACCCACACGTCGTGTGAGCAGGGGACCCATGGATCCGGGGGCAGGAGGCGGAGGAGCGGCCGTTGCAGAGCATCATGCTGCCGCGCATGAAGCGCCTCAGCGCCATGTCCAAACTGCGCCACCTCGCCCTTCTGGTCAGTTGGCCGCTGCCCTGCCCCCTGCCTCACACCCCATGCCCATGCCACATGCCGCGCATAAAGCGACTCAGCGCCATGTCCAAGCTGCGCCACCTCACCCTGCTCGTCCGTCACTTCCCTCTTCCCACACCCCATCCACACCTCACACCCCCACACCCCACACCTCCCACCCCTCCCCTCGCTCACTCTGCACGTGCCGCTTCACACGCATCTGTGCACTCCCTCTCCCATCCCATCCTTGTCTGTCTCGCACCATCCTCTCCCCATCCCCGCCCTCACCCCTCGTCTCCTCGCTCTGACCCTCATCCATCCATCCCTCTGCACCTCATGCGCCCATCCCACCCCACACCCTCCCGCCTCCCCCCCAGGTGACGACGCGGCACATGGGGGAGGAGCAGGAGAGGGAGCTGAGGGCGGTGTTCTGTGCGGTGGGCGCGGACCAGGGGGGCGCGCTCAGCCTCCAGGACCTCACTGCTGCGCTGCGCAGCGTGGGGGCGGCTCTCAGCGACGATGACATCCGCCGCATCTTTGCCTTCGTGCGTGCTGCTGCTCACATGCTGCCCACCCGCACAAGCGCAAGCGCATGTACATGCACATGCACATAAGTGATGATGACATCCGCCTCGCAGCCTTGCACACGCGCGTGCATGTGCGCCTGCATGCACACAAACATACTTACATTACATGCGCTTCCCCTCGCACCTCTCCACATGCCACACTCTCCACATGATCGTTCTGGTGGTCTCTTACTCCTTACACATGGCAAAGGCACACCCTTCCCCTGGCCCATGCAGGTGGACGTGGATAGGAATGGCAGCATCGAGTATGCGGAGTTTGTGGCGGCCACCACCGTGCTGCACACACGCACACGCACACGCACACGCACATGCACATGCACATGCCCTACACCCGTGCAACAGCATGCCCTCTTCCCCCCACCTTCCCCCACGAACTGGCGTCTTTGCGCACGCACCAGGTGGACGTGGACGGCAGTGGCAGTATAGAGTACGCGGAGTTCGTCGCAGCCACCACTGTGCTGCACCGCGACCGCCATGCCGCCGCAATCAAACACGCCTTCCAGGAGATGGATGCGGATGGGTCGGGAGCGGTGAGCGTCGAGGAGTTTGCGGCGGTGTGCTGCCGGCTGGGCATGGGAGATCTGGAGGAGATGCGCGAGATAATTGCAACTGCCACGGCCGCTGAATATGTGAGCTGCTGCGCATGCCATTCATTCATGCTATGGTGTTTCTCCCCACTTGTCTCATTCCCTCGCCCACACTTGTTTCAACTGTCTCGCCCTATCACCCCATCCTTGTTTCTCCTCCCTGCTCATCCCTGCCCTTCCACGTGCACTGTCCCTCCACTCCACTACACCCCTACACTGCACCCCTCCATCAAAACCCACTCCATTTTACCTGACCCCTCCACCTGACCCCTCCACCTGACTGCCCCACGGTGCGTCTCCCCACCAACGCATGCAGGGCAACGAGGCGGGGTCGCTCCAAGCAGAGGGCAGCGGGGCGGCGGGCGAGAAGCAGATAGACTACAAGGACTTCCTGGCACTGGTCACGGGGTCAGGGCAGGAGGACCACCGCGTCGAGTCCTGGCTCGCTGCCGCGCTGCTCTGATCTCTTGCAAGGCAGATGGGGCAGAGGGCAACGGGGGCTTGAGGTCGAAGCAGATAGACTACAAGGACTTTCTCGCACTGGTCACGGGATCAGGGCAGGAGGACCACCGCGTTGAGTCCTGGCTCGCTGCTGCCCTGCTTTGACGCCGCTCCCTCTTCTCGCTACTCGCCTCCAAGCCTTCTCACCTCCCCACCTCCCATCTCCCACCTATTCACCTCCACACTCACCCCGCCCGTCCATGGTCCACCCTCACTCACACTCACTCTGCGCCCACACTCTCACAACTTCTCCACCTGCTCCCTTGCCTTCCCCCACTCCACTCTGTGTGTGTCTCGCTCCTCATCACCCTACCTACAAGCCACTGCCTCGCTATCACCACCGCACCCATCTCCCTCATCCCTCTACGCCCGTGTGCCTGTTGTGCACGCAGCACTGGGTGCACGCAGCCGCAGGGGCACAGGCAGTGCCTTGCACCAGACCTCCATGTAGGGCTGCCCGTACCACTCCTCTACAGCTGCCCTCATGCCCACACGCTCCACACCTGCAACCAAAGAGACAGGCAGAAACAGGGCTTGAGCCCATTCGAATTTCTACGGTAGTTTCCCTGTGCTTCTGTGCTTGTTCATAGGCCAGAGCTGTGGTGCATGCGTGGGGTTCAAGTGGATGGTCATGACTATGATGATGCCTCCTGTTACCCACCCATGCTCACACCTCAAGCATGCCTGCTGGTACATGATTTGGTTTTTTGCCACTGGGTCTCCATGCTCTTAGATATCCTTACATACTGGATATCCAATACCAAACAATTTCTGTGCTAAAAGGTCCTTATAACATTACAATACAATGCTCTCCAACTGCCACTGCCAGTGAGACACTGCTCTTTGATACATCAACAGCCACAAACTTCTTCCCACGTGCGCCCTACACAGCATGTGCCATGCGACACCACAGCGTTCCCACCTCATGTGTACAACATGCACATATGCACCATGCACACGTGCACCATGCACACATGCACCATGCACACATGGACCATGCACACATGCACCATGCACACATGCACCATGCATACCTGCATGCATACATGCATGGCATGAATCATGAATCATCATGATCCAGGGGCGAGGGAGAGGGGCATCAGTGGGGGTGGCGGGGCAGGTGGCACATGCGACACACGGTGCTGCCAGCGCTGGTGGGATTGCCATACGTGCAGTGCATGCACGACCAGTACTCGCCCTCCCCTGCTGCGCCTCCCCCACCCGCCACCTGCCCCTGCCCTTGCCCTTGCGCCAAACCAAGGCTCACCCCTCCCCCCGGTCCCCCATCAACGCGCATCCTCACCCCTCCACGCCCATCCCCCACCAACCCCCCATCAGCAAAATGCACATGGTTCACCCCACTCCCACTCCTCCGCCTCTTCCTCCCCTCCTCGCCCTCCCCGCCCTCCCCCGCGGCCTTGCTCGACCCCACCCCAGCATCCCCCTCCCCTGTCGGCACATCCTCGGGAATCTCCGAGAGTCCGGATTCAAGCGCGGTAACCAGGTTATGGAAGAAGGTGCGCGTGACGGCCGTGAGGCGCGTGAGGTGGGAGCGGAAGGCGAGGAACTCGGACAGGCGGTGCTGGGGGGAGAGGGCGGCGGGGGTGGGGTTGGCGTGCGCGTCGAAGCAGCCCTTGAAGTGCGAGGGCACAAACGCCTCCACATCCTTCTCTGCCGCCTTGTGCAGCCACCCCAACGCTGCGTCTGCCTGGCCCTGCTCCATGCAACACCATGCACATCGAAAGGAAGGGAAGTGGGTGGGGTGAAAGAAGTTGAATAGGGGAGGGGTTGGCGTGCGCGTCGAATGAGCCCTCGAAGTGCGAGGGCACAAACGCCTCCACGTCCTTCTGTGCTGCCTTGTGCAGCCACCCCAACGCTGCATCCGCCTGGCCCTGCGACCACCGAGGAGGGGGCAGGAGGGGTGGGTTAAGGAGGAGATTTGAAGTTACGATACGAGGTTGCATTGGTTGGTGGGGCTGAGTTGAGGCTATTGGTGACATAACTGGCAGGCAGCCTTGCACCGGCCGTGACAGCAGCACAATTACAGGATATGCAGGTGGGAGCCACCTGAAGGCATAATGAAGGCATTAAGGTCCCTAACTGAAACATCCAAGGACTTATCTGAAAGCACCTGACGACTCACCTGAAGGCACCTGAGAGCTCACCTGGGGGCAAGGCACCTGAGACAGACCTGGAGGTACTCAAAGAGGTTGCGGCGGGCGGGCTGGTGGTCGGAGAGGTAGAAGCCATAGGCGTAGGTCCACTTGAGCATGCGCCTGCACGCTATGATCTGCTGCCACGCCTCCGATAGAAACTTCATCTGCGCCGCTGGTAACCCCATCAGCCCCCTCAGCTGCTCCGCCTGGTGCTGCTCCACCTGCCAACGAGAGTGGGAATGGGGAGACGAGGGGGTCAGCTGAAAAGTGTTGCGCATGGTGAGAGGGGAAGGGAAAGAGGAATGGGGCAAGGGAAAGAGATGTCATGGAAGCTCAATGCCGTCGTCACTTGACTCCCCACACACCTGCTCTGTCTTGCCTCCCTCTCCCCATAATCACCTCCACTCTCTTTCCTCCCCCCCGTCCTCACCTCTTTGAGGCTCTCCTGTGCGCGCCGCCACGACTGTTCGTTGCTGGCCCACCGTTCAAAGTAGTGCAGATACCGCTCCAGTGACTGCCGCGCGCGCTGCCGCCGCTCCTCCTCCACGTTGTACTCGCCCTGCGGGGGAGGGAAAGGGGGACGGGGGAAGAGAGGATGGAAGAGGAAAATGCTTTTCGAGTCTTTTCAAAGCTCCTCCGCATGCTCTACTTTCTCCCACCCCTCCCCCCTCCCTGTCGGCCTTCAACCACCACCACTACCCTTCACTGCCCTCCCCTTCCTCCCTCTGCCACACGCTACCATCCCCCTGCAGATCCCCCTCCCCCCTCCCCCCCCCTGCGCGCACCTTCTTCTTGCTGGTCTCGTAGCGGTTGCAGGCGTAGAACCCGCCGGTGCCCTCGCCGTGGTCCTTCCAGTCGCCAAGGCAGAGCCAGCAGAACTCGTGGCGGCACGGCGGCGAGCACGTCATGTGCATGCACCCGTGGTTCTTCTCTATCGGCCGCTGGCACCGCGGGCACGCCTTGCTGTTCGCCAGAATCCACTTCATGTTCTCCGACTCCGCACTGCCACAGGCAGCACAGATCACAAGGGGAAAAGGGGTGTGGGGGCAGAGGGGGGAGGAGGGGGGAGGGATGGGATGACTTTTGGGTCGACTGGAAAGGCACCTCGCTGGCAGCGCGGACATGCCTTGCTGTTCGCCAGAATCCACTTCATGTTCTCCGACTCCGCACTGCCGCCCGTGCGCAGTACACATGGGGGAGTGGGGGGAATCGGAGGAGAGGAGGGCGGATGGGGAGAAAGTGGGGAGGGATGAGGGGAGGCTGCCCCATGCCCACAGCAGAGACAGAACAAGGCAAAACACGGACCTGTTTTTGACGACCCATTTGCGCACGAGTTCGCAGTCAACTGGCCGGTGGGGCTCCTGCAGGCAGTGCCAGCACCACTCGTGCCCACACGCACACCGCACGTCCCGGCTCCTGCTCCCGCCCCACACCGCCCCTCCCCCTCCGCCCTCCTCCTCCTCCTCCGCCATCACCCCCTTCAGCTTCCCCCCGCGCGCGCCCGCGCCTGGCAGGGCGCGGGAGATGGGCGCGCCCCCTTCAGCGTGGATGGCGAAGTCACAGCCGGGCGAGGGGCACCACTTGACGCTCTCACTCGCCTCCACAAACGACCGCAGCTGGTACCGCCGGTACCGCTGCGCTGCTGCTGCCGCCACCCCCGCCCCACATGGGAATGCCGCTCCCCCACTGGCCTCTTCTCCCCCTCCCCCTGCTGCTGCCACTCCGCCTGCTGCAGCCGCCATTGCTCCCCCTGACGCTGCTGAGGGCATTGGTGCTTCTGCCGCTCCTTGTGCGCCCGATGCACAAGCCGCACCCTCCCTGCATCCAGGCTCAGCAGCAGCAGGCAGGGGCGCAGAGGGAGCGCTTTTGACCCTCCGCGCCTTGCCACTGCGCCCAACACCCTGGGACGAGCCAGCAGCGCCACCGGCTGGTGCAGCTTCACGTGCCGTTCCTGCTGCCCCTGCTGTTCCCGCTGCTCCTGCTCCTGCTCCACCTGTATCCGCTCCCCTGCCATCCCCCACTTCCTTCCCCTTCCCCTTCTCCTCGGCGCGCACGTCCCCTTCCCCACCCGCTTCCCCCCGGCCCTCCCCCAGCGCGTCCCCCTGAGCGGGCGCAGCCGCGTCCGCGAGGAGCGCGAGGATGCGCGCGTCCTCCACTGCTGCGCCGCACTTGGGCGCAGGGCAGCGCAGCGACAGGCACCCCGCCCCGTCAGCAATGGCGGATGCCACGTAGGTCTGCCAGCAGGGCACGCAGTAGCGGTGCTGCCCGCACAGCGCAATCACGACCGTCGATTCGAGGGGTTGGTCGTCGAAGCAGATACCGCAGCGCACTGTAGCGGGGACAGCCGCGGAGGACGACGCTTCTGGGGGGGAGGCGGGCGCATATAGCCCCAGGCGTTTGCGCACCCCCTCCTCGTCCGAAAACCACGCGTCGCTGGCGGACGCAAAGGGGGAAGAGGGGGGGAGTGGGGGTGGTGGGAAGAACAAGGTGGAGACGTTTGGGGGGGGGGGGGGGGGGGGAGGCAGGGGTTGAGGAAAGAGCGATGAGGAAGACCAGGGGAGGCACGATGAACGACGGCAACGCGCGCGGAGGCACGGTGCGCGGAGGCTTGATGCGCGGAGGCATGGTGCGCCGCAAGGAGATGACGCGAAATGGATGGCGAAGCGCGCAGCGATGGCGGGGGTGGCGGATGGGAGCGGCAGCAAGAGAGTGCGCGGCTCACGTGACGCGGCTGACTCACGTGACGCGGTTGACTCACGTGACGCGGTTGACTCACGTGACGCGGTTGACTCACGTGACGCGGTTGACGCTCCATTTGAAGGAGCGCAGCAGCAGCGCGGCGGCGGAGTCGGAGACGTTGAGGAAGCTCACAATCTCGCGCACAAGCCGCGCCTGTTTTTTCACGATGTCCGCCTCCGACAGCACCTGCAACGGTTGAGAACGGTTGGGACAGGCTTTTGAGTCGACTCAAACGTGGACTCGGAGACGTTAAGGGAGCTCACGATCTCGCGCACAAGCCGCGCCTGCTTCCGCACTATGTCCGCCTCCGACAGCACCTGCAACGGTCGGGATCGGTTGGTGCCGGTGGCGACATTCGCGCGGCCGTTGGTGGTGCCGGCGTTATGGCGAGGGGAGGGAGAAAGCAGAGGCGGGAGAGCGGAAAGAGGTGTGAGAACGAACAGTGGCCGGCGAAAGCGAGGAGCCGAACTACGCACGTGCAGCGCAGCGCAGCACGGGGGGGGTTACGGGTGAAAGCGACTCGCCTTGTACTGGCTGTCGTTTCCTCGCGGGGTGTCCGCCTCTTGCACCTCCTCCTCCTCAACCACCCCTTGCGTATCCTCCTCCACCTCTTCCTCCGACTCTTCCTCCTCCTCATCCCCGTAATTATCTCCGTCATCGTCGCCGTCATCGTCGCCGTCCTCGTCGCCGTAGTCCTCGTAATCGCTTGCGCCGTCCTTCACCTCGCCCTGCTCGTCGTCCCCCCCTGCGCGCACCTCTACCACCTCGTCGTCCGCCATGCCTCCGCGCGTGCCAACCCTCCCCGCGCACCACCGTCGCTCGCTCCGCCGCGTGACTCGCGCGCGGGGCGGAAACGGAGTCAGATGCAGGTGCAGTGCAAATAAATTCTTGGCGTTCGCAGGCAAAACTGCACAGGCGGACGAACGGACTTAGGTATAAGTGATGGAAGAGAAAAGTGACAAGCCGAGCCCAATGCCCTAGGGAACTGATGAAACGTTTTTAGGGTTCGATGATGGGGGAATAATGGCGCGGGGCGGGTGCGGCGAATGCGTCCACCGAGTTGTTTGAGGGGTGCTTTATCGGGGACGTGTTAGCGGGTCAGCGTGTGATGATAAGACTGATATACGTAGCCCTCAAATAGACCAGTTTCAGGTCAAGTACTCGTGGTACCTGCCTGGTATTCAGGAATAGTAAAAAAGCTTTTGTTCCATCTTACAAAACACTTCTCCGTCAACCCACATTCTCCACGGTAGTACCTGACACAACTCCCACGCTTCTGTTGCAACCAGACCTGTAGAAAGAGCAGAGGGCCAGTCACACGTGGTCCGTCCACTTTCAGGCTGTGAAATGCCTGTCACTAGCATGGTGCAAAGGCACCCAGGGTTCAATTATATACAGACGCCATACACATATGGGCCACGTGAAGGTTATTCGTGTTACAGGTAACTCCTCGGTCGCTAATAGAATGTGGGCCACATGAAGGCTTTCTTGCTGGCCACACACTGAATGGCTCGTGAGTCGTGAGAATCCCTAACTTGTAGCCCTGTCACGGGGGGGCCTATCTACAGCCACCACTGTCACCATCAGCATTAATATCTGCACTTCCATCACCACTGCCATCTGCACTGCCATCACTGCTCTCCTCTGCGTGCCCGCCATCAGTTGCACCCCCAGAACCAGCAGCACGTTCCCATTTGGCAGCGGCACGGCTGAATGCCTGCTCCAGAGACAAGGCACCGGTTAAACCTGTGCCTGCTGCCCCGCCCTGCTCCTCCTCCTCCCGTTGCTGCTGCTGCTGCTGCTGCTGCTGTTGCCATTTCTCCTGCAGCTGTGCTATGGCCATGGCTGCTGCCTCTGCCACCTCCGGATCGGCATCGTTTGTCAGCTTCTGAGAATGAAAGAGGAGTACACACATGGTAAGAGTGAGAACATGAATGCTACAACCATGAATATACAGTGCTACTCAACATGCGATACAACTCATGCATGTACACCACATTCATCTATACGATTGCACTGGCACCACTACCCTAAGTCACATGCGAAGCTCCAACAGACCCTCATAGCGTTCCCTCACCCTGCACCACTCCCCTCACCTGCACCACTCCCCTCACCTGCACCACTCCCCTTGTTAGAATCTAGCAGCAGGAATGGGTGAACTAACAGGATGCAGGAGTACAAGTAGTAAACCCTAACTAGGTTGTACCCCATGTGGGCTACCCCACTACAGCCTAGACACTATGCAGCACATATAGTTTGACACACCCCCATAGGCAAAGTGGGGGAGAACAAGGGGTCACACGACCAGTCAAGAGAAGCAAAACAAGCTCAGGGTGGATCACAACGTCACCACGCATTCTGAGCACAAGCAAAGGGCCACTGGGCCAGTTCACATGCAGAGATATATATGCAGCAATAACAGTACAGTGATGGCTACCTAGCAAGAGCCAGCATGCATATATATATATGTACAGATCACAGTACAAGCAGAGACTACAGCAAGTGTGGAAACGTAGGCACAAGGCCTAACAGAGTACAAAAGCGCTGATGATCACCAGACGGAAGTGCCTTGGTGAATATGTCAGCAGTGTTGGCCCGAGTGGCCACGTGGCAAAGACGAAGCTGGCCTCGCTGCTGCAACTCTCGAGCCAGGAAGTACCGCAGAGCAATGTGCTTCGTTCTGTGCTCCAGTCTGTGCTCCTCACACAAGGCAATGGCGGCCTTGTTGTCAACGTACAGCACTGGAGGAGAACGAGGCTGCTCTCCCAAGTCAGTCAGCAGGTAGGTGAGCCAGCGTAACTCCTGTGCAGCCATGGCGGTGGCGTAGATCTCAGCCTCACAACTGGAGCCGAGAACTGAAGTCGAGCGTGTAGAACGCCACGAAACTGAACCAGAGCCAAGGCTGAAGGTGTAACCCTGTGACGACCGCTGAGTAGCCAGGTCGTCAACCCAAGAAGCGTCTGAGTGCCCAGTGAGGACAACTGGGCTCGTCCCTCCAAGCACTAGCCCCATGCCTGATGTGCTGCACAAGTAACGCAGTACCCTCTTAGCAGCAGCCATGTGCTCAGGTCGGTGCCGACCAGGAGCCACGTAGCGAGCGAGGAGACCAAGAGGGTACGCGAGGTCAGGTCGAGTGCAAGTCATCAGGTACATGAGGCAGCCGACTAGCTCTGGGTAAGGACCACTCGGCTCTACGGACTCGTCCGAAGGTGGAGCTGAGAGCGTGTGACCTGTAGCCAGAGGAGTGGCCTGTGCTGAAGACCAGGTGAAGCCGAAGCGCTGAAGGACCTGCTGCACCATGTGTGACTGAGTCAAGGTGATGGTGCGACGTGCTCTGTCTCGGGTGATCTGCAAGCCAAGGTAGCTGCGCAGCTCACCCAAGTCTGTGCACGTGTGTCTCTTCTGCAGCTCCGACTTCACGTGGGCGAGAGCCTCAGTGTCAGCAGTGGCAAAAACCAAGTCGTCGACGTACACGAGGATGTAGAACGGCGGCAGGGAAGTGTCGGTGCGCAGAAACAGCGACGGGTCAGCAGTAGAAGGCGCAAACCCAAGAGCCGCAAGCGTAGTCCTCAGTGTGTCGTGCCACTCACGTGGCGCCTGGCGGAGACCGTAGACCGGCCGCCGGAGGCTCCACTGGGTACCAGGAGGGAACGACCCAGTGAAGCCCGGGGGGCGGCGCAGCCAGATCTCCTCGTGCAGGCTACCCTGCAAGAAAGCTGTGCTGAAGTCAAGAGAGTGAAGCTCGTAGTCACGGTGAGCAGCAACGTGCAGCAGCACCCGAAGAGTGGTCATCTTCGGGGTGGGGGAGAAGGTCTGGAAGAAGTCAACTCCCTCTCGCTGACTGAAGCCTCGAGCAACGTAACGAGCCTTGAAGACAGGCGGAGAACCCGGCGGCCGCTTCACCCTGAAAATCCACATGCCACTGACGATGTTCGCCCCAGGTGGGGGAACCTCGTCAACGTAGGTGCCTGTGGACTTCCAGGAAGCCATCTCTGCGTCCATGGCTGCCTGCCACTGAGAGGAGTAGGGACCCTCTATCGCCTCTGCGTAAGAGCGCGGAGTCGGGATGTCTGGTGCATCCGGGTCTCCCTCAGGGGCAAGTAGCGAGGACACAAGATGAGGTAAAGCAGCAGCAAGGCACTGGAACTCCTCCTGCCTGTCCTCAAGGACGTCCGTGCTAAGAGCACACTCACCCCCGACGGACGGAGGACAGACAGACTCAGACTCAGTAACAAGACTGGCAGTGAAGTCTAGACGACAGGCAGCAGCAAAGTCAACAAGCTCAGCGACAAGAGCAGACGCAGCAGCAGACTCAAACGACGGGTCAGTGACAACTGTGGCTAGTAGACGCGTGACAGTAGGGTGCTGAGCACGAAACCGGTCAGACGCAGGGTCCGGAACGTCAGGCAAAGAGGACGCAGGAGGAGACGGCAGAGGAACAGGCTGCGGAACAGAGGAAGGACGACGGACTACGAGGTGCGCGCTGGGGACAGCCGGCGGACGCGAACGAGGAACACGAGGACCGGTACGACCAGGACGAGCAGGCGAGACAGGACGCGACGCAGGCTCACGACGCACAGCAGGACTACCAGTCAGCTCAGCGTAAGGAGAAGGAGCAGGCAGCGGCGAGCCAGTCTGTAACGGAAGACCAGTAGACGACGGAAGAGTAAGAACCTGACGAAGAACAGAGGCAGACGGCGGCAGAGACGACGGAGACGGCGGAGCGAAGAACAGTCGTGTCGGCGCAGCTGCACCAGAACCAGCAGCTCCAGCAGCTCCAGTGCCTCCAGCAGCTCCAGTACCTCCAGCAGCTCCAGTACCTCCAGCAGCTCCAGTACCTCCAGTAGCTCCAGAAGCTCCAGGCCCAGAGCCGACACCTCGAGTCCCAGGGTCTCCAACCTCTGTGTCTCCAGCAGCAGCACCCCCAGAACCAGCACCTCCAGTCCCAGGGTCTCCAACCGCAGGGTCTCCAGCAGTAGCACCCCCAGAACCAGCACCTCCAGCTCCAGGGTCTCCAACCTCAGCGTCTCCAGCAGCAGCACCCCCAGAGCCAGCACCTCCAGTCCCAGGGTCTCCAGCCTCAGTGTCTCCAGCACGAGCCCCTCCAGAACCAGCAACTCCAGCACCTCCAGTAGACAAAGGACCAGCACGACTCCGAGCTCCAGCAGTGCGACGCTGACGGCGACCGTACCAGTCCTGCAGCTGCTGTGGGGTGAGAGGCACACGGGGACGAAGGCGGCCACTCCAAGGAGACCGCGCAACAGCAGACTCAGAACCCTCAGCGCCCGCACCCCCAACGGCTCCAGAACCTCCGGTGTCAGTACCCTCAGCACCAGTACCTCCAGCGACTCCAGAACCTCCAGCGCGAGCACCCTCAACAGCTCCAGGACCTCCAGCTCCAGCGCCACCAGGACTAGGCCCTCCAGCAGCTCCTGAACCTCCAGCGCCAGCACCCTCAGTAGCTCCAGAACCTCCAGCGTCAGTACCGCCAAGCTCAGCACCCCCAGACCCCTCACACGCAGGCTCAGCACCACCAGGCTCTACACCCTCAAGCTCCGCACCCTCAGGCTCAGTACCCCCAGACTCAGCACCCCCAGGCTCCGCACCCCCAGGCTCAGCACCCCGAGCAGGACCACTCGCAGGAGGACCTGAGTCACCAGTGACCTCAACCGGCGCAGTCAAGGGAGGAGGGTCTACCTGAGAAACACCTGAAGGAGCAGGACCGGGAGCGGGGAGGGGGTCTACCTGGGGAGCACCTGGAGCAAGGAAGAGCGGCGGGGGGGGGAGCGAGGCAGTGCGGTAGGGGAAGAGACGGTAAAAGGGAACCGACTCGTCGAACGTGACGTCCTGAGACGCAAAGACACGGCGCGAGGTGGGGTGGTAAAACTGCCAACCAGGCGCGTCAGGGACAAAGCCAAGGAAGACACAGGGAACAGCGCGAGCGGAGAGCTTGTCCGCGGTGGTATCGCGGACAAAGGCACGAGCACCCCAGACCCGGAAACGCGACGCATCGCCAACCTTCCCCGTCCACAGCAGTGTGGGCGAGGTCTCCGGCAAGGAGACACGGGGCCAGAGGTTGAGCTGATGCGCGGCGTACCGGACCGCAAATGGCCACAGAAAATGGGGGGCAGCCGCATGGATCATGGAGGTACGAGCGACCTCCATGACTAAGCCAATGCGGCGCTCAGCAACCCCATTCTGCTGCGGAGAGGCCGGAAGCGTGAACGACTGGGTGATGCCGTGCTCCGCACAGTAGGCTGCCAAGAGGTCGGAGGAGAACTCACCACCTCTGTCAGAGTGCAGACGCAGGACAGGAAAGTCCGACCGGAACCGCTCGCGGAGCTGGAGACGAACAGCGCGGATCCAGGGGATCAAAACAGCAGGGACGTCCCCCTTGCTCTGCAAGGGGAAGACCGTGGTGTAACGCGTGTAGTCGTCGACGACCAGCAGGAAGTACCGCTCGCGGCCCTGTCCCTGGACGCGGGCTGGGCCCCACACGTCCAGGTGGAGCGTCTGCAGTGGAGCCTCTGTGGGAGGAAACGAGGAGGAGTGAGGAGCGGCGCGCTGCCGCCCCTCGACGCAAGGAATGCAGGGCGGCGCAGGCGAGGGAGGGAGGGCAGGCAGAGACCTGGGGAGACCAGAGACCAGGGAGCGAGAGTGCATGCTACGCAGGCGAGGCAAGGAGGGGTGACCAAGGCGGTGGTGCCACAGGAGAGTGTCGTGCGACAAAGCGCGACACTCGCAGGGGGCCGCCAGCTGACCAGACGCAGACGCAAACGCAGACGCAACTACCTGAGGGGACTCAGTGGTCAGTGAATACAGACTCGAGCCAGGTGCACGGGTGAACGTGGCCAAGTGCCGGCCCGTCCTAGCACACGTACAGTGAGTCACTCGCTGACTCGCAGGAGTGAACTGGTCAACCCCCCCATCCTGGAGGTCAGCTCCACTCACCAAGTTCGTAGAGAACGAGGGGAGGTAAAGACCTGACAGCGAGCCGGACGGGACGGCCGGACACGGCAGAACCGTGGAATAGTGGGCAAGGACTGGACCCCCAGAGGGGTCCGCCAGGGAGACCGGGACTGGCCGACGGAGCGGCGTGAGTGCGGTGCAGTCGCGAAAGAAGGAGCGGGAAGCTCCTGAGTCAAGGGTGAAGGTGTGCGAGACCGCAGTGGGCGCAGTACCAGAGAGAGCAGACACAGCAGCACCTGATGCCACGGCCTCACCAGTACCTAGAGCAGTAGACGTACTAGCACCGAGAGCAGCAGCCTCACCAGCACCTAGAGCAGGAGACGCACTAGCACCTAGGGCAGCAGCCTCACCAGGGTCAGGCGGTACGCACAGGCAACAGGCACGGTCAGCACTAGTAGACAATGCATACATGGCAGTGAGAATAGCATCATAGTCAAGCGCAAAGATATCTACCCTCTGTCTATGCAGCTCCAGCCAGGTGGGGAGCTCAGCCTCGTCGCCAAACACTGTGCGCCAGTCGTCGCTCAGACGGGCGAAGCAGCGGGACTGTGTGTGACCAAGCGTCCCACAAGGCTGACCAGTCCTAGCACCTGTGCGAATGACGTACGGGCAGCGGACTGTACGCGTAGACCTGCTACACTGAGCGTACCACTCCTGGAGCTGCCGGGGCGTAAGTGTCTCACGTGGACGTCCCTGCAGCTGCAGCTGGCCACTGCCAGACGCTCCCAACTGACCAGCTCCAGGGCGACAGCTACGACGGCTACCGCGACAACCCCAGCTAGTATACCACTCACTAAGCTGCTGAGGCGTCAGAGGCTCGCGTGAATGTCGCTGGAGCTGCATCTGGCCACCTGCCAGTAGCAGTAGCGCAGGCAAGGCAGGCGCGGCAGGCAGGCAAGCAAGCAGGCAGGCAGGCAGGCAGGCAGGCCGGCAGGTAGGCAGGCAGCCAGGCAGGCAGGCAGACAGGCAGACAGGCAGGCAGGCAGGCAGGCAAGTAGACACGCAGGCAGACAGGCAGGCAGGCAGGCAGGCCGGCAGGCAGGCAGGCAGCCAGGCCGGCAGGCAGGCAGGCAGACAGGCAGGCCGTCAGGCAGGCAGGCAGGCGCTCACCAAAGGCTGGGAGAGCAGGGCCGGCGCTCGAGTAGGCGCACGACAGCGGCGACGTCGGGGCCGCAAAACCGGCTGCAGAGCAGGGCCGAAACAGCTGGAGGGCGGGGCCGCGTCAGCGGCAGTAGCAGGGTGGGGCCGCGTCAGCGGCAGGTCGGGGTCGTGGCAGCTGCAGGGCGGGGCCGCATCAGCGGCAGGTCGGGGCCATGGCAGCTGCTGGGCGGGGCCGCATCAGCGGCAGGTCGGGGCCGAGGCAAAGGGCCGCGCGCGGCCGCGCTAGGGAGTAGCGGGCCGCGCGCGGCTCGGCGCGGGCTGTTGCGGGCCGCGCGCGGGCCGTGCGAGGCAGGAGCAGGCCTCGCGCGGCTCGGCACGAGCTGCTGCGGGCCGCGCGCGGGCTGCGCGAGGCCGTAGCAGGCCGCGCGCGGCTCGACGCGGGCTGCGCGGGCTCGGCGCGGGCTGCGCGCGGCAGCTGCGAGCTGCGCGCGGCTCGGTGCGGGCTGCGCGCGGTTGCAGCGGGCTGTGCGCGGCTCGGTGCAGGCTGCGCGCGGCTGCAGCGGGCTGCGCGCGGCTCGGTGCGGGCTGCGCGTGGCTGCAGCGTGTGTGCGGGCCCGACAGGCGTGTAGAGGCGGCGCGCGGGCCTTACGGGCCTCTAGGGGCAGCGCGCAGGCAAGGCAAGGCAAGGCAAGGCTACGTGGGGTAGCGCGGTAACCGCAGCGGTAGGTGGGCCCGAAAAAAAAAAAACGGTCCTACGGACCTTAGTGCTCTGAAACCATGTTAGAATCTAGCAGCAGGAATGGGTGAACTAACAGGATGCAGGAGTACAAGTAGTAAACCCTAACTAGGTTGTACCCCATGTGGGCTACCCCACTACAGCCTAGACACTATGCAGCACATATAGTTTGACTCCCCTCACCTGCACCACTCCCCTCACCTGCACCACTCCCCTCACCTGCACCACTCCCCTCACCTGCACCACTCCCCTCACCTGCACCACTCCCCTCACCTGCACCACTCCCCTCACCTGCACCACTCCCCTCACCTGCACCACTCCCCTCACCTGCACCACTCCCCTCACCTGCACCACTCCCCTCACCACTGACCTGCAGCACGGCGCAGCCGGCATTCCCGAGGGAGGAGAGGGAGGGCGCGCTGGAGAGGGCGTCAACGGACGTGAGGCGCAGCGCCGCGTGGGGGGAGGCGCAGCAGCGGTGCAGCAGAGCCAGGCCGTAGCTGCTGCTCACCTCGCCCATGTCCACCAGTGCTGCCAGCAGGAAGCCCAGCTGGGGGGAAGAGGGGGCAAGGCGAGGAGAGGGGAAGGAGAGAAGAGGAAAAGGGCACGAGAGAGAAGTGGGAGAGAGTTAGAGGGGCGTGAGCTGCTGCTCACCTCGCCCATGTCCACCAGCGCTGCCAACAGAAAGCCCAGCTACGGATGGTGGGGAGGGGGAAAGGAAGAGAACGGGAGGGAGGGGGGGAAGGGAAAGAGGAGGAGCACGATAATGCGAGAGGACACAGCACAGCAGGAAAGGGAGCAATAAGGGGCACAGCGGGAAAAGGTAGGCAGGAGAGGCGAGGGGGACGCAGATGCAGCAAAGAAGGGGCAGTGCGGTGGGTGTGCTTGTGCTGACCTCCTCTGTGGTGCTGTCGTCGCCCCCCACTCCCAGCACTCCCCACTCCTCCTCCTCCCCGTCCTCCTCCCCCTCCACTGGTGCGAGGGAGTGCGGGCCGATCTCACGGTACAGCTCCTGCACACACACACAGAGAGGATTCAGTAGACACATGACAGGTGATGCGGAGCGTGTCCACAATGCCATGGTGCCATGACATGAAGCGATGGCATGAGGCAATGGTGACATGCGGTAGTCTACCGCCGGTAGACAGGAGGGCACTAGTGAAAGAACGGGTGCGAGCGGCGGCAACAAGGATGAAGTGCTTGGGCATGGCCTTTGAAGGTTTAGGAAAGGACACAAGGGATGGCTGGAGGCAAGGCACATACATCAAGTGCAGCAAGCGTCTTGAACGACAGTGTGGATAGCGGATGCTGCCGCTGACGTGGAGTTAGGGGATTCGTGCTCACAGACCTCCTTTCCTCCCCATCCTCCTCCAATCTACTCCCCTCTGCACCCTCGCTCTGAGAGTCCATCAAAGGACGCGATTGTGAGGAAGATGGTGGGACGGCGGCTTGGCTGGAGTAGGGGGTGGATACAGCTGAACTGTCTTGAAGGGGTGTCGATGGGTTCAAAGCGGTGCTGCTTCTTCTTGAGGTGGTGGCAGGAGTGTTGGAGGGTGTGGAAGCAGGGGTGGAAGGGGCGGTAGAGGGAAGGACGTCGGGGCGAAGCAGTGTGACTATAGCGGAATGAAGGCTCTTCACCACCTGCTTGTGACAATAGGGAATACGGGCAAGCAGGACACAGCATGGGGGGCCGAGAGGGTTGATTGGATGCAGCATGAGAGGGATGGTGTGGGGCGATGCCATGGGGGATGGGTCAGCATGTGCACTCAGCAGGTATGCGCATACATGGATGGGAGATGCGAGTCCCGCACACACACACATCGGTATTCATAGTCTGTGGAAGAACAGCGGGTACGGCATGGGTGCACGCAGTACAATCACCACACTACAGGGCATGAGAGCACCTGCAGAGCCAGGAAGACGTCTTCTAGCCCTCGCCGCCTCATGCGCATGTCAGCCAGCCGCAAATCCGCCTGCCATGCCTTGCCACGCCATTCCATACCATGCCAAAAGGGGGGTGGTAGAATGAAATGCATGAGGGTTCAGGGTGTATCATTCGTTTTGAAGGCTGGAACGGAGAAAGAATCTGGGTCAGCATGAACGGCACCCACTCCGACTCCCAAGCAGCCCGCATGAAACATGTCACATGAAATATGGCGCATGACACATGACTGAATGCTTACCGCGAGGGCGCCATCTCGCCAGTGCTGTGCGGCCTGCCGGCTCAACTCCTCGCGTGCACTCTCCTCCAACCCCTGCACCCACGGCCCCACACCAGCACACACCACACCCCACGCCCACACGCTCGTTAGCCCATGCACAGAAAGCCCCCCCAATTCCAGCCCACTGATAGCAGGCCTGGCTTGGAATTTGCAAGGATTCGGTGGCAGAGGCTGAATTGCTACAGGTGAGAATCGACATGCATGTGCTTCCTGGTGCGCACTGAATCTGATGCTCCTCGCGTCTCCCCCACCCCCCCACCCTCCCTCCTCCCCCGCACCTGTTCCTGCCACCTGTCCTACCAGCGCCAGGTGTCGCAGGCGCCTCACTCGCAGCCGCGCGCGCGCATCCAGCACGCCCGCGTCCTCCCGCGCCCTCGCTGCTCACATGGCGGGCAAGGCCCGGCGGACATTGGGAGGGGATGGGAGCAAGGGACGACGGGAATGACGGCAAGCTATTAAGATTATGGGAGAGGATGAGGGGACGCGAACCGCGGCGAGGAACAGAATCCGGCGGGCGAGCGTGAAGAAGAACTTGCGGGATACGGGACGTTCCGTCGAATGAAAGGAGCTCCACCGTCAAACCGGCCAAATTACCGGCGAGCGGTGAAATCTACCGTCGAGCGTTTGGAATCTACCGGCGAGCGCTGGAAACGTACCGTCGAGCGTGAGGAACTTGGATCCCAGCAGCGCCACGTCCTCGCGCGCCCTCGAGTCCAGCGACCAGAACCCCCTGTCAGGGCACCGGTGCACACGGAGAGGGCAGTTCATCGGAGGGGATTTTATGGCGAGAGTGAGTGGGGACGACACGAGCGGGAGCGAGACGGCGGCCAGCAAGTGCGATCTCAAGCCGTCCCCGAGCTGAACCAAGAAGAATAGCAAAGGTGAACCGAGGTCCCTTAGCGATCTTTCTAGAGGTCAATGGTGTTCCATGTACCGATAGCGCTTGGGTGACGTCAACGAGAAAGACATTCAGCAGCTATGGAAGGGAAGAGGGACCTGGCAAGCAGAGTGGCGTCCTTGCGCGCGAATTGAGCGGCCGTCGTGAGGCCTATCAGGCACGGCGGGGCTTCGCCATCGCTGGCGCGCCCTCCCGCACCCGCGGATGCGCATATCGGACAGTCGGAGCCGCAGCCTGACTGCAGGAAGTCGCACCCTCCCACGCCCATTCCCGCGCTCACGTCCGCATCAGGTGAGCCCGAATTCGCGAGAATTTCTCGGATCTGCTGTCTGTTGTCTGATACGCTAGCCAATATGCCGTCAATGTCGCTCGCTCCCTCCTTGCCAAACGCCCTAACGCAGACTCTCGGCTCACGGGTCGACGCGTGTTGGAAGAACCGCTCTCTCGATCCCACGCATCCTGATTTCGCGTGCACACCCCCAATCGCCTCGCCCCAAAAGGGTGAAATTCGCACGAGACTCGAGACAGGATTGCTAATGGTGCAAGCAGGTCGCACGTCGTAGTGAAATGCGAGCCGCGCTCCCCCAAGCGCAGCCGTCACCTGGCACGGAAGGCCTGCCATGGCTAGCGAAGAGGCTGGGAGCTTGCGGGAGGCTGCGAGAGTCAATAAGGCTAAGAGCCGATTCGTCGTGAATCGTGGAGTTATTTGCGTTTCGTGCAGTGCAGAGGGAGTGATGTATGCTCTGCCTTGCGTAGTGTGGGCAAGAATGGTTGAGGCTGAGGAGGGCAGATGCAGGGCGGGAGATTATGAAAGAATTTTCAGGGAGGGAGGGCAGAATCAAGGGCTACGTGGCAACTCCCTGAAACCCGCGAGGGATACGATTGGACGAAAATGTTTGGCTTGGAAGACCAATACGATTTCCTGATTGCGAAGGTACAGATTGAGAAGAATTTAGGTCTACATTGAGGCGAAACCAATGTTTTGTCAATCATCAAAACCGAAACCAATGTTTTCTTCTATCCATAAACAATACTTCTGATCCGAACACGTGTTCTGGGGTTATAATGATGTAAGCACCTGATTCGACAAATAACGTAGCCACAAAACGGAAGCCACACCACCATCCATATTGCTGGTGTCTTTCTTTCCCGTTCCTCTCCTCTTGTGCGATGCTTTTCTTTGTAAAGATTATGTATCCATATTGCTGGAAGTTGTGGTTCAGAATCACGATCTTTGAGTTCGTCAGCGAAAAATCTTGCAGTGGCACTAAGTCTAAGTGGAGTGGGAATGCAGAAAATGTCCCCGATACAACAAACACATGTACCGTGAGGAGATGTACGTTGGCGTTTATAAGTTACATAAATATCCTCAAACCATCATTTCGTCCCTGCACATGAAAGCAGAAGGGTCATACATCTGGCCAACAAAGAGGCAGTAAACCACAAACCACCAATTTAACTCACCAGGCGTCATCAGTGTCAAGGACGAGGCATGTTATACTCTTTTGCCCCCTGCATTTACACATGTCATGCACGCATATATTATAAATGCAATGGGAAGAGGAGAAGAGTCACATGGGGGGCACATGAGCGTACAAACAGACTATATGTATGTGCATGCACACACACATATAAGACGGTAATCCACAGATTCAGTTTTTCAAAAGCCCTACTATGACTCACGTTGGAACTGGCTTCATGCAGGACCGCATCACCTCGCCGTCAAGCTCAATAATGCAAACATCACATTGCCCTGTGAGGCAGAAGCGGTTATCAATCGTCAAGGCACCTGCGTCGACAGCCGCCTTTAGCAGACTGGAACCCTCCTGGGAAAAAAATATCGGGCGGGGGTGCAGTGTGTTGGAAATAAGCAAGCTGTGTCTGGGAAAATCGTGAGGGGAGTAAGGAGGCAGGACAAGGTAAAACGTTCGGAGTGTGCACTAAAGCAACACGAATGACTGCGATCCCCTGATTTCTACATTTCGGCTGCATGAAAGGATATGTATGGGCTGAACGACGAAAAATGGAGTTTACTTTGTGTTAAAAACCAGCACTCACAAAGCAGAAGTGATTGGGCCACAGCCTATCCATTTTCTTCCCTGAAACTAGCTCCACGCTTTTGTTTCCTAGCTCCGTTCTTCCCACGAATTCGACATTCTCGTCCTGATTCTGATTCTCACTGTGCGACCCATATGTTCACAAAGTCACCGCGAGACGAGAGATATTTGGCGTTGCATGTACTCACCGGCGCGCTGCAGGTGTCGCCATACGGCTCCCACGTGATCTCCACCATGGGCCCGTCCACCACATTGTCGTTCAGAAACGCGCCCTCGGGCAGACTAGGGGGATTTAAGTGGGCATCGATGAGAGGACGGAGGAGACAAGGGTTAACGCCACGCTGAAATGACATTGCGATCTGAAAAGCAGAAGAGTGGGAGGTTCAAGCGTTGGTCTACAAGGGCAAGGAGCTGTACAAAGACTCACGAAGCATGACGTTCCCGCTATTGCTTCCCTATTCTGCTTTGCTCAAAAGATTGCTTTCTCATTCTGCGTAGCGCTTTCCTTCCTCTCACCCTCTCTCCTTGCCAGTGGCGGCCGCCAGAAAGAACTCCTCTCGCAGCTCGGCACCCGTCTTCTTCCGCTCGCCCCCCGCTGCCTCTGCTCTCACCGCCAACGACGCTGGCCGGCCATGGGACACCTAACAGAGGCATTGCGGTGGCAAGGTTAAGGCGGCGGGACCATCGGATGGTGCAGTGTTCAGAATGCCACGAAAAAATCGCCTACCTGACAAGCCGGAACTGCCGTACTTCTAACCCTATGACCTGCAAGCGGAAGAAATAAACAACTTCGCCTTTAGGCTGCTGCTCGTTTCTATTATACAGCTGTGAAGCAAGTTCCAGCAACTCACCAATGAACGCATTGCTTTGCAGCTTAACAGACACATTTCCGAGCGAAGTTATGGCAGCCATGAGAAAGATCAGTCAGTGAGCAAATTAGTCTTGAAATGGAAGTGGCTGCTGAGGCAGCAGGTTCCTGGTCTTTGGTTGCTGTGGACTTGTGTGGAATGATGACAGCAAAGCGATAATACGATGAGAATTTGCTTATGGCGGCTGTGCTTGTAGCTTGGCGTGGGTTGATTGACGATGATCACACACACCCATTCGAGTGCCGTGTCGCTCTCAGAAGGCACAGAAAGTGAAGACAGAGTTCTCCACGTGTTGGCAATACACTGGATGCAGAATCTGTTGTTGCTTCCCAGACGTCCAAGATGTGAGTATCGGATTGCGCAATTGCCATGTCATCAGAACAGCATTCTGGAACTGACATCGTCATTGGTTGCAACTCGGTCGGCCCGCATTCGTCATGTACGCACACAGATTTGTGATTTGAAATACTGTAATGGTGGTTGTGATGAGAGTGTAGAACTAAACGGGATTCATACATCACAATTGACAAGGGATCCCACACGCCATGCCAGCTGCGATGGAGAACGGTTCTGGCTTTTCGCAGCAGCGAGCGACCGCAATACCCATGCGATCCAGCGAATAGTGGAGACCTATGTGCAGGTTGTGGCACACCCCAAGCCCCACCCGCGTCGCAGGTGCGCATTCACACAGTTTCTGGAGGTCGTCAAATCAGCCTGTAACTCGCAGCCATCAACGGCTACAAACTTTTAGGTCTCTGACTTTGACGGCTTCGATCGATTTCAGATATTCCTTTCGCAGACCGCAGGTTGTGCTGGTTTGATCGTCACCAGGAAATAGAGAGGTCCAGGGCAAGGCCATCTGGCGGCCTTTGCGCAATGGCGCGCCACCAACCATAGAAATCGAAATCGGGACGGAGAAAAGGTGGATGGGGGAGGGGACACGACGTCTTCTGCGCACCCCCTGCATCCCTCCCAGGTGTATTTGTGGGGTAGACAGGATCCCAACCATCGCAACCCATCTTCTCCCACCGCATTCCAACGCATCCCACATCTCGACGCGAACCCTGAGCCATCCCTCCTCAGCCTGTCTTCATTGTCCGCTGTATTCTCTTCACCTGTCTTGCCCTCTGTTTCGGCTCTCAGTTTTCAACACGCAAGACACTGTCCTTCCTAGACTCAGCAACTCTGGTTACGAATTCCCCTAGCATATATATCCACACACACGTCTGACTAATTTCCTGGCTACACTCATGGCTTCAGCTCGCCGTTATCGCGTCGTAGCACTCATAGTTCTCATAGCTCTCACCAACTCCAGACTAGGTCTAGCAGCAGCGGAGCAGCGGCCAATAGCGTCTTTCTTCGGCGATCCGCACTTCGAGGGCGCAGATGGCGTCCATTTCCGATTCACCGGCGTCCCCGGCGAGGCCTACTGCCTGCTCTCCGACCCCTCGCTGCACATCAACATGGAAATGGCCGGCGACTCGGGTAGTCTAGGCGACGATTCAGTCAGTTCAGGCGGCGATGCTAGCATAACACCAGGCGCCACGCAACGCACATGGGTCAAGGCGATAGGTGTGCTCGTGGCCGGCCACTCGCTGCAGCTCAGAGCGCGACAGGGGGCAGACGCGTCGCTCGGCGACGGATTCTTGCAGTCGATAGTGTTAGACGGCGTCGCGCAGCGATTGTCGCCGTCGCACATCCTAGAGAGCGACGACGGCGCGCTAAGAGTGCACCACGTGGGGGTCACCGAATCAAACGGCGTGGAAACCGAGACTCTCAGAATACAGTCCGGTGGCCGGCAAGGGGCGGACTTCCTTGTTCATATTAGGCCAGAGGCCGTCGACCGACAATCAGCAGCCGACGCGTTTGTGCATTTCTCGGTGGAGGTGTTATCTGGGGGCGGGTTGACCGACCCGCACGGCGTGATGGGGCAAACGTTCCGGAGTTCCCAGAAGGAGCGATCTTTCGCGGTAAGCCTGCAGTGGAGCCGCGACGCGCAGGCGTGGGAGGTGGCAGGAGTTAACGGCGACGGCTATCTTGACGGCTCCGTCGAGAGTTACCGGTCGTCCAGCCTCGTCGCCGCGGATTGCGCGTTCTCGCGGTTCAAGGCGGCGGAAGGAGTTGTCGGCGAGCGGAGAGAGGAGAGCGACGGATCGTGGGCGGTGGCGGAGATGATGGGGGAGGGGGAGGACGCGGAAGGCGCGGGGGATGTAGGTCCGGGGATCGCGAGTGCGGTGGGGCGCAGACTGCTGGGCGAGAGGAGACTCCGCGAGTGATGCGCGCGGCGGCCGGTGGTGCAGCTGTTGCTCGAGACTGCCAGGGATGCTGGCGAGGCACCGTTGACTGGCTTTAGGGACCGAGCTGGTCGCCAGTAGCCTTCATTGGTTACTGAGATACCGCATTCAAGGGATATGCACTACTTCCCGGGCTCGTACTGGTTGGGATTGGGACCTAAGGTCGAGGAAAGACGCTGAGCTGAGGGTGTGAAGTAGCCCTTAGGCCACTGTGATGGTGGTTGTGTGTGCCATAGGTAAATTATGTACAATGGATTTGTTTGTACCATGATGACAAGTTGAAAGGCTTGCCCATTGAGGCAACGACTCACCCAACCCTACACATGGTTGTGACGTATCTGGAACTTAGCAAGATCCGCTCGTGGGTTGCTCTGGTTTCTCTGCTGCTGGATTGCTGGGGGCTCCGCTGATGGATTTGTTGGGTTAGGGAAGCATGTGGAGTGGCGCAGGTAGCACCCATGCATGTGCAACGGGGCAATGAAAAGCCAACTCACAATAAGCCAACAAGGAATTGGACAAGCAATAGGGCAGGCAACAAGAATGTACAGCTAGCTTGGCAATGGCATGCTATCTTCTCACACCGAGCCTGAATCGACCACCCTGCACTGCACCAAACTTAGCCACTGAAACCGCCTGCCCATGTCCCGCCACCCCTCTCACCCCTGCCTCCACACTCACACCGCTTCCTCTCCCCTGGCCTGCCGGCACCACCACCTTCCGGGGCTGCCCCCCTGCATTGATCACTCGCACCACTGTGCTGCTGCGCGCCCCTGCCTGCTCCCCACCTGCACCCTGCACGCCCACCGCCTGTGTGCGGCCGAACCTAGGAGCCAGGTCCGCATCGGTCGGTGTGTACTGGTGTGTCACTGCACCCCCAGGCGTTGGGGCGGCATCTTCTGGCGTGTACTGGTGTGTCCCTGCGGCACTGTGTCCCCCCCTGTCTCCTGGAGACGGCCCTGCTGATGCCTCTGCTCCTCCTGCCTCTGCCATGGGCTCTCTTGCTGATCCCTCTGCTGGCCCCCTCACGTCTGCTGCACCTGCTGTGGAGCAGGGAGGGCAGGCTGGAGGAGAGGCTGCTGTGGTGGGGAGACGAGAGCCATGCGGAGTTGCTGGGTTTTCAGGTGTGGCTGCGGCCGCTGCAGCAGCAACTGAAGCGAGTGGCAGGGATGGTGGTGGTGATGGGGGAGGTGAAAGTGAGAGTGAGAGTGAGAGTGAGAGTGAGAGTGAGAGTGAGAGTGAGAGTGAGAGTGAGAGTGATGATGATGGTGATGGTGGTGGTTGTGCGGGTTGGCATGGCAGCAAGCCACAAAAGGACAAGCCCAGCCATGAGGCTGCCCGTGAGTGTGTCCTCCTGCGCGCCCCCAGCCCCCCAGCTACTACTGCTTGCGGCCCTTTAGAACCTGGTGCCACTGCCGCGGCCTCTGGCCCTCCCTGCTCTGATGCCACTGTTTCCATCACTGCACCGTGTGCTGCCACTGGTGTTGCTAGCTGTGCTGCACTGTCCATCCTCGTTGCAACCGCGCTTGCACCCTCTGCTGCCTGTTCTGACCCTCCTGTGCTCGCTGATGCCCCTGTGCTCGCTGATGCCCCTCCTGCCTCTCTAACTCTGCCTTCCCCCGTTACATCTGCTGCATCCGCACCCTCCTCACCTGCACAACCTGCTTCCCGTTCAACAGCATCACCCTCCACCCCACTACACTCCCCCTCACCGCACCGCAGTCCTCCCTCCACGTCCCTCACACCACAGCCGCCCTCCCCCACACCACCACCACCATCCCCTGCTTCCTTCCCCTCTTCCCTCCCAATCCGCACCCCATCAGCAGCCCCCCACCCCCCCTTCAGCCTGAGGCGCCTGGCAGCCCGCACATGGCGAGGCTCAGGGGACGCCATGCCGGGGGGGAGAGCAGCAGATGCATGGGATGCATGGGATGCATGGGATGCATGGGATGCGGGCATAGGGGCATCGGGAGTCATGGGGGTGATGGGGGGCATGGGCGTGTACGGGGACATGGAGGCTGATTTGGTGATGGGGCGGCGCAGGGCAGGGGAGGAGGAGAGGGAGTGGGCGAGGGAGTCAAAGGGAACGCGCATGCTCCCGCCCAGCCGTCTCAGTCTCACCCATGCCCCGCTCTCCCGCACTCCCATCGCATCCTCTTCCTCTCCTCCCACCCTTCCTTTCCCACTCCCCTCCCCTCCTCCTCCTCCCTCCTCTGCTCCCTCCACTCTGTCCCCATCCACGCGTGCACTGGGTGTGTTGGCTGCATTAGCTGCTCTCCTCTCCCTCCCCACACCCTCCCGCTGCCGCCGCCGCTTGGGCCCAATGGCCTCGCGCGCGCCCCCACTCCCGCCACTCGTGCTGCTCTCGCGGCCACCGCTGCTGCTGCTGGCCCGCCTCACACTCCTCCCCAGGGGTAACCGCAGCGACGCAGACGCTGACGAACCTGACCGCACCGGCCCGGCCGAGCCTGACCGCGCTGGCCCTGCCGAAGCTGGTCGCACAGGCACGGAGCCGGTGCGGGCGAGCGAGCGAGAATGGCGGGCGAATTGCAGGTCGGCCACTGCTGCTGCTGCCTGCTCGTCCGTGCGCGCATACACCTTGCGCCCCGTGTGCAAGGGCAGCGCGAGGCTGGGCGCATGAGCGTGGGGGAGAACAGGGGGCGGGTTGCCGGGTGCAGTGGTGGTGGTGGTGGTGGTGCGAGGTGAGAAGGGTGAAAGAGCTCGGGTCTTGCGCCGAAACTCCTCTCCCTGAGAGGATGGCAGAGAAGAGAGGGGTGCGGGTGGGTGGAGAGACAAGGGCGATGAGAACGGCTTAAATGTGATGGTGACAACTCGCCATGGCATGGCATGGCAAGTTGAAGGAACAAAAGCGCTACGGGTATTGGAATCACAAGGGCGAGGGAGGCACATAGCTGCAGATGAGCTGCACTCACGGCTCGTGCCATGCGCGGGTGCACTCACTGCTCGTGTCATGCGCGGGTGCACTCACTGCTCGTGCCATGCGCGGGTGCATGAGTGCCAGGAAGTGCTGCTGCTGCCCAATCACTGACCCCGGGCGCACCAAGCGCGTGTATGCTATGGCCTGGTGGGATGTGGGATGAGGTGGAGGAGGGGAGATCGTGGGGGCTTGAGGGTATGAGAATGAGAGGGTGTTATTGTGTGAGGGTGTGAGGGGATGTCATGTGCACGAGAGGCATGGCATACTGTGATCCGATTTGCACTGTATGATCAGTGGATGGTATGTGTGGTGTGTGGATGGAATGTGTGGTGTGTGGATGGTATGTGTGGTGTGTGGATGGAATGTATGGTGTGTGGATGGTATGTGTGGTGTGTGGATGGAATGTGTGGTGTGTGGATGGTATGTGTGGTGTGTGGATGGTATGTGTGGTGTGTGGATGGTATGTGTGGTGTGTGGATGGTATGTGTGGTGTGTGGATGGAATGTGTGGTGTGTGGATGGTATGTGTGGTGTGTGGATGGTATGTGTGGTGTGTGGATGGTATGTGTGGTGTGTGGATGGTATGTGTGGTGTGTGGATGGAATGTGTGGTGTGTGGATGGTATGTGTGGTGTGTGGATGGTATGTGTGGTGTGTGGATGGAATGTGTGGTGTGTGGATGGTATGTGTGGTGTGTGGATGGTATGTGTGGTGTGTGGATGGTATGTGTGGTGTGTGGATGGTATGTGTGGTGTGTGGATGGTATGTGTGGTGTGTGGATGGTAAGTGTGGTGTGTGGATGGTAAGTGTGGTGGGTGATCTCTCCTCTCCCCAACACTGCTCGCGCAACAACTGCTCGCCAAATTGTTCTCACCACGGCTCTTACATCATCACTCCCCTCATTACCCTCACCTCTCTGGCTGTCATGCCGTAGTGCTTCATGAGGTAGCACCCCACCCCCACCAGCACCCCCCAAATCCCGCCTTTCACAGCACACTACTCCCATCCACCCTGCCATCCGCCCTCACCTCCCCTCATCACCCTCACCTCCGTGGCCGTCATGCCGCAGTGCTTCATGAGGTAGCACCCCACCAGCACCCCCGTGCGCCCCAGACCCGCCTGGGGAAGCAGCATAAATGGAGAGGAGATGTGGAAGGGAGATTGGAAAGAGGGGAAGGGGGAAAGGGGAAGGAGAGCGAAGGGAGAAAGAGGCGAGTGAGAGAGAGTGCTAGTGTGGAGCGGTTCAGTGCAGCAAAGTGGGACTGGCAAAGCGTTGAACGCATTTCAGAGGGGTGCCTGGCAAGGCACAGCAGAGCAGCAGGCGTGGCAAGCCAGCAATGCAGATAGTGGAACAGACGGGAGAAGCAGGAGAGAGAAGCGGGTAAGGGAGCAGCACGGCACCTTGCAGTGGATGGCGACAGGCCCGTTGCTGCCCTCCACCACGGCGAAGAAGCGCTCCACTATGCCATCCGAGGGGGCTCTGACGGGGTGAGGGATAGGCGATGTGAGGCACGGGAGCGAAGGGAAGGAGAGAGTAGCGAGAAAGGTTGCAGCGACGGGAAGAGTGGAGGCTTGAGGCCAATGCTTACCCCGAGGACTGCAAATATTTTCTCCCATATACCCACCGCTTTCCCCCCAACCAACCCACCCGCCAGCCATAACTGGCTCGAATGGGAGCACTGACCCGCCATCAGGGAAGTAGAGGTCGTAGAAGGCAAAGCCATGGCGGGTGAATCGCCTCTTGTCGTACACGCGCCTGTTGAGGCGGATTATGGCCGCTATGCCTGCCTGGATGCATGCACGCATGCATATGCACACACATTGTTGCACACATACACACATGCATACATGCACCCGAGCACACATGCACGCACTTGCATGGCTCTGCGGCTTCAGTGCTAGTGTAGTGAAACGAGTGAAACAACAAGTTGGGCCAAGTCAGACTTGGAGTGGTTGGGCCAAGACAGAGTCGGTTCTGCTCTGTTCCCTAAATATCCTTCCCAACAGGGCCTACAAGCAAACGAGCAAACCCATGGCGTGTGATTGATGCACAACCCCCATGCACAGCTCACCTGGCGGAAGTACTGCACATAGTCCTCGGGCGTCAGGTATCCCTCCTGACCACGGCAGGTGGATGCAGGCCGTCACATGCAGTGGGGGAGTGGACGGAGGGGCAGTGGCAGGCAATGGACGGTGAGTGGCGGGAGGGGAAGCAAAAGCGAGCATTGGAGTTGCGAAGGCGACAAGGCTGCGTAGACTCGTGGCAGCAGCATGCCATGCCACGTGGTGGCACAGAGCGATGGCACGGCAGTGGGTCACATGACCAGTGCCGCCCACCACAACACCAGGCAACACACCATGCATGCACTCCTGCCACCCTGGCCACCACCCACCACCCACCACCCACCATGACGCTAGCGGGGTCATCAGCAGGCGTGCTGAAGGCGAGCAGCCGCCCCGGCACCATCCACGTGAGGTCTGCCTGCTCCAGACGCTCGTACTCGCCCACGCTGAAGCCTGTCAACAGGCCTGCTCCCTCCGCGCGCTCCAGTGCCTGTAGCAAGGAGGAGTGGGGGATGGAGGATGGGTGATGGGCGGATGGGGTATGGGGAAAGGGCGGATGAGCCATGGGGCACCATCCACGTGAGGTCTGCCTGCTCCAGACGCTCGTACTCGCCCACCCTGAAGCCTGTCAATAATCCCGCTCCTTGTGCTCGCTCTAGCGCCTGCAGGATGGGGGACGCGGAATGGGGATGGGAATGGGGGATGCCACATGGGCCACCATCCACGTGAGGTCTGCCTGCTCCAGCCGCTCATACTCGCCCGCTCTGAACCCTGTTAACAGGCCTCCCTTCTGTGCCCGCTCTAGAGCCTGGGGGAGATGGACACACACACCTTGCCCCACACGCACACCCCACCCCCCCCACCCACACACATCCCTTGCACGCCACACCTTGCCCCCCCCGCGCACCTGGCAGCAGTCGAGCGCGGTGATATGGAAGGTGCACGCACCGTTGGATGCGTCCCTGAAGGGCGCCAAGGGCTCCAAGGGACGCAGCATTGCCTTACCGTCACACAGGTATCCGCTTCCGTGCTTGTCGTCTTGCCCCTCACAATAGACTACACCCCCCTTGCCCCACACACGCACCTGGCAGCAGTCGAGTGCGGTGATATGGAACGTGCACACGCCGTTAGACGCGTCCCTGAAGGGCGGCAGCGGCTCCAAGGGGCGCAGCACCGCGTGGGCAGCATCGGCTGGCATGGCATGGCGCAGAATCAGATACGCTGCTAGCTGGGGGGGAGGAGGGGGGGGGGGGGCGGGAGGGTGGTGGGGGAGGGGAGATGGGGATGGGGGAGCGTAGGGAGGGGCAAGGGGCAGGGTGGGGGAAAGGGAGGGGTTGGTGGGGAAGGGGAGGAAAAGAAGGGCGTTACGGGTGAAGTTCTGGGCAAAGGCAGTGGCGTGCGGGGCACAGCAGAGCACAGGCGCACAAGGGGAATAGACAGCGAGGTGGTGAGGTGAAGAGGGCTGGCAGTCGTGCAAGGGGGGAGGAGCAAAAAGGGAGGGGGCAGTGAAGAGCGGAGGGGAGGGGGGGAGTGCAGGGAGGGGGCACTGACGAGCAGGGCGGCGTTGGCCTTCTTGTGCGGCGCGCTGCTGCACACATGCACCACCCGCCGTGATAGGCCCCGCCCCTCCTGCAGCGAGGGGGTGAGCACACATGGCCAAACAGCAGGGGGTGGCATGGTTGCCATGAGTGCAATGGGTTGGCATGGCAAGGCGTGTGATGACATAGCATCGCATGCAATGAATGACGGTAAGCACAAGGCAGGTGCAGGGCACGTAGCATTGATTGACCGCGTTGCACACACGGCAGGCAGGCAGCACCCACTATCACCTGCAGGGCTCGGTCCATGGTGTCACAGTAGCGGTGGATGCACGCCAGGCTGAGCGGACCAAAGTCCATGCAGTATGGCTCGTACACCTGGTGGGGGGGAAGAGGAGTGGCAGCGTGGGGGTGTGCAGGGAAGAGGTGATGAGGTGATAGGGGAGAGCTGTTGGATGGGCTGGGGATTGGGAAGGCCGCCCATGGGCAGGGCAGGCCGTGGGAGTTGACCCTTGACGAAACTTTCCAAGAAACAGCATTGTGTTGTGGCCATCCCTCTCACCAGCCGTGGCCTCCGCCTCACCATCAGCACCGCTCTATTCCACTGCCGCTAACGCCCCACGCACTACGTGGCACGCACCACGTGGCACGCACCAGCTCATCATCGATGTTCACGCAAACAGCGCCCCGCCCCCTCTCACTGCGCGCCACCAGCTGCGGGCGCCTGCACGCCACCAGACAAACCTCCCCGCCCAGCGCCTCGCACCACTCGCCCTCGCTGCTCCCCCCCTTTCCGCCATCACTCCCCCCCTCCCCCGACTTCCCCAATACCCCGCCCTCCTTCTGCCCTTCGCCTGGCCCCTTGCGCTCGCCACTTCCGTCCATCTTCCCCCTATCCTCCCCCCTATCCTCCCCCCCATCCTCCCCCTCATCCGTCCCCGCATCCTCCGCCTTATCCGCTTCCTCCTCCGCCAACTGTTCCCCTCTGGCTGCTCCGCCTTCCCCTTCCGCGTTTCCCCCCGACTTCCCGCTTGGCGCCAACGATTCCGCAGCCTTACTCGCCTTGCCCAATGACACGTGGCCGCTGGCGGTTTCTGGAGCGGCTGTAAGTCGGTCTTGGAGCGAGCTGACCGTTGGGATGCGCGCCGAGCCGGGCTCATCGGCGGAGACGTAACCGGGGGGAGCGCTGCAGTATCCCGCTTCGGGGGAGCCTGGCGGAAGCGCGGGAGACGCGAAGAAGCGACCTGCCATTGCTGCGATTGTCATGTGGACAAGTGAGCTGGCATCGTTATGATGCCAAGGACGTGACGTGGAAGTGCTTCGATAGCAGGGCAAGGCACGGCTTGTTCGCCATTGGGACAATGCAAAGCGTGAATTTCATCCTAGACTGCCTCTGACGAGTAGGACGCACTAAGATAACGGCTTGGTGTATGGAAGGTCAACGAGACTACCTACCACAAGAACAAGACACGCGGCAGTCGCGTTGTAGAGTCATGCTCTTATTATAGATTGACATGCTATTTTAAATATATCTTACTGGTATTGGTGAAACAAGTCCAAGATAAAAAGGAACATGAGCCGATTATTGCAATTTTCTGTAAATTATATATCTAGTGTTTTCATATTGATAGATTATTTACTTGCTATGCTGTATGATGCAAGGGTCCATCTATCCATGCATAAGTTCCAGTTTTGTCATGTGTAAATCGTATGTGCTACTTGAATCAAAAGGAGTGTGAAAGCCTTGTTACACTTTCCAACCACTCATTTGTGGCGAAATGTCGCATTGCATCGCTGAAACGGGAGCTTACCACCCTACCGGTAACTGATCGCCACGTGCCTGAGGCCAACCATGAAGGCCCTCCCTCGCCCTCGGAGTCGCGTAGTGTAGAGGCCGCATGGCGCCAGCGAAGTGACCACACTGATCGAATGGGGCGCCTCGAGTGGAACCCACAGGCACGCGCGCGGCGACTGGGGCGCCTCCAAAATGTCCCCCCCCGGTGAATGTTGGGCAGCGAGGCATTTGCGAATGCGGCCCGCGGTTTCAAGTGTTGCCATGGCTGTTGCTAGCATTCCAACTTGGAGCCTCCACATGTGACCTTTGCATCTCCTACTAGTAGTTATGTTCGCATTCCTGCCTTCCCACTAGGCTGCTCCCAACGCGCGCTCGCGTTGTTGCTCGTTTTCGGCACTTTTAGACCTTCGTCTCCTTCATTTCTCATCACCGAGGTGGCATCTGAGGTGACTAAGATATCATAGAAGCTAACTGCCTGAATAATCTCCCCTGGTTCCGACTCACATACCTTGACGACTATCTAATCTTACTCGAGAGGCAATAAAATGTCTAGTCAGCAGAGCAGGATGAATCTCAACGTGTTTTTTGTTGCAACGGTCGTTCTCTTCGTGGTAGCGAATACCCTGCCTGCTGCCGGCATGCCTTCCACCAGCGACTTCGAGGTGCCTCCCTCTGAGATTGGTCGGGAAACGTAATCCTGCCACTCTCCTCTTTCCTTTCGCAGTATGCTAGACCCGCATGCTGCGGAATGTACCCGCTCCCATGCAAGACGCTCTTATGTATCAAGCCATGCGGGTTGAATCGGAAATGATTGAAATCTGGGACGTCGAGCGCAACTGCAGCTTCCATACCCTCTCGTTCGCCTGTCACAGCCTTGTTTCTCGCTGAGTGATCCATCTGCCTTTCGTGTTGTGTCTCGGGTGGGTACAGAAATACTCTGTTCGCTCTGGCCGGTTGCGGCAAGGTGGCAGTGCGGCGGGGAGCGGCAGTGGCGGGCATCGCGTAAAGTGGAGAAAGCTGCAAGTGCTCGTCACCTGTAGCTCCATGAACCTCACCGCTTGCGGATCGTAAGTGCCCCCATTCACCTCCCTGCCAATGATCCACATTTTTATCTTGTGACGGTTTCCCTCCCTGCAAAGCAGCCCTTCCTTTCGCTCTCTTTCTTTTGTCCATTGCGACCCTTTCCATATCTCATCGCTCTCCTTGATCCGCCGTTTGCAATGTTCCTTCCCATTATCTACCGTTTTGCGGTCCCTCCTTTTGTTTTCCTTTGTTTATCCATTCCGGCTCTTTCCATATCCGTCGCTCCTCCCCACTCGATCTCATACCGGCTGCTACGGTGTGTCTCACAATCCTTTCTTTTGTGTACTGATTTTTATCCGCGGCATGGCAGCGTGTGCGTGGATACGAAGAACGACTTGAATAACTGCGGCGCGTGCGGGTCGTTCTGCGACATATCGACGTCGTGCTGCGACGGCAAGTGCACCAACCTCGACTCCAGCCTCGAGCACTGCGGCGGCTGCTACCAACGCTGCCCAGGCACCTGCACTCTCGGCGTCTGCGATTATGGCGGCACCAGCGGCTACATTCCCGGTGTCACGCCTGTGCCGTAGGCTTCAACCTTGGGATTGCCGGAACGCCTTGTGTCGCTCTAATGATTTCAGCGAGTTGCTACAGCAGCGCAGAGGCGACGACTTCATTCACTGGATCATCTCACTTTCCTACTACTATTTATCCTTCATTCTGCATGATTTGACTTACGGCTGCGGAAAGCGGGCTGCACTGGAGGGTGGCGCGGACAAAGACGGACAGAGATCCTGTGGGGGCTCTGTCTTCCCTTGGCATTGGCAATACACACGCCCCGTCGTCCGTATTTGGGCGAAAATAAGTGTGTTGTATTTTGTATCGCAAGATTATATGAAATGAACGCTTTTAATCTTATTAATACATGCATCACGACCTGTGACCTTCACATATTCCACATTACAGTATGTGTAAGCGTTTGGAGACTGATTGAGCTCTGGAGCTCCCTTCACCACCTCCCTTTGCCACTGCCAGACTGTTTTCAAACAGCCAGTAGGTCCCCTTCAGACAAGATCAGAACAAGTATCATACGTGTACACTGATCATGTGTGACGTCAAACACAGTATGATAAATTATTTTTTACCTCACTCTGCTTGGGTAGGTATGTAGCTCAAGCCAGCCAGCCACAAGCCGTGGAACTAAGAAAAATGACCCTCCCCAAATCGGCTGCAAAACGCAAGCAGAGCTTCAACCACTGTCACACAGAAAGCACCCTGTTCTTGTAGATCGCTGCGCCTAGGGCTGCTTCAGTAATCTACTATTGATATTGGAGTTGTTGCAGTGATGAGTTATGTTTTACCTCACTCTGCTCGGATACCCTGTGAAAAACTCAAGCCAGCCAGCTAGCTGCTAGCCACGAGCCATGGAACCAATAAAAATTGCCCCTCCCCAAACTGGACTGCAACACAAGAGCTTCCACTTTCCATCACAGAAAGTGGCCTTTGGCCTTGCTACTCGTTAATTTAGAAAACATCGCCTATGGCTTCATCAGTTATGAACTATTGAGATCGGAGTTGCCCAGGAACTGTAGGTATCACTGGCACAACATTACACTTACCACCCACCTAACACGTTCAAAAGTTAAGCCAGAGCAGAAGCACCTGCTGTTGTTGTCTTTGCCTCAGAAGCTGTTAGTAGTTGCTTCACTTTTACACGACAAACGGGGCAACTCAGGCGGTACTCAAGCCACTTCTCCAAGCAATCCTGCAGGGTGCATACATGAACAGAAAGAGAATTAGCCTTGAGCTCATCAGCTGTAAGAGCAAATGCACCTTCAGGCCAGGAAAGAAAGCCCACAGTTAGGCAATGCTGACACATGCATGGCTTCTATGAACAAGCACGAGGGCATGGCTCTACTCAGTGGTCCACATTGATCCATCGTTCACTGCCCCATGACTCAGCACTCCCATCCCCCATGACTCAGCACTCCCATCCCCCATGACTCAGCACTCCCCTCCCCCATGACTCAGCACTCCCATCCCCCATGACTCAGCACTCCCCTCCCCCAAGCTCACCTGGTGAAACAGGTGTCTGCAGCAGTGCATGCGGCGCAGCATGTCATCATCTTCAAACTCCACCAGACACACGGCGCACTCAGCGGCCGTCACAGCAATCACAGGAACCGCCACCTCACTTGCACCAACTGTGTCGCCACTACCTGCCACTGCTGCACATTCGGGCTGTCCTGCAGGCATTGCATCCGGTAACAAGCCCTGCCCCTCACCACCTAATGGAGAGGAGTGCTTAGAAGCAGCATCTGGGAATGGCAAAACCGTGTTGTTAGCACCAACCCCTGACTCATCCTGGGACTCTGGGCCTTCCACCACTGCGGGTTCTTCTCTTTGCACCGCACTCGACCCATCCTCAGCCCCCCAGTTCGTCGGATCACAACTTGCAGCCACTCCATTTCTCGTGGCTCGACGAGCTGGCGTCTGCTCAATGGCTCCACCCTCCATCTCACCCTCTCCCTCTCCCTCTCCCTCTCCCTCACCCTCACCTTCACCCTCACCCTCACCCCCACCCCCACCCTCGGCTCGTGCTTTACAATGCGGTTCTGATGATGTTGATTCACAGCCTGTGAGACACTCAGCCTTCCTGCTGCTGCACTCACTGCCGTCTGCCCCAGTGCCCTCTCCTCGAATGTCCACCACAACAGTCGTCCCATCCTCTTGTAAGGAACTACCATCGCCCACGCGTGAATCATCAATCCCTGGTAGCTTCACCTCCGCAACAGTCACATCTGCCAGCGTCACCGAGCCCTTGGCAGTGCAGGGAGAGCTCGGCGCGCTTCCACCCGTAGCCGCGTCTCGCGCTGGCTGCACATCCGCGTCTCGCTCTAGCTTCACATTCGCGTGTCGCGCTAGCAGCACATCCGCGTCTCGCTCTAGCTTCACATTCGCGTGTCGCGCTAGCAGCACATCCGCGTCTCGCGCTAGCTGCGCTAGCTTCACATCCGCGTAGGTCACGAGGTCGCTGAACGCCCCCAGCAGCTTCGGATCCAGCGCCTCCGCCAGCCGGCTGCGCGCAGCCCTCTCGCGCAACGCGCGCTCGCGCTCCCGCGCACGCTCCGCCTGCTCCTCCGCCAAGATTACGCGGCAGAGGCGGTAGGCGCAGACGAGAATCATGGACGCGACCATGACGGCGAACGCGAGGAGAATCCCGAGGTCCATGGCCGAGCGGAACGGCACGTAAGGGCAATGGCAGGAAGGCGGCAATGGCTTATATCGGCATCAAAGCGGTGGTTTGTTAGGCGGCTCAGGAATGCGGAGGGCCATGCCGCGGCGCAACGGCAGACAGGGGCATCACAGGGATGGGAAAAATCAGGGCTTTGGTCGGGTCAATGGCTTAGGCGTGGCCCGGAAAATAGACGGCGCAGCGAATTATGCGTGCGGCAGTGGGATGGTTTCCGTACGAGAGTGATCAGCGCGATCAGAGGGCCGAGGTGACGATTACGGCAAATGGCGCTGGTGGAAAGGAGACAAGGGCGTCGCGATGGTGCACGAGAAACCTCCAAGCCGGTAACCACGGTCGTTGAAACTTAATGTGCCCGTGGCTGCTGGAGCCAGAACCTGCGTTCCGCGTTATTCGAAAATAGCAATCCATATTCTACGCCCTAAAGACTTCAACAGTGACTGGAAAGGAGCATGAGCTAGTTGAGAGTGGAATGCCCCTGCAGCCTGACTTTGGGGCTACTGTATCTTGTAGAGGGACATTCTGTGACGAGTCATAGAAGACCACGTGTTCATCGCATAAGCGGCGCGAGGTGGAGATTCCTGCAAGATGCCACCAAGCAGGTGCGGCACTTGACAAGCTTCGATACAGTACTTGTAAGACTCATCTGTATACCTTAGATATATCTTACCTGATATCATATTATAAATGATCGGCCCATTTTGCCAAGAGCTAGCATATTGTTCTCCGCTTTGGCGCTTGGGACAGTTTTTGGGACCTAGCAGAGCGTCCCTCCCTCTAACGATCTGTAAGCTTCTACATCTGTATCTACACTTGTTGCGACGTGCATTGGTGATGGTGTTTTGATGGCACCACCGACGCACGGCAAAGAGGGCACGAGATGTGGGCTTGCAGCCAGCCGTCTATGCACTCCTGGGTATAGGACACAGCGGGCCAAGGGCACGTGGAGGGGTAGAACATGTGGAGAGGGGTGAGAGCATGTAGAGAGGGGTGAGAGAATGTGGAGAAGGGTGAGAGCATGTGGAGAGGGGTGAGCAATGCATAACCCCAATTGGAAAAATAGCACTGGCATCGGTGCAGGCTCATCCCATGGATAAAAGCAGGGTGAATAGAGACGGTGGGGAAGGCAGGAGGGAGGGAGGGAGGGAAGGGAAGTGGGCAGGACCAAGAGAGTGTTGAGTGATACATTTGTGTATGCATGAGTGTGTGTGCATGCATGCGCGTGTGAGCGCCTGTGTCTGTATGCACACGCGTGTGCAGGTGTTGTGCAAAAGAGAGCAGTGTTCATGTAAAGTTGAAAAGGGCAGGACCTGGTGGAACATGTGGGAGCAGCAGTGCAGTCGTCTCACTCGCTCCTCCTCCCTGAACTCAGTCAAGCACACTGAACAATCCACCGCCACTGCCCCCCACACCCCCTCCACTCCTCCCTCTCCCTCCTTCCTCCCCTCTGCTCTTCCGCCCCATACCCCTCCGTCCCCTACCTTTCCTCCTCCTGCTTCTACTGCCCCTGCTGCTTCCGCCCCTTTCTCCCCCGTCTCCTGCTTCGTCTGCTGAGTCTTCACAAGACTCTCACTCACGTCCCGTCGCCGCTCAGCCTTTTCACTGGCCTGTCCGTTTACTGCTGCCGCTGCTCTTGCTGTGTCCGCTTCTCTATCCGCCCCTCGCTGCCCCTCCCCCTCACATGCTGCCTCAGCACCACCTTCCTTCCCCGTGCGCGCCTTCTCACTCACACCCGCCTGCTCTCTCTCCTCCCTCTCGCCTATCTCTACCACTACTAACTCCCTCTCTCCTACTCGCCGCTTTTCTTTCACCTCACTGTACCGAATCAAATCGCTGTGCTCAGCAATCTCTTCTGCCCGCAACCCTTTCCCCCTTGTCCCCCCTCCCGCGCCCCCCGCTTCCCCTTCCCCCTCGCGCGCTGGCGCGCCCTCGGGAACCCCGTCAATGACGAGAACGGTGCGCACGTGGATGGTGGATTCTGGGTCGTCGGATCGGCGCGGGAGCGGCGAGAGCAGCGCGGCGTGCAGTAGAAGCGCGCGGAGGACGCGGAAGAGGAAGGAGAAGACGAAGGCGGCGCAGAGGAACATAATCGCGTATAACGCGGACGTGCTGACCGACATCTTGCCGCCGCTTTCTGCGCTGCCCGCTGCTGCGCTGTCCGCTGCTACAATGCTCGGTGATGGGGTGACAATAACACAGACGGGAATTCGCGCTCGTGTCAAGAGTAGCTGGGCGGTGTCATACGACAAAGTTAAACGGTGATAGAGGAACACGTGGTCACCGTTCTGGCTTCGTCACGTGTGCGGCCTGTAATGGATTGTGAATTTATCGAAGGTCAACAAAGTCAAGCGTCTTCAGAGAGTCAGAGTCAGAATGTGCGAGCGACTCGGAGTGCCGCCGCTAACGCCCTCCTCCGATACAGAACCGACTGCAAACTGAGGTTACTAGAACTGAGTACGGAATTAGCGGCGTCTACACCCTAGCGGCGCGGGTCGGACGGCACGGGACGCTCAAGAGACAGCGAGCAGAGACGCGCGGCGAGTCGGCTGTCTCTGGCCATTGGAATTTACGATAACGTCGGAGCTGCTACGAGGATTAGTTTCTAATAAACACCGTTCTGCGGTTCAGATGGTAAGTCAATTTCGCGAACTACACTGGGTGACTGGGATACTGCATGGCAGGGATGAGTAAGGAGCTAGGATTCGGCGAGCACCAAGAAGACTAGTTGCGTTGCGCGGCTACGCTTTTCGGTTGCCCACGTTGGCGGAAACTGCCTGCGCAGGAGAAGACTTGGCGGGAGGGTACTGGGGGAGGTGCCCCAACAAAGCGGCGGGTTGTTGTTGACAGTTGTGTGTCAGAGCGCGCCAAGACAGGTCATCGTGGCGTGGCGACGATAGGAAACCACGGGCCAGTGGCGGTACAGCCTCGGTGGGATATTACCCAGATATCCCTGCAACTCGTCCAATGTTGCGGGTTTCGTTAGTAACCAATAAACCTGGAGGAATGCTATTCACGGAGAGTTGAGGTATTTTTCCAATGAGCCCGTTAGTGCAGGTATTTTTCCACCTGTTTGGCTGTATCGCATGCTCATCTTGGTAGGCTTCCCAGGCAGCTCACCACAAGATAGAGAATGCGACAAGCCCTTCCTGTACACGTTATAAACATCCATGCTCCTTTCTTCCAACTTCATGCCCTTCACAACCGTAACCAAAGCACCTGATTCCCTAAATGGAGTCTTCCGAGCCGATGAAAGGTAAGAAGGAGAACATCCCGCCTGAATGGCTGCAATGCAAGCAAGAATGAAAGGCATGTGATCGAGAATAAGAACACACTGGTGTGTAATCACGCAGATAATAACCAACAGATTGAGATATGTAGGCATGGCCATGCCACGGCGCACAGAACAAGCTGTCGCCACACACACACTCGTGCTGATCATATCAAGCACTGCACAGAGAGTGCCGCCCACTGACCTGTACATGTGCCGACCACTTCCCACTGACCTGTACATGTGCCGACCACTTCCCACTGACCTGTACATGTGCCGACCACTTCCCACTGACCTGTACATGTGCCGACCACTTCCCACTGACCTGTACATGTGCCGACCACTTCCCACTGACCTGTACATGTGCCGACCACTTCCCACTGACCTGTGCCGTGAGAAATAGTCGTTGTCGAGTGAGACGGCCAGTGCCAAACACACTGCTCGCTCCAGCAGAGAGAGTGGGCGCGCCACCGAGAGCACGGGACCCTGCAGGGGAGAGGTGTGCAAGGGCAGGCAGTGGTTTGAAGGCAGGCAGTGGTGGGAGGGAAACAACTCAAGAGGGTTGGATGGAAGGAAATGCACTCAACACATCCAGGCACTGCCACTTGCAGTGCCATTGTGCTTGTGCCGTTCATCTCACCTCGTCGGCTTCTGTTGAGAACCACGGCTGATGATACTGCTGTGGCTTTTCCTCCTCACCCTCCTTGCCCTCCCGCTCCCACTGCTCGCGCTTCGCCCGCTGCTGCTGCTGCCAGTGCCGCACGGAGCTGAATCGCACCACGTACTGCCCTGCGTCTGTGAACACCTGCACAGCACACCACACCACCATAAACATGCGGAGGCAAGCACTGAGGTGACTTTTGAGTCGACTCAAAGGCACGGATCCGAATCGCACCACGTACTGCCCCGCATCTGTGAACACCTGCACAGCACACCACCACACAAATGCGGAGGCAAGCACTGATGTGACTTTTGAGTCGACTCAAAGGCACGGATCCGAATCGCACCACGTACTGCCCCGCATCTGTGAACACCTGCCATCACACCACCACAGAGACCGAGCAATGCATTGCAGCATTGGCATTGCACCAGCCCTGAGAATCCGTGAACACCTGGCGGCACAATGCCCAGAAATGCCGAGACACGCATTGCAGCATTGGTGCCCGCAACGGCTGGCTCTCACGCACAGCACAAGCACCACATCATGTGCTGCGCCCACCAATCCCCTCATGCCATCGTGCACCATACACACACCTCACAAACTTTCCCTGCATCCCCTCCCCCACCTCATTCCAGGCCCCACTATACCTTCCCAGCGCACCTCAAAGCCCAGCCCCCGCCAGTTGCGCGTGATCTCCGCTAACCTTTGCCCCTCCCCGTCACACAGCGCGAAGGACCACCACCAAAAGCCAGGGTTAACCACCCTCGCAAACTGCTGCTTGCTGCATAAAACGGAGAGCGGAGTGGTGGAGGGATGGAAGAAGGATTGGTGCAAGGAAAGGGTGCGATGAGAAAAGGGAAGTGCAGCAAAGAAGCCAGGTGTGGAGATGGGTGCTGTAATCTGATTATCCCAAGGGACCACTTAACGCAACAATGGAACCAACAAGCACTCAACTCGAGATAAACACTGAGAACCAGGAAGAGAGGAAGCAAGCAGCACTCACTGCAGGTACGCATCGTACACTCGCTTCCACAGGTGCCACCTCCTGTGCACCTGCCCTATGCCCTTCTGGTATGGTGAGGGGCGATGCATGTACGTGAACATACATACGTGCATGAGTTGGCACGCACACACAGGCACACGTTGACACATGCAGACACACCAAGACATGCCAGCACATGCACACATGCACATCGGATGGGGATACCGAAAAAAGAGTGCACACGTCGACACATGTGGGATACGTGGCATGGCAGGGACAAAATTCCCTGAGATTCCACCTGAATGCACCTGAAATCCCACCTGACCAGGCAGATCAACGTAGATGGTGCTGGTGATGAAAAACATGGGCCGCCGCACCTGACACAGCAGATAGCGGAGGGGCGCATGGAGCGGGGCGCATAGGGGGCCGGCGCAGGGGGGGTAGGGTGATGGGACAGCAAGGAGAGAGGGGCGCATGGAGGGGCAGGCAGGAGACAGCAAGTATCATAAGCATAAGAGCAATCGCCCTGCCCCAAGCAGCTTTTTGTAAGCCATCTTCGAGTGGATGAATTGACTGGATTGGCACCATGACCATGAACCGAGTTTGAGCAGGCTTGGGAATGAGTGTGATACCCACGGTGAGCAGCAGCGTGCCGTGTGCGTCGTGGATGGACGCGGTGAAGGGGCGATGCGCCCTCAGGAACTGGGGGGTGGGGGGAGGACGGTGGGGGGGAGGAAGGAGGGGGAGAAGAAGGAAGGGACTTTAATAGTGTGCGTCGTGTATGGATGCGGTGAAGGGGCGATGCGCCCTCAGGAACTGAGGGGTGGGGGGAAAGGAACAAGAGGACTTTTGAGGCGCGTCAAATCTGTGCATCGTGGATGGATGCGGAGAAGGGGCGCTCTCAGGAACTGCCTAGGGGAGAGGACGGTGGGGGAGAAAGGAAAGAGGGGAGAAGAAGGGAGGGAAACGGAAGGAGAGGGAGCTTGTGGAAGGTGAGGTGGAGGGAACGAAGCAAGAGAAGAGGGGTTCTGGAAAACGAACAACATCCCAGGGTGGATGTGGCCTCCCTACTTTCACTGTGTCCCTCCTTGCACCCACCACTTCGCACCCACCCCCTAGCACCCACACCCTTGCACCCACCCCGTTCACACCTGGCGCATGAGCCAGTTGCTGCTCTCCACGATGGCCCCCACGTGCTGCAGGCAGGCCGCAAGAGGCACAATAAATCCCACAGTGTCCCTCCGTGCACTCACCCCCTTGCACCCACCCCCTCGCACCCACCCCCTTTCACACCTGGCGCAAGAGCCAGTTGCTGCTCTCACAATCGACCCCACGTGCTGCAGGCAGGCAGCAGCGTGGCAGCATGGGGCACAATAAACCCCACTGTGTCCCTCCGTGCACCCATCCACCTTGCACCCATCCCCTTGCACCCATCCCCCTTGCTTTCACACCTGGCGCAAGAGCCAGTTGCTGCTCTCACAATCGACCCCACGTGCTGCAGGCAGGCAGCAGCGTGGCAGCATGGGGCACAATAAACCCCACTGTGTCCCTCCGTGCACCCATCCACCTTGCACCCATCCCCTTGCACCCATCCCCCTTGCTTTCACACCTGGCGTAGGAGCCAGTTGCTGCTCTCCACAATCGACCCCACGTGCTGCAGGCAGGCAGCAGCGTGGCAGCATGGGGCACAATAAACCGCAATGCGTCCCTCCGTGCACCCATCCCCTTGCACCCATCCCCCTTGCTTTCACACCTGGCGCATGAGCCAGTTGCTGCTCTCCACAATGGCCCCCACGTGCTGCAGGCAGGCAGGCAGGCACAACGAAGAGGCAGGGCGCGTGGAGGGGCAGGGGGGAATCAAGAAGGGAATGAACGAGCGGTGAGGTGTTGACACGCGGGGCCCCGAACAGGTTTAATATGGAGACAGAGAGGCAGCGCAAGAGCGAGCAAACGGAGCGTATCTGGCCATGAAGGGGGGTTGCTAACAGCGGCCGGATGGCTACGAGGTGAGCGGTGAGGGAGCACACTGGGAGGCTGACCTCGCCCCTCACCTGTTAGCCCTGCCAGGCGAGGGGCTAAGAGGTGCGTGACTGACCTCGCCTGTGTGTGCATCCACGATCGCGTATTGGTTGCTCTGTTGGCAGAAGAGGGGCGTGGGAGGCCAGGGGGAGCAAGAGTGCATGAGCGAGGGAAGCAAGAAGGAAGGATGAGGGAAGAAACAGGGAAAGGAAAGGAAAATCGAAAAGATAGCTAAGGGAAATCTGGAGGGAAGCAAATAAGCAGTAAATGTATTTGCACGACAGTACATATTTTTGCATGTGAGCACGAGTGGAGCATAGGCACCGCACTGCACCTGCTCGTACCCCAGCAGTACGTTGCCCCACTCCACCCTGCGAGTGACCACGAGGTCTGATCGCGCCAGCAGCGACGCCAATGATGCCTGGCGGGCGAGGGGGGCAGGAGGGGGCGAAGGCCAAGGGGAACAGGCACGGGGAGGGGAGAATATTGGGAACTGGCAGGCAGAGATCAGGGCAAAGGAAACGGGACTATGAGGTCAGACCAAACAACCACACGCCGCAAAGTCACGCGCCATACAGTCACATCACACGTCATACAGTCACACGCTACACAATCACACGCCATACGGTCACACGCTGCCCACCTCGTCGCTGCTCTGTGGCCTGAGGGGACCCACTAATGGCTCCACACCCCCTGCTGTCGACCCCACACTACTACCCACTGCTGCTGATGGCGGTGGTGGTGGTGGTGGTGGTGGTGGGGGTGCTGCTGGGGCCGCGGACAGGGGCGAGGAAGCGGAGGAGGAAGTGGAGGTCTGTTGCAACTGTTGAAGGCGAGCCATCCATTCGCCCACCATCCCTTTCATATCGGCTGCTGCTGCTGCTGCCGCTGCTGCCGCTGGCACTGCTACTGCTGCTGACGCTGCTACTGGTGCCACTGTCCCCCGTCCTCCCCCCCTGCCCCTGCCCTTGCCCCTGACCCTGCCCCTGCCCCTGCCCGCCCCCCTGCGCCTGCCATGCCCCCTCCTGCTCCGCGCGTCTTCTCTCCGCCTGCCACTGCCGCTCCCTCAGTGCGTTGATCGCCAGCCGCACCTTCTTCGAAGCTTCCTTCTTCCGCCTCCTGTCCGCCGCCCATTTACTCGTGAGCGCTCCGCGCGGGTGCGGCGACGGCGGGGGGAAGGCGGACGACGTGGAGAAGGCGCGGGCGGAAGCGGAGGAGCGGGAAAGCGCGACGGGAGTGGCGGGCCAGGAGGAGAGTGAGGAAGCGGAGGAAAGGGAGGAGGGGGAGGAGGCGGAAGAGAGGGGGTAGGGAGAGGAAGAAAAGAAGCGAGGCCGTTGGTAGTTCAAAAGTGGTAACGGAGAAAACTGGAGGACGAGCGAATTGGCGGGGTGCGCTGATGTGCGGAGTGTACAAGGAGGTAACGGAGGGGATGCGGACGAAAGCGATGGGCGGAAGGCGGAAGAGACGGAAGAGACGGAAGAGGCGGAAGAGATGGAAGAGGCGGAAGCAACGGAGAAGTGAGGGAGCGCGACGAAGGCGCGACTGCTGATCGGGCAGAACGGATTGGATTCCCCGCGAGACGAATCGACGGCGGGGGAGGCGCGATGCAGCACCGCGCATGCGACTAACGGCGGTGGCACGGCGATGGCTTTGGTGGCCAGAGCGTGGCGAAAGGTTGCTGCGACGGCGGGGTGGGATGGCGCTACGACGCCGGGAAGCAAAATTCTACGAAACGAGGCTGCGACGGCCGCGGAAGCGGCGAGCCGCGCCGCCATTGCAGCCTCCTCGAATCCGCCGACGCGATACCGAGATCGCGACGGTATCGCGACTATTCAACGGCACCGAGCATGACGCCTGGCTTGCGCGTAAGCTGCAGACGAAGAAAACGACGACGGCTCACGGGACAGAAGAGATTGCGGGACTTGTGCGGTGAGGATCACTGACAAAGCGGGAACGGGATGTCAGCCGAAACGACACAGCGAGAGCGAGGCGAGCAACGGGTACATTCGTTATGAGTGTAGAATGTTATAGCGTTTAGAAGTAATATATATCATATACTTATACCACATCAAAGGAACAAGTTTCTTGAACACTGATGCTGTTCATCCACTATTCAAAGTTACTTCTCCCAACAACATGCAATGAATCAGCGACGCGAAATTATTGCAGCTACAATTGAGAAACTAATCCCTTCAACACCACACCACCAACTGTAGGCATGAGGTCTGTTTGGTGGCTGCTTTGTGGCAGTTGCAAATGCAGTTGTGGGCCATGATGGAGCGCGTGTTTTGATTTCAGCATTCTATAGGACCCACCGCCAGTGGACAGATGCCCTGCTGAATCTTGGGGCCAGGATGTGATGCAAGGATCTGGGATAGGCTGATTGGCTTTAGTGCTGGGTTTCTGGATGGATGAGGCAGGCTGGTTGGCTGGTAGCCTGGAATGTTGGTTGACTGTTTGGCTTTTTGGCTGCTTTGCTACTTGGCTGCTTGTTCGATTGGATGATTGACTGGTGGCCATGGCATCTGACCATTTCTGTAATGCTGTTCGTGCGCAATCTGTGACTACCCTGCTTCCTGTCACACTTCTGTGCGAAAGGGGCTTGTCTGTCTCATACTTGCTGGTGGTGACTTTTTCTGCACGTGCACCCTGATTCCTGCTGCATGCAGCATCCTCCTGGTTCAGTGCCCTGCGTTTCCACATTCCCCTCGTCACTGTGCGGGCTCCATGGCACGGCACAGCATGTAGCACGTGCAGGAGGACTCTCCGTCCTGCTTGGGTGTGACGACTTTGTGCCCAGATGCCTTCCAGGCTACCCACCCCCACCCACCTATTCCACAACATGCAGGCCCATCCCAGCACAGCACAGCACATCACAACACAGCACAGCTAAGAACAGGAGTGGTAGCCCATCTTGAGCTCTTGGTAGCCCACCCACCAGCAAGCGGCACCTGCCCCATCTGATTCTGATGCAGATGCTGATGCTGATGCTGATGCTGATGCGCTGATGCTGATGCTGATGCACTGATGCTGATGCTGATGTTGATGCTGATGCTGATGCTGATGCTGATGCACTGATGCTGATGCGAAGGCTGATGCTGATGCTGATGCTGATGCGCTGATGCTGATGCTGATGCTGATGCGCTGATGCTGATGCTGATGCTGATGCGCTGATGCTGATGCTGATGCTGATGCTGATGCGCTGATGCTGATGCTGATGCTGATGCTGATGCTGATGCGCTGATGGCTGATGACTCACTTCACGTACCCTCTGCAAGCACCCCCTGGCACGTACCACGCTCTGTCCGTTGCTCTCCCACTCCTGCACCTTGAGCAATCCGCCACACTCCAGAGCTTAAAGGATAAGAGGCACTCTCACAGGCATGCACAGACGCACACGCACACGCACACATGCACAGCCCCCGTCCTCTTTCCCCCTTCCCCCCTCACGCACATGCACAGTCCCCGTCCACTCGCTGCCATTCCAGTCCGCCTCGCAGGAAACGAGGCACACACACGCATGGGGAGGGAGAAACGCGCGCGCGCGCGCGCACACACACACACACACACACGCACGCACGCACGCACACGCACACGCACACGCACGCGCACGCACACGCACACGCACACGCACACACACACACACACACACACACACACACACACACACAGACACACACACAGACACACAGACACACACACACACACACACACACACGCACACACACACACACACACACACACACACACACACACACACACACACACACACAGAAGCATCGCAACAAGGGAGGGTTAGGAGCAGCATGAGAGGAGGCGAATGGCAAAGACAAGAACAAGACACGACTCTTGCCTCTGCGCGGCGACACACTATGACTCGATTCACGGCCCCCCTGCAAGCACCCCCTGGAACATACCACGCCCCATCTGCTGCTCCCCTAATCCTGCACCACGCCTTCACTTGAGGCGTCCATGGTTGCCTTTGCTCTCCGTCTCACAGGCCATGAGGCACACACACAGATATGGGGAGAGAGAGAAACACACACACATGGGGGGAGAGAGAGACACACACACACATGGGGAGAGAGAGACACACACACGGGGGGAGAGAGAGACACACATAGAAGAAGGTTAGAAGCAGCAGGTGGCGAGTGGTGGACCCGCAAGCAACAGACACGACTCTTGCCTCTGTGCGGCGACAACCTATGACAGTTCACGGCCCCCCTGCAAGCACCCCCTGGCACGTACCATGGTCCCTTGGCTGCTCTCGCACTCCTGTGCCACGCCTTCTCTTCTGGCGTGCTGCTCCAGGTGTGGTGTACTCACAACTCCTTGTGTGCTGGCCTGGCCATCATCCTGGCCAGGGAAGGGGGATCATGTTAACTGCATACAGCAAGACACGAGAACGAGCTGAGAAGAGTGCCATGAAAATCTGGCAGCACACCAGCAAAGATGCGTGGGCACCGTGGGGAGATGGTAGACATGACCAAACTAAACACGAGAAGGCAAGAACACGGCGGATGGAGAAGCGGTGTACTGGTTGGACTGATGGACTCACATCCCCTTGTGTGCTTGCCATCATCCTGCATCCTGCAGCTGTTGCAGCCACTGGTTATCCCTGCGTTGCTACAGCCACTGGTGATGAGTGTTGCTTGAGTGCTGGAGGTGAGGGGAGGGAGGAAGGCAAGGAAGAGGAAGCGATGCCGAGCAAGAAAAGACGAGTGAGTGGAGGAGAGGCCGAGCAGAAGCGAGGGGATGAGCCGGCAGACGAAAGCTGGAGAAGGGACTGAGAAAGAATGGCATGAATGGTGCATATGAACTCCCAGTTACCATGCATGGTTACCTCTTGACTTGAAGAAACTTAGCAGGAGAATGAAGGTGCCGTTTCTCCTCGCTCCATGGTTGCCTCTCGTCCATTCCCCGTCCGCTCCCTCCCCCTCCGTCTTGCAGGCCATGAGGCACACACACACATGAGGGGAGAGACAGCCACACAGAAGCGATGCAACAAGGGAGGGTCAGAAGCAGCAGGAGAGGAGGCGAGTGGTGGAGGCAAAAGCAACAGACACGACTATTGCCTCTGCGCGGCGACACTTCACGGCCCCCCTGCAAGCACCCCCTGGCACGTACCACTTCTCCTCCTTGGCAGAGCCTGCCGCTCCTGCGCCACACATTCGCCCCAAGCAGCACCCTGCTGCGGCCCGTGCTCCAGACTTCAGGCGTGCTGCTCCAGGTTGCTCGTGGTCTGCTGCTGATACCCTCAATAACAAGGGACTGTGGCACGTGAGTTGGGCCAAAACCAACCAGTGGCGAGAATGCAGAGGAGAAAGCAGTGAAGCACATGCACGACAGGCGATAAGCGCTTGGCATCACAAAAGGCAAAGCATTCGGAGGAGAAAATACATGGCTGAAAATTCAAGGCGCTGTTGCACTCACCGGCGCTGCTGCTGTGTCTCGGGCCGGAACGAAGCCCCCAGATTGTCACCCCCGGTCCACTCCCCGCCATTCCCCTCCATCTCACAGGCCATGAAGCACACACACGCGCGGGAGAGGGACACGGATACAGAAGCAATGCAACAAGGAAGGCTTAGAAGCAGCTAGAGGCGAGTGGTGGAGGCAAAAGGAAGAGAGACGACTCTTGCCTCTGCGCGGCGACTCAGATCACAGCCCCCCTGCAAGCACCTCTTGGCACGTACCACGCTCCGTTCCAGGCTCGCCGTGCCTTCACTCGAGGCGTGCTGCTCCAGGCTGCTCCGTTGATGCTGCTGCTGCTGCTGCTGCTGTTGCTTCTGCTGCAGAGGTTGCTCGCGTCTTGACCGCCACCATGTCTCTGCCTTTGACTTGTCAATGTGCCGTTGCTGCCCCTTCTCCTCACTGAGAGGTTGTCTCTGCGAGCCAGCAACGGAAGCCGTGTCCACGCTGTGGCATTCCGCGCCCACTCCATGCCATTCAGCTCCAAGGCCGTGAGGCACACACACGCATGGGGAGAGAAAACACGCACACAGAAGCGGCACAATAGCAAGGGTAAGGAGCAGCACGAGAGGAGGCGAGCGCGGAGCCAAGGGCAAGAGACACGACTCTTGCCTCTGCGCGGCGACTCACTACACGTCCCCCCTGCAAGCATCGGCTGACACGTACCATGTTGTGTTGGGCGCTCTGCGCCACGCTTCCACTTGTCCTCGCTGGGAAGGTCGTCTCTCGCCAGCAACGACAGCCCGCCCATTCCCCGTCCACTCGCCGCCACCGTCCGTCTCGCAGGGCGTGAGGCACACACACACATGGGGAGAGAGACAACAAGGGAGGGTTAGAAATGATGCAAGAGGCGAGTGGTGGAGGACAGGGCAAGAGACACGACTCTTGCCTCTGCGCGGCGACGCTCTAGGACTCAGTACACTGCCCCCCCGCAAGCACCCCATGGAACATACCATGATCCATTCGTCGCCCTGCCGCTGCTGCGACACGTCTTCACTGCACGCATGCTGCTCCTGGTTGTCTCTCTCTCGTGCGAGCCAGCCAGCAAACAGCAGCCCGTGTGTTCCCCGTCCACTTCGCTCCATTGCCGTCCATCTCGCAGGCCATGAGCCACACACACGCATGGGGAGAGGGACACGCACACAGATGCAGAGCAGCAAGGGTTAGGAGCAGCAGGAGAAAGGCGAGTGGCGGAGGCAAGAGCAAAAGTCAGGACTCTTGCCTCTGCGCGGCGACGCCCTACACCCAACTTCACGGCCCCCCTGCAAGTACCCCCTGTGGCACGTATCACGCGACCGCCACCGTG